ATGAGCCTTTTTTGCACGCTTCGAAGCTTTAGAAGGCTTTGACTTCTTCCTTGCATTGGCTGAAGGATCTTCTGCCTCAGAGGTATCTGCGGCACAGTCGGAATCATATTTCCGCTTCGATAGCTTACTACCAGGGATCCGAATCTTCAGTGCAGGCTGCTTGGCATAAATTGCATCTGCCTAGGTGTCAGTTTATTCCCGTCGAGTAACAAGGAGGTAGTCACGGTAACCTTTGATCGCTTGTAGCTCAGGAGCAAGCTCTAACTCCGAGTCATCGTCCCCATAGGTTTCATCACCATACTCGCCCGAGGAGTCTTCCATACCACCAAGATTACCATGTTCTTCGTCTAAAATGTTGCCAGATTCCATATGGATACCATCAACAGATGCATCATCAGAGTGTTGTGAATGAGAGGCATCCTCCTCGTCGGAGCATTCAGTTACTGTATTAGACATAATCTAACGTTCAAAAGAGTGACACTTATGCTTTTCTGCTTGACTTTGAAGGAGAGTGGTGCAAGTTTGCTGAATTTTCGATTTATTTGAATTTTCAACATTTCTACCATTTTTGAACCATTTCGAACACGTGAGTCAAGACTTTCTGGAAGGACTGTACTCAAACTCACACTTGAAGTGAAGGTGACAAAAGTCGAACATTGAGCTAGATTAATAAAAAATGCCATAACGAATTCAGAGGGAGGTTCACAACTCTGAAGCATCAAATAATTGACCTGAAAATATAAAGCTTTGCAAAGCTTTATCTGACCGTAAAACCAAGCCGAGTCTGCCGAACCACTTACCATCGGCAGATTTTTGTGCTCATAGGGTGCATTGGGCGCGCTCGGGGCAAGGGTGCCCGTACCCCAACTCTAAGCAAAACCATCCAACGTGAGTCACGGATTCAAGAAGCCCTTGCTGGAGTTCAAGGAGGAACATATAAGAGCTATAGGGCAGCGGCGAAGGCTCACCAGGTGAGTTTGGATAATCTGTGCTTCGATGAACTGGCATATTTAATAGGACCTCACATCTTTTGTTTAGGTTTAGTTTCCAGACTCTACATGATCGCGCAACCAGGCGCCACTAATCAATTCAAATGCTGCCAGGAAGCGCCAACTGTTAAGCCCATCACAGGAAGCTGCATTGCTGGATTGGTGCTGCCTCAACTCAAGGTTTACCACTCCTCTCCATGCTCGTGCTTTCCGGACTTGTGTGTTCGAGATATGCCATAGACGCCCTGGCCTTAATCAGGTGTGCTGTTTCCTACGCCGTCATCCTTGTCTCGTCATGGCAAAACCACGAGGACTGAACAGTGAAGATCAACCAAAATGCAGTCACGAAAGATTTCGATGCTCCACTTTCTTCGTACAAGCTTAAGGACAATTCTCTTACTATTGCACAAGCTCTCGGACTCGCTGTCGAAAAAAAGGACACAATTGCTTCACTGACCAACAAAATCAGGATGCACCTTGACGAACACCCGGCGCTGGCAGACAATGCATGTTTTTCTGCATTGTTTCAAGTTGGAGGTGCAAAATGTCGCACACATTCGAAACCTGTCCCACTCAACAAGGACTCCACTCCTAATATCAACACTACTAGTGGTAGTCATTCAGTGTCGTCCCCTGCACAACATTTTGGCTTCAGCTCATTGCTCCCAGTCCCACGGCCACCTGCAGGACTCGGACACACATTGTGTACTCCTCCTCCTTCGAGCTTACAATATCATGCGCACTCGCCAGCTAATTTCATGTCCCATGGATCTTACGCACCAGCGCCACCACCTACTTACTCTTTTGCAGCACCTTCTTTTGTACCACAATGTCCCAGTCATCTGCATAGTTCCTACAGTCCCTCATAAATTTGTACCGCTTCATAATGCACATTCAATAAAACATCTTTAACTGTTTAAGTTTTAGTTAGAGTAATGAACACTATGAGGCCTGTGCACTTGATACTGGATGCCGAGCGGAGCTTGTTTCGGGAGATGTGACATTGTGTGACTGTCCGAACCAGTGGTTGACCGAAGTTGTGATTAAACCGATAGTAATTGGAAAGCAAGGAATGAACATGACGCTGGTGGGCTATTGCTCAGCTGAACTCAGCCCTCTATAGCAGAGAGAAAATAATCGCCATCTAGTTCAATTCTCTCGGCATGCGTCTGCTCGTTTGCTTCGGGCTCGCTGTTTAAACCGGAGAGCTTGTTGACCGTTGATATCCTCTAAAAGCACGTACGTGCAAATAGTCTGCAACTAAATATCATATACTATGTAGCATGAATCTATATCCTGATATATACTTGTGAAAGTGTGCACCTCAGATTAGTTGACTATCCTACACGACGAAGAGCCCAAAACGCAAAATCAGATATAAGGTCCATCAAACATCAATACGGGGAGATACACGACGTGCTAGGTGCTATGCATGTTACACCTGTACTTTAGTGGTCTCGACGTTTACGCATTTCTTTTCCTCGCCCTCAGTACCACTCTGCATTGTTTCTGTGGGAGATTTCCTGTCCTCTTCATATTGCTTGTCTATGTGGTCCGCAGAGATTAAGCAATCAACATAGGTATCATGAGCAGGGAACAAGTACGATGCAACGTAATACACCAGTGATGCTACAAAAAACTAGTATAATGTGAGCAAGGCACGTGTAAAGGAAATCAGGAGTGCCGTACCCCGTACATCCACGCAATGTCAAACAAATGGGTTGCATAGCCTATCTTGATAGCTGGATTGATCGAATTGATAAGCCCGGGAAGCGTGGGGCCAACAGTTACTATCATCGCCAGCACTGCGCGCCAGTTCTACACAAGCAGTCAAATATATCACGAGACGGAACATAGCGGGTAGCATCAAAGCTTACAAATCCCCCAGTGTAGCGATATCGTCCCGAAGGGTCATACATAGCGGGAACGTCGACGCAGCCCTTATGTACCAGGTAAAACTGTGCGACGCAAAATTTTAATCAATGATTAGGCGCGAACGGACATGCCTGTAAATTGTACCCACATCGGTGACCATGATGCCAGCAAAAGGGCCAAGGAAAATGGTGTATCCATTCATAAAACTCAAGAACCCCGTGGCACTATCAGCGGATGATAAGGGCTCAACAAGGTGACATATGGCGAAGACTTACTTGGCGAGAATCTCCCATGGACACAAAGCCCAGCCACCGATAATCGCACACAATATTTGTCCGCGCCTGATGTTGATGTACTGTTTGAAATGAGCGATTGTATGTGGGGAGAGTACAGACGCTAACCTTGGGACATAGAACTGTCATATCATTTCCTGCCCCGAGCGAGTTGGCGCTGATGTTGGTACCAATAGTCGTCAGTGCAAATACAAAGGAGGCGAAAAAAGCTGCGGCCCGATTGTCCCAACGATCGATTAATAGAAGAGGGTTCCATAGGACCTCGCCATAAAGCTGTATTCCAGCACTAGTCACAGCGATTCCAACGAAGCTGCACAGCGTAAATGCGATGGGTATTATAAACGGTTGGACATATTGACTAAAAGCCCGTTAGACAACAGCGTCGATCTTAAAGTGGAATTCATACGCTCGTTCATTCTTGGCATAGCGCTGCAAGTTTTTGTGAGGAAATGTGGTAGAAGATGTACAAATTTATCTGACTTACAGTAAAATCGGGAATATTGACCGACAAACTGGCATAGATTCCCAAGGCGCTATTCATCGCGCTCAGCCACGCCCATGAAAAGCTGTTGCCCTCGATAGTCGCATGCTGGGAAAACAAGCCCTGTGAGGCGGGGACCTTGACAAATGCCCATATGATCATTGCCAGCCATGCTATAGGTGTGAGGACACCCTTTGCGAGAAATAACCAACGGATTTTGTGAGGAGTCACGAAAAGAAACGGGAGCTGGATGAGCCAATAGAGGAAGTAACACAAAAACCCTGTTAAATTGGTTAGATGAGTATATAACAATGGCAGCAGGGGAAATGATGCACCAGAGCTGGTAATATTTGCAGAGACTGGTAATTGATTGGGCATCTTTGCAATCGAAGGCCAAATGGCTTTGAGCATCTGCATCGTACTCCGAGTCAGTAAGACCAAATTTTGATAGAATACTCAATGTACCTGATACACGCATTGCGACCCATTGTATGTCTAAATGCATGCATTAGGACTCCCGTCATTAAACGCATTCCCATAATTATTACCTGTATACCGAACCAGAACATAGATAACAAGACGCGACTGAACACGGTGAAGTAACTGAACCAAAAGCCGAACGACGATCGATTTAATACAGGGAAGGCGACATGGAGACGAGCGCCTATTGTGCCAGTCAAAACCATTACTACGGAGATGATCGCATAGGCAACCGCGATACACGGCAAAGCCTGGCGCCTAGCAGCCAACAAAATGTCAGATTAAATGTGCTGTCGGACTGGAGAACTGGTTCGAGTAGTCATACCAAGATAAACCGATTGCAAGCATGGAACTAGCCAACTCCCAAACTGCAAGATTGGTAGCATCAGAAACCCAGTAGGATATCTAACGAATAGTTATTAGTAGATTATACCATGATAATCGTTGTGGCATGTCCTACATAGTTCCAGGTGCTACGAGGAATCATCGAGGTTATGAAAACAGCTAAACCGTTGTGCAACAACTATCGTGCTTACGTCCATGTTCTCAGACGGGGAGGTACCGGATCCATGTCCTTGTTGCTCCATCCATTGTTCGCAAAAGTAGTTTCTTCACGTTCGAGAGTCCATCTGGAGGGCTTAAAGAAATCGACCACACCCCCACTTTGCGGCATGGTTGGTAGCCAAGGAAGAAACAAGTTCCTGATTTTCAAGTCAGTGCAATTCATTATATATCTCCGCATGCGTGAACAAGTGACATCCGCACTTATTTATATTGAGATAAGAGTTGGATAAGAGTTCAAAATTTTCACAGACAATCGTATTGGACACCAGTCACTCGACCGCCCACGTCAAGAACAACGAACTACATTTGAACTTGCAATGATGCCCCAAAAGGATACCTGACTAATCGACATTTGCAGAACCACGTGGGACATATTCTGTTTCGCAAACGGTCAGCCTGGCTCATGATGCCGGCCTTGCTTCCTGGACCGTAGTTTTCAGTGTGACCTTTTTCTTCTTCAAACCTCTTTCATTAAACCGCTGTGGACCAGCGGGTTTGCTAGTATCACCTCATGTCTGACCCATTTGACGTTATACCATTCGAGGTACGTGCTGCTCATATAACCTACCCCACACCACACTCACCTGTCTTAAAGGATATCAAGGGGGAATGGAAGAAGCTGGGTTCAGGTTCTTTTGGGAACGTTTATAAAGGTATCCTATTCGATCAAATACCCATCCAAGCTAACAGATGTATAGGATCATACTTGGGCATTGATGTCGCAATCAAAGAAGTCCTGCCATCCAACAGTTACAACGTCGCCAAATATTTTGAGAGGGAATGGAGATTAATGAAGTAAGCTTGCTTTACTAGGTACAGATTGTCGTTGAGCATCGCTTCAGAGAAGCTCGTCATCCCAATGTTGTGCTTTACCTTGGCCTGTCACGTGCCCCGCCTCCTGATGGACGAATATTCATAATATCAGAGTACATTGAGAACGGTGCGTCCACTTTGAGAATTTGATCTTGTGCTTCTCTTGATACTGTTGATTCAGGAAATCTTAGAATGTACATATTCGATAAGACGAAATCTTTTCCGTGGCGTCTCCGGCTTTCTTTTGCCACAGATATTTGCCGTGCTCTAGCATACCTTCATGCACGCAAGTGCATACACCGCGATTTGAAAGGTGAAAATCTCCTCGTCACCGCAAACGGCAGATTGAAGATCACCGACTTTGGTTTCGCTCGGATTGCTGCCCGCAACGAAGAGGAAAGCAAACGTCTCACCTTTTGTGGGACTGACTCGTACATGTCACCCGAAATTCTACTTGGGGAGGAGTTCGATTTGCCCACAGATATATTTTCTCTTGGCATTATCTTCTGCGAGATCGCGGCGCGGAGGCTATCTGATGACCGCCATTTTAAACGTACTGGCCCAACGTTTGGCATTGACCCCGAGGAGGTGTACCGACGAGCCAGTCCCGGTTGTCCACCGGCATTCCTTGCTCTCACGCTGGACTGTCTCGCTGAGGATCCAAAGGCACGCCCCACCACTCTCTCCATCTTAAACAGGCTAGGCGAAATCGAAACGGAGGTTTTGTCACGTCCAGACACTGAAGACCTTCACGTTGGAAGCATAAGATTTATGACAGGAGGCAGACGTCCGGGTGCCGCTCCGCGTATCCCGAGTTTTGGGGCTGGTGTCGGGAAGGACATCAGGCACAATCCGACCTCCATCAAAGAGGATGTTCTCGCGGCCCTGTCTAGCGGCGAGGAAAGCAGCGACGAAGAGCCCATTGGCGCCATGCAAGGTCTGGCTGTCAGCCTGGATCCAAATAGCAATTGGAGTACGACAGCCAACGGTGAGATTATTGCTTTAGAGTTCCGACGACATCTGGTGACGTGGTTCGATTGTTGACATTCAGGACACTCGGGTGATAGCACCCAACCTCTTCTCGTCAGTAACTCCAGCACATTGTCAGAGTACAGTGCCGTCGTCGACTGGGCCCATGTTCCCACAAATACCGATGACGTTCCGACATCTTTGTCCTCCATTCTCACTATTCGGCCTGCGCTTGACCCAAACGGGACGGCAGAACCCACTACCCCAGGTGCTTCTTTGACTGACAATAGTAATACTCCAACGAGCAGCGACTCGATCATGTCCGCGCAGAGTTATCAGACTGCTCAATCATCTATCCAATTTTCCACCACAGCGACGAAAGGCCACTCGTCCATCGGTTCTTCTCCTATGTTTCACCGCTTTACCTCACTCAGACCTGGCACAAAGCGTACCAGCGGATCGGCATCCCCGACACGTCACGCCGACGGAGGATGGAACCCGCTAGAGCTGATCTTCTCTAGCGGATTAGTTGGGCAGAAGTGTGATGTATGCTCCAAGAGGATTGGCTGGAAACCTGTTTTGGAATGTGACGATTGTGGGCTGCGGTAGGTTCCTGACCTGTTATCATAGCGGATCTGACTGCTATAACTGCAGGGCTCACGTCAAATGCGGAGAAGTTGCTCCTCGTGATTGTAATATTCGTTCAGTAAATCAACCAGCCCTGCACACATCCTCGCCTTTGTCGAAGGGAAGGAGCCAGCCAAAAAGAGTATCCTTACCCCATTCGACCACGCGATAGGGACCCTGCATGTTCTATCAAGCCACACATAATACATAATAGCTTACATTCATACTACGTCACTGCCGTACGTGTTGCTCGGTATACGTATCTTCAAGTTGTATCGGTTATGCATTCCCAGTGTTATCTGATATCAGCACCTGTCGAAGCTCTTGTCGTTAACATTTTGTAGGGTGGCAAAAGCAATACGACTGATCATAGGAACATGGCGGCATGATCAACTTTTTTTCTTTTCAAACTCTGCCACGTAAGGGGTAGAACTCAACTTTGATCACGACAAGCCAACTCAATTGACCACCAGTGTCGCCTATCTGATGAGGCTAGGCTGACATTGAAAGAAACAGCGTAAAGATGGATTGTCATCTAAAATCGTACCATATCATAACGCTGGACTCGGAAATATCAGCGAACTTAAGCTTGTCGAAAACGTTCAGATCTCACTGATCATGAGACGGAAGTATTAGAAGGCCAATCAGCTGATGCGCTCAAAATAGAAATCAGTCGCGTAGGTCCAACTACGTCAACTTACTCGCAGCCATATTCATTCACCTGAAGCCAGTAGTCTCCGTTATGACCAACACCCAAAGCCGATCTGGAGCCGTACCTCCCTTAGTACTACTTACTCAATATCTTGGGCACTACTGCGGTACTTTAGGAGATATAATCATGTAAGTACGGAGTTAACTCAGTCTAGTACTTGTTATTGGGAGAAACGTTCCTTACAAACCTTTTCAAGGTTCAGCATCGTCACACAAAAGTTCGACCCGCCAGACGCACACTCAAGCAAAAATAAAATTGGCAGGTTGCAAAATAATGTCAATCAATTGTCGTGACTGTACATGCGGTTATTCGGCACGAGCTTTAATACGACACGCGCATCATATGCCAGCCATATCAGGAGAGTACAAATAGGCTGCTCTTCCTGAATGCGACGGTTTGCTTTATGAATAACGCATCACAGCTCCATATCCATTACACAGCGTGAAGATGTTATTCCCCTATATTCTCGTCGTAAGTGTCTTGTTGATGCTGTGTCTCTGGTCCTGGTCAAGGAACTCAGCTGGGTTGCCCCTTCCGCCGGGGCCACGTTCACTGCCCTTCCTTGGAAACGTTGGTGATATCGACATGGTGCGTCCATGGCGTACATATAGCGAATGGAAGAAGAAATACGGTCAGTACTGCAATCTCGAATACTTGTCCCTCTCACATCTCCAGTAGGTCCTATTGTATCATGTCGTCTGATTGGCCAGACCGTCGTCATAATCAACTCCGAGAGTATTGCACGGCAACTCCTTGATCAGCGCTCAGCGATATATTCTGACCGTCCTGCAGGTCCTGTACCAAAACTGTGAGGTCGCTCTTCCCCCTTGTTATTCGCTCTGATCGCAATACATCGTTAGTTTGGGCATAGATTTCATCACTGCCTTTCTTCCGTATGGGGATACATTCCGACTTCATCGACGTTTGTTTCACCAAGCATTACGTTCTGATGCAGCAGATTCTTATCGAGATCTCTACTTGGACAAAGCTCTCCAGCTGTCTTATAACCTTCTTGGCTCTCCTGAGGCGTTCGAGAAGCACCTTTTCTTGTAAGTTCGCCATTCCTCGCCCGCTGACGCCTGGAATGTCTGAGGTGGGCTCAGGTACACAGCTTCGATTATCATGTCGGTAACGTATGGATACGATAAATTCTCTTGGGATGGTCCCCCGATTACATCTATCGCCAAACTTGTGGAGTTAATAAATGTTGGCCTTCAACCAGAAAGGAGTGCATTACTCACGGCATTCCCTATACGTACGCAAGTTTATTCAATATAGAATTTCTGATGCCACTAGTACCTCGTTGCAGTCACGCGACTACCTCCCTGGTTTCCGGGCGCATCACTCCAACGTATTGCCCAGCATACACGGAAGCTAGCACTCGAGTCTATGAACGAACCATTTGAATTCGTAAAAAGGAATATGGTGAGCACATGACATAGTAATCCTGTCGGCGCGAATAATCATGGGGGCTGAAGGCCACCGGAGATGCACCAAAGTCAATGGTATCGGATCTATTGGGTAAAATGGACGAGGGCAAGGAGGCCATTTCAGAACAGGCAGTAAAAGAAGTTGCCTTGACCGTCTTTGTTGGTGAGCGTGTTTACTTTTTGTCAGGTCACGAGACAAACCAACATATTTTATTCATAGCTGGATTTGATACGGTGGGTCCACTATGTCACACTATGACGCAGTAGACTGCGGACAGACCAGCTGATGGCTTACACAGAGCTCTTCCACGTTGTTTACCTTCGTACTAGCGATGGTTTTGCATCCTGAGGCTCAGCAACGGGCTCAACAAGAAATTGATTCTGTCGTTGGCATTGATAGGCTGCCAGATTTCTATGACCGACCATCCTTGAAGTACGTGGAGGCGGTTTTTCGGGAAACCATTCGTTGGCATATCGTCGCACCAGTCGGTGAGAGACTTGATGTATCAATCATGTCATTCTCAATGTTGTTACGAAAGGTCTTCCACATGCAACGTCAAGTGACGACGTCTTCCAGGGCTATTTTATTCCAAAAGGTTAGTCGACTGATTTCTCTATGCTTACATCGCTACTAATGCGACGCATTTCACTGTAGGCTCTTTCATTGTGTCTAACATATGGTTTGCATCAATTTTCTGACTAGTCTCGGGCTTTGAACCTCAGTCACCTCTTTAGGGAGATGTCCAGAGAAGGACACGATGATCCTGATGTTTTCAGACCAGAAAGGCACTTTGCAAGTGACGGAACACTTTTACCAGACACGATAGCGGCCAAACCTATGTGGGGTTTTGGAAGGAGAGGGTGAGAATCAACCTCATCCACGAATCATTTTTTCACAAGCTGGTTAGGTGCCCAGGGCGTTTCATTGCCGAAGCTGCGATGTGGAGTGCGGTGGTACATCTCCTTGCAGCGTTCCGAATGACAAAGGCAAAGGATGAAGAAGGGAGAGAAATTGAAGTGAAAGAGAAGTTCACTTCTGGAGTGGTCTGGTACGTTTTTGTGTGTTTGAGAAATGAAGGATTGGCGTCCTCACCACTGATTTTGTAGCCGACCCGTGCCATTTCAATGTTCTTTTGTCCCTCGATCAACGGACAGGGAGAAGGCGATTCGCTTGGGTAGGGCAGGGATTTGATTATTCTAGCGAGCCTTATAGTAACTCTTCGCATTATATATTAATACATTGTACATCATTATTTTTCGTAGCTACGTCGATTGTTTCGCTATCAAACTTTCCTCCGAGTCCGTGATACTTGGCCGGTAACATAATAATTAACCGTTCGTACGGTGGCAATCCCACAATAATAGATTTCCAATGATAATTTGTCTCTCCACAGTGCACACCACTAGGCAGATTTGCAGTCTCATCAGCGGCCTACGATAAAAATCATCGCTTTCAGGCTCTCGTAGAGACGAGCTCTACGAAATCTACTGCCTAGAAATACCCAGATTTGATTCGGATCTGGGGTATAAAGTACGTTATGTCAAAGCATCACACATTCTGCAGATTGGCTTAGTTGAAGCACATAAAGTATCATCGTACAATACGGCACATGTCTCGTCAGCAACAGGATACAGATGCCAACACCCGGTTCAGACAAAGGTCAAACACGACAACCTTTGCCCCGTTTGCGTGGCGGCGCAAAGCCGACACCATATCTTCTACCGTCCAACCTCAGACACAGCCGTTGACCTTCGATGCCCTCGTTGAGGCGCTGACTCCTCCTGCAGTTCCAAGTCTCACACATGCACGTTCCTTGGCTGCTCTAATAGCATCACAATCACCGCTGCCTCGACCATCCGTGTTAAACCCAGTATGGGCTGCACTCTGCGGTCACGATTCGCCTTCCTCACTGCAGGCGGCAGGGTATGAAATCATGGCAACGTTCTGGGAGAGATTTGACGGCCACCTGGGTACAGCAGATATTCTTCAGTATTTCTCTCTATTCTTGCATACCGTCTGGGCTGCCGATGTAGGGGAACCTCGGCTACGGGCTCTACGGGCTCTTACAAGAGGGGGAACAGAAGTCATCGGTATCGAAATACCATTACTTAGCTTGCTCAGGACATGGACAGAAGGCGCCTTTGATGCTTACATGTCGGGTGATGCCCCAGATTCTATTGACCGTGCAGAACGAGAACGACACGTTGAGCTTTTAGCTACCTTCCTATCTTCTGTATTGGAGCAGCCGGAATCCGCGGCTCGTGTATCTGAAGGTGACCTCGCTAGTGTCCTTCAGTTCTATGCTGGTCTTCTTGGTCGGGCGTTGACAGTACCTCCCCTGTGTCCTGCTGCAGATCCCGTACCCTCACCGCCTCTTGCCGCTCACACTGATCAACCTGTCGGCGTAAAAACGACCGTTGGGGTTCACAGACGTCATCCATCATCCATATCAATCCGTTCCATCTCGGCCCCAAGTTTGCTTTCTCGAAAACACCCAGCAGAGTTGATGGTCGTCATCTATCTAGACCACCTCAGTTCGCAGCTCAAAGCGCTTGCACCAAAATTCTTAACGCTCATTCTTCCTGTCCTCTTACGCGCACAGGCCTTCTTTGCTTCACCATTACCCCGTGTATCCATAATGACAGGTCGCACTCATGCGCCAGCTAGCTTAGAGGACAGGATTCAAAAAACTCTGAACGTATTGTTTTCCGGTCCATACGGTAGTTCGTGCATGGCAATACTCAAACGACACCTTCTTCCTCCTACCGACGTTGGGAAGGACTTTCATATCGCTCCCATCATCGCTCTCGGTGCGCACAGAACACTGAGAAACATCATCCGCCAAGGACTATGCACAAAAATGGCTCGCGCATACATTTGCAGACTGACTTCCGTCTCATATCCCACTGCAGGCGTTCCCGGAAACAAGGATCTTGAGAAAGATCTTATGGAGAGGGCATGGTCAAAGGATGACATATCTGGATGGGACCATACAAGGCTCGGAAGATTGCTCTGCAAGTCGGTTGAAGCTTGGGTCAAATTTACGCCAGCAGATAATGGGGAGGATTATGACATGGAGAAGGACAAGATAATGGACGAAGCGGCATGCACCATGAGAGATATCTTTCAGGAGTTTGATGAGAGGGAGGATGGGGTTGATATGGACGATGAAGAGGCGTGCGTTGCAGGAGCAACTCTTCGTCAACTTGCCAATTTTGTTCGTCCCATCAGGTGTGTTGCTCGTCTTACGGGCATGCACCTACATTTAAACTAATTTCGTAGGACCACGGATGGAGCGCCTCTGATCCTACCGCTAGACCAGCCTACCGAAGCCCCTACGCCATTCTTACGCACGCTTTCATCCTTGTTGGCTCGAGATCATTCAACCTATATGATTCCTTTGCTGTCTACCACGCTCTTCTTTATTGCGGACCATCTTACCGATGTAGACACCGCTAAACTCCCAAGCATGATGTTTGAACAACATGATCTGTCACCTGCATCACCGGATTGGTTGAAGAGCTGGGAGGACATTCTTTCAAATCCCACTTTATTTGCTCCTACCCGAGCGCTAACACGGTTGGAAATTATGAAGGCATTACGATCCGTCTACGACTCTCTCAAGGATATGCATAGCTACAGAAAGGCCCTGGCAGACCTAGTCTTCGATTTTTGTCGGGTACAGGCAGACAACCCGCAGGAAGACCTGACATTCGACAGCAGCGTGGCATGGAGAATATTGGGCGATGAAGTAGTTCTTCGTGCAGTAGAGGCACATACTGCATCAGCATTGGTGACCCCATCTTCAGAGTCCGACGCTCCGGCTCTCTTCCCACCTATACGGGAATTTATAGACCTTTTGACAGCTGTTGCCGTCGAAGGAGGAGTCCAAGAGGATGACGATGACACCGGATGTGCCCACGCTTCTGACACACCAGTGTCACCTGCATTTTCCTCCAACAGTGCTTCTGCTGCTGTAACTCCTATGCTCTCAAGGAAGCAGTCAGAGCAGCGCAGCGGAAATGTGAGAGACAGAGATTCGACTATGCCCTCTGTCATGTCAATTCTGTCATCCCTTGCGGGTTCTCGCTCTCAGTCCCAACACTCTCAAGAACATGAGAGTGCCCGCCCTCCATTGGTCGCATCCCCTGTATCAGAGCCAGTATTGCCTCGTGCAGCTGTGGCAGTAGTGTCGTTGGTTTCGATATTCAGCCAACTCGCCTTCACTCCTCATGCACTACTTCAGCGTAACGTCATATTAGCAGGCCAGGTATTTGATACTTTGGTTCAGCTCATTGGTCAGGCAAAATCACCCCGCGCTCGTCTCACTGTTCTCCAGTTCACCATGCGAATCCGTGCCGATAGGGACCACCGCCTTTATTTCGTTGATGCCCATCATGATCCGGATGGCAATATCATGACCTTGGCATCGCTAATTGGCCGCATACCAGAGCCATCGCTTTTTGGACAGGTGCAGCAGTCAGAGGATGAGAAGACTAGTTCTGGTGACTTGAACAATGATGATTCTCATGTGCGCAAACCGCAGCATCGAGGTACTCAAGAGCGTGATGGGAGACGAGCATCTCGTGGGAGGGGGCTCAGGCCAAACCAGTCGGCAGGCAGCCGCAGTAGGTCGAGAGCACCGTTGTCAACGCCATCGCCCAGTACAGGTCAGGTAAAACCGCAGGAGACCCTCTGGCAATTTCCCGAATCCCTCCCATTCACTTCGATAGATCCAGACAATCCAAGCGAGGGTATTTTTTCCTATGATCCAGTATTCGAGTCTATTGGTGTCCTACGCATAGACTCTTACTTGTGCGCCATCTTCGACGTCATAGAGAAAGAGACAAATTGGGAAATTCTTTCCTATGTACTCTGTCATCTTCCCGTCCAACTCGCAAACAAACACCTATTTTGCGGCCCCAAGTGTCGTGAGATGATTGCGAGGTTGCTGACGTGTCTCTGTTCTGGACTGGGATGCGGTGGATTAGCATCCAGCGGAATAGCGTCCAGTATTGACCGATGGCCTCTCGGTCTCAAACCTCGTGACGCTCATGGGCTGGCATTTCACACACTCACTGTCCTCGTCAGCTATCGGCGGCACTTCGACCTGCAGTTGCGACACGCGATTGTTGATGTGTTTCTAAAAGGGTTGGACAGTCAGCCCACGACCATCATCTGCTGCCTACAGGCTTTGACGTTATGTGCCTTCGAGCTTCTTCCTTCGCTCAAGAGGTCCCTACCATCAATCCTGGAGAAGCTGTCGCAGATCATGTCAAATCCAGACATGGCTGTTCACATCCTCAGCTTCCTCTCCATTGTCGGCTCCATCCGCGCGCTGCATGCTAATCTGCGAGAAGAAGACTTCAAAATGGTGTTTGGTGTTGCGCTGCAATACCTTCAGCATCACAATCGACGTCCTGGTGCAACGCCTGCAATCTCATGGGCAATGTCTCAGTATGTTCGGATGATTTCATTCTCCGTGGTATATGTTTGGTTCTTAGCAGTCAAGCTTCCCCATCGTCCTCGACATATTTCATATATCACTCGCCAGTTGCTTCTAGCAAACGAAGGAAAGGATGACATTGACGAACCCACCGAGGTGTGCTTCGACTGGCTGGCGCGATATGCATACGCCAGCGCCGATCCACGACCTGCTCGTTCGATGCTCAGTGAGATTGTGATGAACCCAAATAATCTGGCATCCCCGGACCCTGCTATCAGTGAAAAGACATGGATTTTGGGTAACTCTGTCGTCACCATCCGCGCATTGGCTCGCCTTGGTTGGATTGAAGTCCTATCCCGCCGCCCTTCTGGGTTGACTAGGTTCCTCTGCAAGCTAGAAAATATACCCTTGGTTGGGCCCGGTGATGTCGATCCTGATATGGTTTCTGTGGCTGCGGGCATGATGATGGAGCGCGATGTTCCGCGCCCTGAACGCCCCGATGCAGGCGTTGATCAATCGCTAGAAACAAGTCCTCGTAGTGTAAGTCGGAACTCTTGTTCACAAACTAATGGACTCATCCATTCTAGGACACGATCAACACCGTTATCGTAGGAGATGATGGTAAAACTGCGCCACCAGCACCAGATCCAATCACTGGCTATGTGTGGAGTAATACTGCTCCCTCTCAACGTCGAAAATACGTTGCCGTTGATCCTGCTTTCTTCACCCTCCAGCTTTCCCCTTACCCTGATAGGAACCAACCCTCTAGCCAGCGGATGGTCGATGCAGCGTTACTTCCAGCTCTCTTCCGGTCGTTGGATCAGATTCCCGTGATTGATACCCATAAAGTGGGAATCATGTACGTTGCACCTGGCCAGACACATGAACTTGATATTTTACGGAATACCCATGGGTCGCCTGCGTATACAAGGTTCCTCGAGGGCATCGGCAGACTCATCAATCTCCGAGGTCAAGTCGACGTCTATGCAGGTGGCCTGAGCCCGGACGAAGACGGTGAATACGCCTATGCATGGTGGGATGATATAGGTCAAGTCCTTTACCACACCGCTACGATGATGCCATCCAAACCTCACGACAACTACTGCGTCGATAAAAAACGACATATTGGAAATGATTATGTCCGAATCGTGTGGAATGACTCTGGAATTCCCTATCAGTTTGATACACTTGCCACTCAGTTCCAATTCGTGAATATTGTCATCGAACCCCATTCCCTTGGCGCAATCGCTGCCTTTTCTAATAATATCCACGAGAACGAGTATTTCAAGGTCACTATCCAACGTGCCCCTGGCATGAGTGACTTTACACCTGTCGGTGATTTCAAGCTCATATCGGCGGAACAGCTCCCTTTGCTGGTCAGGCAACTCAGCTTACTGGCGGATTGTTTTGCGTCTGTATTTGAACGCACAGAACGAGACACCAAGGAAGTTGAGGTAATCACCAACTGGCGTGCTCGACTCCAAAAGATTATGACTTTCAAGAAGGAGAAGATGCCACCCCTGCAGACTGGGGGTGAAATCGAGGAAGTAATTGGACAGGAGGCCTATCGCAACTTCACGGTTACATTTTAGCCTTATTGCATTTTGCAGCAATTCTACCTAGGCGGATATTTTACATCGAATATCATATCTTCTTCTCTACAATTCACTCATTGGTTAAGCTGATTGTTGCTCTCTACATGCCAGATCTGTTACTTGTATTATTTACCACTGCTTCTACCATGATTTGCATGCTGTAAAGTACGTCAACACTCACTATAATTTTGCGACGGGGAGGAAACAAATAGTCAGTCAATGTGACTAATTGTACCAATCACCCAGGCTTCCTTCTCGTCGTAACTCAATTTTACGAGAGTTCAAGCTTGCAGGAAGCAGTAGGTCCAAGCATATCAAACAATGGTGCTTGCAAATTCATAAGATGAAATTCATCAAGGGGACAGGAGCCACAATCAATTCAATCAATAAGAACTACCCTGCTATCAATAACGGTCCTAAACAAGGCTGGGTGTCAGCTGCAGTGAGTACGTTTCCTGAACTCCAGGGTTCACCCGAAAATGGGGAAAGAGCGAGCTGCTGTGAGAGTGAATGCGGAAACAAATCTTGGTCAAGTGGGCGGAAATTATGGGGCTATCAGGTGAGTTTACCGGTGGGCAAAGACTCGTCACTAAGAGGGCTGTTGCTGAGCATATTGCTGTTGGTAGTACTGGGCGTAGTTCGCTGCATAATCCTGTGATCCGTAACCTGGGTAGCTTTGCTGGCCCCACTGCGCGCCATACCCAGGAGCGCCGTAGCCACCATAAGCTTGAGGTGGGCGGTACCCTTGATTTTGTGGAGGATTGTTGGATTGCCAGGACTCTGGTCGGCGCCAAGGTGGAATATTGGACCCGCCTGCAGTGATATCATGACCAGCACTGGGGGCACCCCACGAGCTCTTGGCAGTATCGCCGCCTGTACCTCTGCCACTCTCGCCAAGCTCTGCCATCAGGCTAGCATACTCAGAGTCGAACCCTCCCTTGTTCATAGGAGGCGGGCTGCCCATAGCGATAGCGTTGGGGTCCTTGTTGACGGTACAGTCGCGCGCCATGTGGCCTGCACTACCACAGACACGACATATGATGTTAGCTGTGAAGTTGCGCTGTTCTGGACAGTCGTATTTTCGGTGGCCGAGACCACCACAATTCTGACAAATCTGGTTTTCGTCATCACGAAGGGTACCATTCAATGCAGCAAGCTCGCGGAGCTGATTGCGCTTGTGGTCATTCTGACCCTCTGGAGTGGAGGCAGCCTAGAAAACTATGAGTAAAAGATCGATGGTCGCAAATTGTACGCCTTACTGTTTCGATGACCCTGTTAATCATCTTCACGCATGCTGCAACTTTCTCTTCAGAATCAGCGAGAACGAGACAGTGAAGATCTTCTTCTGCATCGTCAGCGTACTGGTCAGGACGAGCTTTGCCTTCCTTCACGCTTCCCTTGCCACGGATACTGATTTTGGCACCGCTTTCCCTCTCCATCTTCTTCAAACTGTTGCCACGAGGACCGACAAGAAGACCAAAGAAATTGATTTCAGGAAATTCCTTGACAGGAATGTAAACTTTTTCGGATGGTCGTTGAGAGCGCTTTTGCTGGTGGTATTCGACAGGAGGGCGAAAGTTGGGGTCATTCTTCATAGCACGATCAACGAGGCGAATTCGCTCGTCTTCAAGCTTTTTGCGATAGCGGACCTCGCGGGTATTAGTACGGCGACCGTGACCGTCATATGTGGGTGGGGGTGAAGGTGATCTGATGCCACAATGAGCACATGAATTTGTAGACGTCAGGGTATCGTCTACTTACCGCTCACGCTCAGGAGGGATGAAATCATTTAACCGTAGCTTACGATTAATCTCTTCCAGCCTCAGGTGAATTGCATAATTGTCCAGTTGTGCCTGAGAAACGCCGGCAGCGGAGATGGCAGTGGGCAAACCAGGGATGTCTGTTTTTGCTTCTCCCCATCGGCTGCGCCTTTTGCGAGCACCATTAGCGTCAGCTGTGGGTAAGTGAAAAGCACATTGTATCAGGGTTAGTAACACAGTCAGTTAGTGATTAGTAAGGTTGTAACAGTAATCGCAACAGACAAGCTGCCAGGATCACCAGCAAATCTCACAGGACGTGCTATAGAGAAATGCTTTACAAGGAAGCACGACTTGGGAAGTCGGTGTTCAAGAATGATGGACTTACCCTGAGAATTGGTGGGTGTCTCCTCCCTCCCCCTCCTCGAGTCTTGGTCTTGATTGGATTGTTTTGGATAGGCAGAGGGAGACGGCTGGGCAAGTTGCGGGCGCGCAGTTTCTTCTGCTGGCGCGGGTCCAAACCGACGACGGGTACCTAGGGGAACTGACAGAACATTCATTAGATAATTCAAGGTTTTATCATCAAAACCGGACCGACCTTCATTCGTTCCAGTAACCTCGCGAGTAGCAGGCCTCCACATTTTTAAACTGGGAAATAGGAAAAGGCTCGAGAGCGTGACGGCGAGTGCAACGAATTGGAGGATGCTGAGCAAGACGTAAATCAATCTCCGAACCCTGTCTCCAGTTGTTTATGGACTCCGCTCAAAATGAGCTTGCTGACAAATCAGCTTTACAGTTTTTCCAAATTGCGAAGCTTGGCTGGATCAACGAAGTACTGGCAGCCCCTCTGCCATTCCTCCTACCTAGGCCTGTATATTATTTGAGTATCCTTCAAAATATGACGCGTGCAGTTGATATACTACTCAAGCAACTGTTGCGCTTTGTTCTATGTACCACAGCCACTCGTCACCATTCCGCTCTCTAACTATTCATTCCCTACCCTACACCTACTAGCTCTCAACTCTCGCCCCCTACAACCGACTATCGGGACCTTCCCGCGGTGACCTGCACATTGTGCCCGATTTGCGCCTGTATAGGCCACTGCCTACCAAAATCTTCCTTTTATAAAGGTCACTTACTAACGTTCTCAGACATCCGAGTATCTTTTATTCTGTCAAAGAACTCTAGCAGGTTGTCAACGGTGTTCCATGGTGCTACATTAAAGAAGGCTCGACTCGGAAGATATCCAAAGCGTCCCCAAGCAACTCGTGGTGTCTCCTTTCAATGACTAATATTGTCTCTCCTCCATAAGCCTTGATGAAACTGTTACAAGCCTTGCAGATCCCGGACGCTAAATTCGCACTGGATAGAGAATACGTGTCGTGTGGCGGTTCAGAAATTGCTATCAGTCGCAAGGTTGAAATCCCCTTACGACAGAAGGACAAGTTGGCCACGGTCGTGGCTTCTGACTCCCTTGTCTACAGGATCAGCCTCAGCAGCCGCTATAGAAGCCAGGCCCCACCATCACACATCTATAGTTGTAGGCGGGACTTCATGCACTCTGTATTACTTCTCACTTTGCTCACAGCACGTCAAGCTTCAAGTTTCGTCAATTTGGTGGTCAATCGTACACGTGAGATTCTGCACATCTGTTGGACTATTTTGCATTCGCCACCTCAATGCTCATGTCCAAGTCGTGATATAAGGAGTATGGCATCAGTAGGTTTTGTCCTATGGGCCTGCAACTTGGAGGTATGACCTGGTGGCCCCACATTATCATCCATGTCTGATGTTTGGTGGCCAGAGTATCGGCGGATGCAGATCGTAGTTTTGCAAGCTGACGGTAGTGGTCCTGGTTGGCCGTTGAGGTGAGATATATACTGGTCCACAAGACATCATGGACGAGCAAGTAATCTCCCTATTTTCAAAATTACCTTCAACTTTCAGCAGAGTCTTAACTTGTAACTCAATGACTGAGCATTGACTCAGACTCATCTTTCAGATGAACTTTGCGGCTACCCTGAAAATTCAAAAATCCAATTTCTCACAGTTTCTCGCAGAAAGAACATTTCCCAGTACTATGTAGTATAAATTAGTGTATCAATGGATCGAAATGCCCAAGAAGGCTTCACCAGTTGGACTGGCGCGGTCACGTGCATGCATGATGAACTAGTAGTACTAGCGATGTTCAACTTTACTGCAATTGGCTTACTGAATTGAGGCTGCCTCGCAACATTTTTCCTTTTCTTGTGATTTCTGCTTCATCTATTGGATATGGGTGTAGCGGGACTCTGGGAGGTTTGTTGCATGAGTTGACACGAAGTTTTGCTCTAAGTTGCGGTCTAATAGATACTACGACCCGCTGGACAAACACAATCATTAACACATCTATCTGTTACCCAAGGATTTGAAGCAAATGCTGGTGGTCGGCGAGGCTTTCGCATAGGCATCGATGCTTCAATTTGGTTCTTCCATGCCGCGTACGGTAAAGAAGGAGAGAATCCGGAACTGCGTACACTCTTCTTTCGCTGTACCAGACTCATGAGCATGCCTCTCCTCCCACTTTTCGTATTCGATGGTCCAAAAAGGCCTTCCGTCAAGCGCGGGAAGAAAGTGAGCGGCAATGCGCACTGGCTCACCACTGGAATGAAAAACATCATCGTTGCTTTTGGTTTCGAATGGAGAACGGTACGTGTACGTGAAAAGTGATGACGAAAAGAAGATTTATGATGCACAGGCTCCTGGTGAAGCTGAAGCTGAGCTTGCGTATTTGAATCGCATGGGAATCATCGATGCTGTCCTCTCCGATGATGTCGACAACTTTCTATTTGGTGCCACTATGGTTATCCGCAAGTAAATCCTGTCACCCTGAGCAAACTGTCAAACGCTGACTCTCGTATAGCCCCAGCAATACACTTTCCGGAAACCGTGCGCATCCAGTGAAAAACGCTGACGGACGTGATGATGGAAACCACGTCGTGACGTATCGCGCCGCTGATATCCTCTCTCACGATGATATCTGTCTCTCGCGAGGAGGCTGTATCCTAATCGGCCTCCTTTCCGGTGGGGACTACCATCAAGCTGGCGTTCAAGGATGCGGGAAGCTCATTGCCGCTGCCCTCGCACGTTGTGGATTTGGAGACCGACTGCTAGAAGCTGCCAACTCCCTCAGCCGCGAGGAGCTAGAGGGCTGGCTTGACACATGGCGTGACGAAGTGCGCGAGGAACTGCGTACGAACAAGAGCGGCCTCATCGGATCGAAGAAGCCTGCACTTGCGAAGAAGATTCCTAATGATTTTCCTGATGTCGATATTCTACTATCCTACACCAGACCTATCACGAGCGAGACAGAGGGTAAACCTACGCGAGACATCACTTGGGAACTAGAGCCTGACATTGGTAAAATTGCTGCACTTTGCGAGCTGTACTTCGAATGGGGTGTGAAGGACGTGATCATCAAGCGTTTTCGCACAGTTTTGTGGCCAAGCGCCGTTCAACGTATCCTGCGGCGTGGTGCGATAGAAATGGAAGAGAAGAAGCGTAAGGGTTTACCGATGAGCCCTAAAAAGAGCAAAACAACAGGCAAACTTGCGCCGGGAACACCCTCGAAGATGATTACAAAGTATTTTTCGTCGATGAAGCTTCACTCTCCATCCAAAGACAATCAAAAGGAGCAAGAGTACAGTGATACTGCATCCGAAGCAGAAGAAGATAGGCTTATTATCAAGATTCACTCCTCGCGACGGCACGCGTCTACGGATGGAATTCTTGAGTACCGTCTTGAGATTGCCCCTGCGCAGCTCGTACAACTGGCTGGAGATGGCATCCAAGGGATCAGGCCCCCAATCGAAATAGATACTGCTTTCGATGACACCGAAGGTGATGATGAGGATAGTGGTGGTGGTGGAAAGAAAAAGGGCAAGAGCAAGGAAAAGAAAACTCCACCCGACCCCGAGAGTCACCTTCGTGTGTGGATGCCAGCATGTATGGTGCAGATCGTGGAGCCGGAGCTTGTTGAAGCTTTTGAGGACATCCAGCGCAGAAAGCTGGAGAAAAAGACCAAGCGGTCGAATAAGACAGATAGAAAGAAGAAGGCTACTTCCACTACCCAGGGAGATAGCGATGGAGATGCCCTCCCTGTTCTAGCTCCTACAAAGAAGAGACCTACCCGTCAGAAGACAGCTGTGGCGAAACGACAGGACAGCGAGCTTGCTCCTCGCTACCTCACAATCACCAACGCTGCTGCTGATCCTTTCCTGGAGCCCAAGAATGCTGTTCATGCTGATACGTCCCGGCAATCCAAAACTAGTTCCAAGAAACATACGAAATCATCCGATTCAGATTCTCCACAATCCTACATAACCAAGTCTCCAAGAAAATCTCCGCAACAAACATTTTCACGCTCGTCAGGTTTAATCAGGCCCATGGGTTCAACATCATCTATACGGCCGATGCGCAAGCTTGACGACATCATCGATATCTCGGGTATGACGGAGAGGAAAAAGAAAGATGTTTCCGCCCCAGATAAGGATATTCTCCCTATTTCATCCTCTCTGAATAAGACGACGGTCCATCAAAAGAAAGCAGTTGTGGAACCCCGGGCTACCGCGCTTGCTCCCTTCCCGATGTCAGGTTTCATCAATACTTCTGAGGATCCTTTCATAGATCCCACGAATCCTCATACGTCCCAGCAGTCCTCACAAACCTGCTCTAAGAAACTTACCAGATCGTCCGACTCCGAATCTCTCCAATTCCCCGTAACCAAATCTCCAAGGAAAACACAACAGCGGACATCCCCGCGTTCGTCAGGCTTAATCATGCGCCCGAATTCACCATCCCTTGTGCGATCTATCCACAAGTTTGACGATGTCATTGATATCTCTAGCGATTCCGATGTACCATTACCACCCACAAAACTTTCTGTCAAAGCACCCCTGCTACTGGCCAGAGAAAAAGTCAAAAAGGGGAATAATTCATCTCATTTCAAAAGCAAACACCCTAACCTTGAGTCGACGTCCAAGGGTCGATCAACGAGAACAATTGTGGCAGAGAACGACATCATTGATTTGACTTGCTAAATCGATCGTTATGATGGTTGATTAACGTTGATTGGTTGTAACTTGAGTTTTTGGTTGTACAGCAAGCTTGTATGTGTAGTAGACAGATATAGGATTTGCCCTCTGCATGTTTCGAATGTGAAGTATTGTTAGATAGTTATCCTTTACGAGTTCGTCGATCTTAGAATGATCCTTCCATGACTATCACATTATATAGTGGTCTACCGAAGATTTTCTTGCCCTCTTCGATGTTTTCTCCTTGAGCTCATCTTATTCCTCAAGATACATGAAGTTATTTGTTGCATACTCATCTATGAATATGGTAGTAGTACTGCAAGCTTGACTATTGGCAGCATTGAGCAATCTATGGACGAATGGATGTGAAAGCGGATACTAGCGGAGAGAGTGGAAGGTATTGATACACTATCAATTGAAAATGAGTGGCAGTACAGTAGTAACTCGTCGGAAAACAACAGCTTGTCAAAATCAAGAAAACAGCAAAGGGAAATACATAGCGTCCATTCACATAAGTGAGATTTGGTACTAATCGTGCAATCAGGTGATAGGGGTGTCGAATCGTCGACATACATGTCTAACCACCAGCCTTGCCGAGCAAAGCATAGCCATTTCCTGCTGGGCCGTGCAGCTACATCGCACACATAAAAATGTAGAAAACAAGACAAAAACGGTAGCCGTACCTTTGAGTAGCATCGATGGCAAAGGGGATCTCCGTCTTTCTCGGTTAATCTAGTCGAATCTAACAGGGCATTACACTCCTTGCACCTTAAACATCCTTTGTGCCAAGTCTTTCCTATGGCCTTCATCTATCCCGCGCATATCAGTCAAACTCGCACCAGCCTCTTGGAAAAAATCACCTGTTCAGCGAAATAAACATTCTTCCCACACCGCGGACACATCGGAGTTGCGCCCGCAGAAAAGGCCTTTACAGGAGTGCCACCGCCACCAAATGCTACGCCATAGCGTGTACCGGTGGAAATTGGTTGTAACGGCGTCATCGGAGATGAACTTGAGCGTGCAAGTGTTACAGAAGATAATTTCGGGGTAGACGCAGCACTAGTTCCATTGCTTGCTGATTTTGTCGGACTAAGTGGGATAGTACGGGGCATGTCGCCGATGCGCACTGTGCTAGTAGCTGTCCCCGCAAACGTGAGGGCTGGAGGTGGCAAGGATTCTGCCGGCGTCTCTTCTCTCATCCCCTCGTGATGTAAGCTTGTGTTGACAGTTTGATTTATGTTTTCAGAGCTAAGTTCAGCAATGGGATCAATGGGTGAGCGATTAAACCGTGCGGGGAGAACCGAGTTTGCTTTGAGGATGGGCGGTAGCGACATGGCACCGTTCGTATAGCGTCCTGTGCCTGAGTTTTGCGCGCGCACCGGTGATCGCGCACCTTGCCGCTGGCTTAGATCTATTGATTCACCACGCATGAATGTGGGTGCAGGGAATGAGTTGCGGACAGGTGATACAGGAAGTGGCGGAGGTGTGGCCATGTCATTGCGATGGGGGAGATTGGCATGTCTCAGGTCGCGAGTGCCGAAGTTTCGAACGTGACATGTTTTGCTATAATTCAAGTCAATGATCAGAAGACACGAAGAGTCTTGTGGATTACCAATATGGCTAAGTAGAAAAGAGTAAGCTACACGATGCATAGCAACCTCACAGGCAAGACGCACCTCTTGATCGTGTTCAAGAAGCGTTAACGAGTCTAACCTCTTATTACATGTCGTGCAGGCCAGGCAAGGCTGACCGGACTTGTTGTAAATCAGATGAACCGAAGCGTGTGGGGGAACTCACCTTGTGATAGAGCTGATTACGCTGATTAATAACATTTGTATTGCAGAGTACTATTGATCAGCCCACCTTCCTTCCAGGTCCCATCACCTGTCGAATATCATAAGAATTCGCGAAGCATGAAACGAGGCTGCTCACCTGTTCTGCAGCATAAACAGCCTTGTTGCATCTAGGACATATCGGTGTACCGCCAAACGGGTGCATGGCAGCTATATAATACAACTGACTTGTACCTGACGAAGCTCGAGTCACAGATTGGTGCAAGCTCGAATCTTCAGTGAAATATGGTCGTTCGCTGTCGCTTATGCGCGACTATGTACTCTGGAGGAGTAACGGGAAACATCCATCGGAGATTGAAAGTTATATCGCTTTTTTGCTACAGGCCAAATCTTTCATTCATCGCCATCTCCCTCTTATCCAGTTCATAGATTTTTTTGTTTTCTCTTCTTATTCTGTCATCATGTCTGACGATGAGCAACACAACCAGCAGTTCGAGCAGGTCCGTTTATTTTATCTGAAATGCTTTGCGATCATAGCAGACAACTGATCTTGCGGTGATCATCATTTAGGCTAGCGCAGGTGCCTCGCTCACTTTCCCTATGCAATGTTCTGCGCTTCGCAAAAACGGTCACGTTGTCATAAAAGGTGTGTTAGACTGTATCTCCCCTGCATTGCCGGCCCGACAACCTCATTCCAGGTCGTCCCTGCAAGATCGTTGAGATGTCTACCTCTAAGACCGGGAAACACGGTCACGCGAAGGTCCATCTCGTCGGTGTTGACGTGCGTCTATGTTCCACTAAACCTACCAATTGCTGCTTCAATTCCGATTACACAGATCTTCACTGACAAAAAGATGGTAAAGTATCAATAATTGACTCCGTCATAAGCGCTACCGCTTATGGCTCCCTGTGTCGTCCTTTTTTTAAATAGGAAGATATTTCCCCTTCTACCCACAACATGGATGTTCCCAACGTGAATCGTACTGAGTATCAGCTTGTGAGTGTACTGTTTACCTATGTCTCCTGTGATAACTCAAACCTGCAGTAGATTGGTGTCGACGACGGCTTCCTTAATCTTATGAACACTGATGGAGGTACTAAGGATGATGTTAAGCTTCCTGACGGCAAGCTTGGTGAGGACATCTTATCTAGCTATGAAGTCGCGGAGGTCGTCATGGTCACAGTCACTGCTGCGATGGGCGAGGAGCAAGTACGTTCATCATGTAGCGCCCTTGCAATGTTTCAATTATTAATGCGCATTCCAGGTTACATCTTTCAAAGTCTCCAATCAGTAAACGTATGTCTTTTTCTTTGACCATCTCTCTATGGGCGATTTTCACACAACTTGTTGTCAAGATCTTTCACTTCTGATTGTCGTACACGTCCTGTCATTTTTCTGTCACGTCAGCTATTCTCACTTTCAGTCAATATCTGCGCATGTACTTTCATCAAGGCATTGTACTGAGTGTACATCAGTATGACTAGGTTCCGGTATTGGAATAAAGAATTATGTATTTCATGTTGTAGACAGGAGGCATTTATGGAGGAGATCCCAGTCTCCCATTTGTTCCGAGTCATTAATCGCAGTGAATACCCAAAGGCCCAAAACCACTTCCGCATAAGAGGTTGTAACCTTGCATGCACTCCAGTTGCCCACAATAATTCTTTGTCCTTACTATCGCCAACGCGGCAATCCAGTCTCATTATATATACTGTGCACGAGACGTGCAATAACCTGGCGTGAGGCAGATGTGCGCGCGACCAACCTGCCACGAATTTGAAGTCCCACAGTTAGATTTTCCGACGAAATCGATGTGCAGATTACTGATTATTTTCTGCATTTTATTTCTATATTAATAATATAAGCTTTATTTATAGGTTGTTTGGTCGAGCATCATCCTACATTTGAAACACAGGACTCGGTATTTTGATTCTTCACCTTGGACAGTGACCACGACAAGCAATATCACTCATACGGACAAGCCCTTGACTCACTAACGAATTCCTGAACATGACCAGCTCCAAGGAAAATCCAGATTCTGACCTCTACGGAGGTGAGCATTGTTTTATGTTACCAGCTCTAGGGCAACAACTTGTATTACACAGACCTGTACGATGACGAGTTCACTGTTCCACTGGATGACGAGGCATCTCCTACCACAGAAGCTCCCCCGCAAGCAGACAGGAATACCGAACTTGTAAAAATGGAAACTTCAGCAATGACCACGTCGACGTCATCTCTACCTGCAAAACCTCAGTCTTCAAAAAACGACCATGCTTTGTCATATTCGGCGCAGGTTGCAAAGCAGTTCTCTGCATACCAACAGACACCGAGCCAGGAGCGTATCCAGAAACCACCTTTGCCCCTTCCACCAAATCCGAGTGCACAAGGTGGGCCTTCGGCAATAGCAACGCATGAAGGACCAACCGACAGCCATGCTGACAGGCCTATCCGACCTTCAGAAATGAAAGATGAAGGGTAAGTGCACGCTTGCTATATGTATGGTTATTTGTCCCTGTATTCTCCTTTGGCGAAGCACTTCTAGACTCAGTCTCCGCTATGTCTTGCACGATAGTTTATTCTTGTCGTTCTTTCATGAAAGATGAACGAACGGAAGCCTGACAGTTACAGTACATGCCGCTGCACTGCTACTACTGCTTACAGTCGAGCTTACTATCTGCACCTACACTCTCCGCATCGCCTATGCGTCTTTTATACTCTCATGGCTACTTGCTATAATTGGTCACTAATCACTTATATCTTTCTGGATACTTCCTTGGACCCATCGACACGCTCTACTCTTACTACATGCCTCACCTACGGATCCTTGCCTCACTTACGGTCGTCACCTCCGATAGCAAAATGTTTATTGGCGGCCTTAACTGGGACACTACAGATGGTATACACCCATGCAATGACAATCAACTTCTATCTACTGACTACTATCCTATGTTGTCCTTCCTATGAGCAGACGGTCTGAGGACTTATTTTTCCCAGTTTGGCAAGGTAATTTATTTTTGGATTAAAGCTGTCAATGAACGTTGTGCTCGGTTTATGATACTGATGAGCATTTAAGGTGGATGCTTGTACCATTATGCGCGACCCGGATGGACGCTCAAGGGGCTTCGCTTTCTTAACTTTCGAAGAACCGGAAAGTGTGAATGCTGTCACTGGACGGGAGCATATTTTGGACGGAAAAGCTGTCAGTGTATCTCTCTTGCAATTTAAAAAAAAATCCCACTAACATAGCCGATAGATCGATCCGAAACGCGCAATTCCCCGAGAAGAGCACCTGAGAAACACGCGGTACTTTGTTGGTGGTCTCGCTCCCACCACCAATGCAGACACAATGCGCGAGTTTTTCTCGCGGTTTGGCAAAGTCGTCGACGCGACAGTCATGGTCGATCGCGAGTCGGGCCGTTCCAAAGGCTTTGGCTTTGTAACTTTTGAGGACTCGAATAATTCTGATGAGTTTGTGGGAAAACTCGGGTTGATGTTGGATGATAAGCAGGTACGTGTAGATGCGTTTACCGAACACATTCTCTTCTCAACATGTCGCCAGATTGAAGTGAAAGCTGCTCAACCCCGAAGCCAGCGCGATCAAGCGCGAAACATGCAACAGGGGAACCGCGAACCCTATTTCAACGACTCCGAATCACGCACGCCCAACACGTCCGCAATGGCTTTCCCACAACAGGCTAACTCCGCAGCCACCAACATGCTTTATCAGCGTGTGATGAGTCAAATGCCCATGATGGGAGCAGCGAACATGGGCATGATGAATCCCATGATGATGGGCATGGGCATGGGAGGCTTGGGAGGTATGAATGGCATGGGCGGTATGGGCGGTGTAGGTGGCATGGGCGGCATGGGCAGTATGGGGATGAACATGATGGCGGGTATAAGTCCAATGGGTGGTATGGGTATGAACGCCATGCGGATGGGAATGCCAGGGATGGGCATGATGAACGCTGCGGGCGCAGGTGTAGGAATGGGGATGAACAACATGGGGATGCGTATGCGGCAGGGCATGACTGGCGCTGTTACCCCGAACGCGAACGCAGGGCGCATGACAATGAACCAGGGACTAGGTCCATCGAGAATGTCGAGTCGTGGACAGCATTCATTCCATCCATATGCACGATAGTTTTTATTTGCTTTGCACCTGCTGATCTGTACCATATATCACCACTAGTTATTTAATCATGCATCATGATGAGTGCATGACGAACTTCTTCTTGAAGTGCGCTATCTATTCACGTGCAGATAATGTTGTCTCTACTACCACAATTTCAGCTACGGAAAATATCATACCCGAGAAACTAGTTATGTAGTGACCCGCGATATCCTCCCGCTGACCTGTCCGTGACATAGATCGACACTGATCCGAATACTCACACTTTCACCTCGTAATTTCGTCATTTCAGCTGGATTTTTCATCTCTGTAGTTAGACTTAAGCATACATCTGGTTGAGACAAGAGGCAAAAGAAACTTCAGCATCATCATGTCCAACCTCTCATCTTCGCTACTAGCACTAACACCTGATCTCCAGGTAATTTCTCCACAACCACCTGACTTCCTTCCTCGTCGTTCATCCCAACATATTCTTTCCACCTATCCAATTCCTCATACTCAACATTGAGTGCCCTCACAATATTCGACAAATAACCAAGATCCGATGAGAGTTGTGCGGCTCCTGCAACAGAAAGCGTACGGATCTTCGGCAGGACGCTGCTGGTAAGATGGGATAGGATAGAATGTCCGAGGGAGGACAGCCAGGCTGCTGCAACTGCCTCTGGGCTCAGCACTACCGGCTTGGGAGGCAAGACGAGCGAAGCTCGTCGGTTGTGCCCAAGCTCAGAAGACTGGGCATGCATGTGTTCACTCAGACCGCTCAGATATGCTTCATCAACATTCGGGAGTGTGTTTAGCGAGAAGCATAGTGCATCATCGTCTGCATATACCTCGAAGAGCCGCGGGAGATTCAACAGCCCCTCCGCAACGTGTTGAACGATATCGCTAGGGGAAAGCGAAAAGACAGGCACGTGCAAATCACCAGTTGTGCGCATGGACTTTGGATCACCCGGTACCGCCCAGAGCGCAAGGGATGCATAGGATGAGAGATGTGCATGCAAGGGGGCAAGAAGGGTATGCTGGAGGGAGGACTGAAGGGCTCTGGCAAGGGACGCAATGGATGTCCGCGTTGTAATGAGTAGTGGAACAGGGGGTTGGGATTCTGTGGATGATAAGAGATCATGCAAAGCTGCGCTATTCAGAGAGGATTGCGCCAGGAGCGAACCAGCACCCTTGGTTGCACCAGGTGTATACACCCCGCCTTCGTGCTGTGCCAGTCGGAATGCTGTGGCGATCTGCACGAGTGCAGCTCGCAGCTTACTCTCAAAAGTTCTGAGTCGATCAAGTACCGCTCGTGTAGATGCGAGGAGGTGCAAGACGAGTTGTATATTGCTCCAGTCCTGCGGGGAGTAATCCAGATCTGCGAGGTCATCTCCGGATTCCATTGGGACACCCGAGGGGGCAGAAATATTTTCAGTCAGTGATTGGGTCCAGGAGTCAACAAATGAAGCGAGAGACGAGTCCAATGCAGATATGAGTCCTGGAGCAGCATATCCATACGTGAAGGACATGCAGCGTACAAGGCTTTCCTCTGCGGCACTAAATACATCGACCGCGCGCTCGCGAAGAAGGCGAGCTCGGTCAGTGCCTGAGTTCTTGTTAGGGGTGAGTGTGGAGGCGAAGGATAGCTCATCAGATAGGATACGCCGCTCCAGTGTTCCATAGTCGACTTGAAAGTCTAGAAACGCCTGGAAGAGTGTTTGGTCCCAATCAAGTACATCATTGAGTGTTGACTGCTGCGCCCGTGAAAAATTCGTGGCCGAATTCGATCGCCAGGACATGGACATACGCATGGACCGGCGGCGGATGTGCTTCGGAGGCAAAGGACCATCCAAAGTACTGTCCGCAGGGATAACAGAGAACTGTATTTTCTCCATAATTTTGTTTGTGCTCACCGCGAACTCCTCTGTCGTTTTGTAGATGGCTATGACATCCTTGAGAGCAGATGAACCGGTGGTGTTGAAGAGGGACGCAAGACGCTGAGGACACGAAGGCTGCAGGATGGACAAAGTGGAAGTAATGAATGTTGAGAGCGTGATCTGAGGATCAGGAAAGATGGCGGGAATAGACGTGCGCTCTGCATTGAGGACGGCTAGGAAACTGGCGCAAAAAGTTGCCCAGAAGGCGCTGAACGTCTGTCCCGGCAGCACTGACGGTTCCGTGTCTTCCAAAACCTCGCTCTGCCACAAAGCAACAAGCCCTGCTCTCCGAGACCCGAAGTAATAGTTCCTGAACTCACTCTCCCTCTGTATGTTGGAAAATATCCCGTAGAAGTTCCTGCAAAGTGCCGTATCGCCCGAGTTGATTGCACCGACCAACGCGGAACTGAGGGCAGCCTCGAGTTGGTTTTGGAGGGATACCATCAACGCACGACGAGGCTCATACTCCGGAGTTCCCGCAAACACAGGCATACTTCTGCTAGCCTCGCTCAATCTCTCGGCAGCCTTGTCATATGCCCGTTCCGCTAGCAATGCAGTGACTTCAGCCTCTAAGCTGGACCACGACTCTGCTTCACGCAGTACATCCCTCACAGCTTCCATCCGTCGTTTTGCAGTGTCAAGAGTTTGCAACTTGTCAAGAGCAGCAGAAGTGCCCGTTTCAGCTGGGATACGGGCAGTGACGGTGGCAAGAGCAGAGTGTAGGGAGAGGGCACCATCACGCATAAAATGGAGATCATACGTGAGACGAGGAGCACTGTGTGACACTTCATCGATTGTGCGTTCGAGCGCAGCTGAAGTCGTCACTGCTGAGAGGTCTGTGGCGGTCAGCAGGTCTGCCAACAGCGACTCGAGAGAAGCGAGTGGAACATGATTGTCTTGTGGTGTGAGTGTGTCGTTAAGCCATGTGAGTACGTCGGGTGCGTCGTCTAGCTCTTGCACAAGTGCAGATGCTGATGTGGAGGTCATACACGCTGGATTTGATGTCTATTATAATTGTTGTTTGCACTGACAGTGATGGTGATCTAATGCTCACGCAAAGTCGTCAGCTATACACGTCTGTGGACTGATATGCTGGAGGATTGTGACATAATACACTGCAGGTTAATATTGCCAAGTCAATGAAAACAGTTTCAAAAACACATAAATAACAAAGTTGGATGACAGAAGCTAACATACAAATTGGCATGGAATGAACGGAATAAAATGGACAGCTCCTTCAACCACACTTCAAATGAAGCTCGTGACAGATTGAAAGTATCACAATTATCAAAAGACGCTAATGAACCCCATTTGCAGCAATAGTCACCCTACCCTCCCGCAGATGCTGCGCAGTGCGCTCAGCAGCCGCGTCATATACATACTGCGTGGGCTGTCTTCGAGGCCACATTACATTAGCATTATCTCCACCGCGTACCTCCTCATCCGAGTCAAATACAACCGATCCACGCCTTGGCTCGTAGTACAAATCACTTGAGTCGTGTTGTTCTATATCGACAACGTATTAGCAAACTTCGTTATCAATCGAATAAGAAAAATGACACACCATCATCAACTTCTTCCACGACTCTCCTCTTCCCAAGCGCCTTCGCGCTCGGTCGTATGGGAGATCTAACCTCTTCTTCTTCCACATGGTTTTCGTCTATGTGCAACCGGTCCAAAGCACTACCCATATTTTCCAGCGAGTTCCCTCTTGACGGACGCACCAGGCCACCCCTATCTGGCGAGGGCGGGCGTGACGGGAATGCAGGAGAACGAGGGCCCATGGGGGGAGGTGGCGGTGCGAGAAGTGTTGGTGTGCTCATGGACTGTGGTAGAGAACCGTAGTGCGGATGGCCAGGAGAGAGCGCAGGAGGGACCCGAGGAAGTGGGTGGGTTTGTGAGGGAACAACAGGAGGTAGATCGTGTTGGTGGGGCGAAGCAGGTGGTGATGGCGTTGGTGACGGTGTGCGTGAGGAGCCGCCTCCATAATCATGATGAGATTCTCTGATGTACTCATTTTCCACGTGCTATACCAAATATCAGTCTTGGTCAGGCGGGAGAGGGAGGAAAACAGAATAATAGGACAGTACATGGGAGACAGAATCACTGGTGCAGGCAACAACAGGAAAAGACACTCACTCTTCGGTCCATCTTCACATCCCTCCGACTGATCTCAACAGCCACCTGCTCCTCCGCAAGCCTCACGACATCATCGTACATTCTCAACGCCCCGAAAAGTGCTTCATTCGCGTCAAGCAATGAGCCAAGAAGCTCCTCCTCTAAAGTCTGTTCCTCTCCCTCTGTATTGTAAAATTTAGCATCCATGCCATGGTAATCTCGACTTGGCAGAGAACTAAATTGGACGTCAGCCTGCGATTTCGCTCGTCCGTTTCCTTCTGCATTCCTTTCTCGATCATTGCGTGACCGTTCAGCTCCGGCAGATGCCCATGGAATTTGGGTATATATAAGTTCTTGTGACGCGCGGCATTTCACCAAAAACTCCTGTAGATCAGTTAGATTGATATTAACAGGATGATGGTATGAAAACCGTGATGTGGCATGCAAAGGTGATGCAGCAAACTGACAAAATGGAGATCAGGGTTAGCTGAGAAGTCATACGCACCGGGATTAGGCTCCCTTCTATCTGTTCCGGTTTTGTGTATGCAAGCATCTCGCTAAGGAAAGTTGCATTTCCTTTCGCGATTTTGCATTCCTGGAATAAGCGCTTCATGTCTTCTTCGGGAGGAATAACACCACGCTGGTGGAGATTCTTCTTCGACGGCCGCTAATTGCAACAAGACATTACCCAGATAAACGGGCAAAAAATGGAGCAGGAAATCGATCAGGGTACTTGTCATAAACTAAATCCAAAGAGGGCACTGACCTCCTCTATTGGTGGACGCGTAGGAACTATGGGGGGGCTAAACATAGCATCCTCAGTGTCAAACGGAATCCCCACATCAGGCTTGTCAGCAGGTTTCAATCGCGTCCATAGGGCGCGGAAACTATCCCTATCACGGTCGCGATCTTTAAGCGAGAAAGGCGATGGTTCAGATTTAGGCGAGGGGTGGGGACCTGTAAAGCGCCACCAAGAGGTCATGTTAGTATCGCGAAAAGAACGAAGGTTCGGATGACAGTATGGCTCAGCACTCAGAACCGATGGAGACGGATTTAAAAAGGGGATTGTGGAGTAAACATCAATGAACACGTACGTGAGCTAGTGATAAAGGCGGCGGCTGCGAGCACCTCCATTAGTCGTTCTCTGACGACAGGGCTTGTTCTTGAACTTGTCAGCACGTCCTCGAGAGTGTCAATGAATTTACGGGAGCTGATCTGAGTTATAAAAATATCGGACGCGTTGCGGAGCATTATTGCCCACAACTGTGCAAAGCGTAATGCAGATTAGATGAAGAACGAGTATGCGTTTTCCAAGATGAGAAATCAAGGACGAAGAAACGAATCTGGTCGTGCTCACCCTAGCAGCAGATAATTGAGATTTAGGCTCTGCATATCTGTATTCCAGATACCCTGTTAATGGAAAAAAAAGCGAGATTTGGACATAAAACGCACTTGAATTCCCTCCGAAGGGCTTTCATAGCCTCCTTGGCATTCGCTTCAGTAGCAGACGCGCGCTCGCAGACCTCGAGCACGAGGGACCAGTCCTCGGATGAGGTAGCCGTAAGGTACCCTACGCCGGTATAAATCCCTGCAAAGACACGGTATCGGCTAAAGTGACGCACCAATCATGCGCGTCAACTCTGAGGGATTATCTTCTTCGCGCCAAAGACGATCTCGTCCTTCTTTGTCCTTTTCTCTTTCCTTGTCCTTCTCACGAGTTTCACGCTCTTTATCACGTCCGCGCTCTTTGTCCCTGTCCCTGTCCCTGATAATCCCGTCCCAAAAGCTCTTCCTCTCCTTCTTCTCTGCCCTGTCCCTGTGATCGACTGGAAAATAATCGTCTGGTATTATTTCGTGTGCATGGTGCGGGTGTGATTGTTGCAGGGCATGCTCCAGATGAGGATCAAGCGACTTCAATATACCAAGTGCAGCAGGCGCAGGCTGTGTCTTCTGGATCTTCCGTCCGTCTCTCCGCACCGTATGGGTTGAATTTGAGTTGGTTTGGGGGGTGGGCGTGGGCGTAGGTGTGGTGGTGGTGTGACTTGTAATGCTATATGGACTGCTGGAACGTGCGGGTAATATTACAGGTGGAATCGAAGCTAGTGAAGAGGAGCGGCTCGGTGACATCGGAGGCACCGCAAACTGAGGATACGGACTAGAAGGGACAGGGGGCTCAGATAGCACCTCCCAGTCACGGTGGTCCTCTGAGGGCCGTTTTGGGCGTACGAGTAGTGCATCCTATACATATGCATCAAAATTCAGGTTAGTGATGATCCAAGTCATGACATGGATGATTGTTGCCAAAAGTAAGTTAAAGATGATCAAGACTCACATCGTCGATAACAACATCAACATCTCTGTGCGAAGTTACCTTCTGCTGCTTCACTTTGTCACGTCCAAAAAGTTTCTTCATTGGTAGGATAGAGCGAAAAAAAGAGCTGGGAGTAGATAGACGAGGGCTACAAGCTTCAGTCACTTACACGTGAGGCTGTGTATCACAGCTACTGCCATCACGTGACAAGTCATATTCTCGTCGCGACTGCCGCGTTCAATTCCCGACAGCGTCGGCCAACCCGTCTTGGCTGGTCTCGTAGCCTTGGCACTCACATACAGCCACTTGATCTATCAGTACTTGAAGCTTCAGTACTTTGGTGATTGCACTTGTGTATTAATGCAGGTGATAATGATTATATAGCAAAGTCACATATGATGGCGCTTGTAGCTTTGTAAAACCTAGCAGATATTGGCATGTCTACCGACGTATGCACTCGAATAACAAGTGGTGCCCCCTCGGAAGCACCGCCAAGTCTGAGTTTGACTCACTACCTGACAAATAGACGCTTCCCCCGCATTGGTCGCGCACTGCCCACACGCCCAGTTTCTGCTTGATACATCCGATACGCTTCACGAAGATGATCTGGCGTGAGGGGGCCAAAATCATTGCGCCGTGATTGAACCTGGCGAGCTAAATACAAGATAAATGAGAACAGGCAAGACAGGGTGCGTGAACCCAAAGGCGTACCTTTCTCTACGATCTCGCCAACAAACACTTTCCCAACACCTGCTACTATTTGCGCAACGGGCTGAGAAACTTGCTGTCCTGTCGTTTGTTGTATAACCTATCCATAGCGTTGCAAGTGAGACTGAAACATTCTGTTATCATTGCCACGAGCTCGCACCTTTCGTATAGCCTGTTTCGGTAGTGCATGGCGTCGATAGGCTTCAAAGCGTTCATACTGTGCCGGACTGAAATTGTCCATAAGCACTCTAGACCAATTTCATAAGCAGGGTGTACTGTCAAACAAGATACCACAAGATACTTCAGATTATCCTTGCTCTCGCTCTGCCACGACAACTGCGCAGAGTAGTCATCATCCGCCATTGCAGGTAACAGCTCGTCTTCACCCTCTACGTCCTCGTCCGGGGCACCCGCAGGCTTCGCTGCGGTCCCAGGCTGTGAAATTATCGCATCTGTCAAAGAAGCAGCAGCAGTAACGGGTAGAGGCTGCGTCGCCACAGGTTCATCATCCCCACTGTCCATCGATACATCACCAGCATTTGCGGTGGTGTTTTGAACAGCAGAAACTGTCACAGTAGAGGTCGAAGCAGTGGCAGTGGCACCTGAAGGGACTCCAGGAGTTGCCCACTGGGCCGGGGTAAATCTCGTTGCAGGCGTAGATATACTTGGCCCAGATTGTGGTGGAGGGCGAGTATCGGTGGACGCATTAGGAAGTGCACCGCGAGGCTTGCGGCCGCGTTTTGCACCTGTTCCACGGCCGCGTGTTGGCACTGGCGCTGGACTTGGCGTGACCGGTGTACTAGGAGTCATCTGGATAAATGATGTTGGCGTGTACGGCGTGGTCATCGTTGATCTGTAAGGTTGATATCAATATTGTTTCTACCACTTAATGAGGTACAATCCAAATAATCCAAAACAACGACAGACAGTTTGTTGTCACTCTTAGTTACTTAATTACTAGGACTGCTCAATTCTAAGTGGCTGTCAGGGCTCAGTTCGCGAGTTCAGCCCAGCTGAGTTTACCTTTCGACATTTTTAAAAAGATCCACAACTTCAAGCACATCTCGCAGGGCAAGCCCAACTTCTCATGAGGCTCGCGACTGTGCTGGGCGACAATGATGATGAGCTTGATGACGATTATCTGTCTGATTTTGATGCATTGCTCATGGCAGCTCTCGAATATTGATCCCTCGCAGTTTCTATTACTGGTGATGGTTCGTTCACGAGGACCATACTATCAGATTCCTCGGTGCAAAGACTTCTTTTCATGCTGCTTGCAAAGTCCTGACTGTGAATTTCGACACTATTTTCAGTGTGTAGTGTAGTTTTGTGAATCAATGATTCTTCCTCGACTTTCAACCAAATGAGAGTCAGTCGATACCCCTTCAACCGCCTTTGACAGGCTGGTTGCACAACTAGCAGATAACCCAATCTTCACTTCGACTGGAACGAAATCACAACGACATGTGAAGTATCAGCTTGGGTATTTTCTTTTTTGTTATGGTATGCTTGGATCTGACTCTCTCTGAGTCGCAAAAGAGTTGGTAAAAGATAGTCCCACTACGAGAACAAAAATTGACCTGACTTCCAGGATGCAAATAAGTGGCAGCAAACGTAACCTGTCGACCACCGTTACAGTCCCCGCTGCCCTGTACTGTAGGTATGACTCAAAGTGAGTCAATACGATGTGACAAAAAACGTATCATACACACCAGGTGAAGCATTCAGCGAAACATCTGATACTATTCAGTTTCCAGCGATGTGATTGTGTAACATAGACATTTTCTGGGCCCTTGGCGTGAATGCTGCGCCATAATATTGCTATGCCACATCAACTACAACAGCACGTTTTTGGACCGACTCTTTCGTGTTGTGTTGCAGCTTTCTGACTGCGAACATACAATTAAAAGACAAGATTGTTGTGTATTGAGCAAACCCAGGAGGAAAAGTCAATGATATCGGTATTTCTAAAGGTTGTTTTAGGCGAACGGTCAATCGTGAAGCCCGTGAGCGTGACTGCGAATCAATTGGGCAGAAAACATGGGGGGTATCATGAAACATAGACCCCTGCACAGACAAATCATTATCCATGCTCCGAGGATTGTCTGCCGAGTCAGGCAGCCACGGACGGATGAGAAGAATGTCTGCAGAGCCGACTTTGCTCGCAAAAATTGTGTCAGCTTGTCTTGTATGGTAATGCAGGTCACGAAGTCCATTTGCCTCGACTTCATATGTAAAACATGCCTCCTGGCATCGAGCACGGTTCCGTCTGATTTCTGTGAGAGATAATGCAATACAAGACAGACGCAATATGCGGTTTGCCAAACGAGGAGCGCCCGGATCGTCAAGCAGGCTATGAAGTTTCAAAGCTACATCAATACCCAGGAGACCGATGTCTGGATGTCGGCTAGACAGTGACAGAGATGGCAGCGCGCATAGCAGTTGTATTATGACCTTCAGAGAAATAACATCAATGACCGCTTATCGCGACAAGATACCAAGAAACAACGAACAGAAGATAGGCACACGATTGATCAAGGTACTGTCAAAAACCACAAACCGAAAAAGCTGACCTCCTCTATTGGTGATCGCGTAGAAACTATAGGAAGTTAAACATAGCATCCCCGGTGTCGAATAGAATCCACGCATCAAGCTTATTAGCGGGTTTCAATCACGTCCACAAGGCACGGAAATCGCCCTTATCACGGTCGCGATTCTTAAGCGAGGAAGGCGATAGTTCAGATTTGGGCGACGGGTGAGGACCTATCAAGAAGGCCCGCCAACAGGTCGGGTCAGTATCGCGAAACTAACCCAGGTTCGGATGAGGACATGACTCAGGACTTAGGGTCCAGAACAATGGAGACGAGTCTAAAAAAGGGGCTGTGAAGTAAACGGCAGATGAGATGTTGTTGCGAAAGATGCTCAGTAATTGATAATAAATTTAATCAATGGACACACTGACTTAGTGACGAAAACGACGCTTCATTCTCCGATGACAAGAGTTGTTCTTGAGTTTCTTTGCACGTCCTCGAATGGGTCAATGGATTTACGAGAGCTAATCTGAGTTAGAAAGATATCGGACGCGCTGCGGAGTATTATTCATAACTGTACAAACCATAATATTGTCATTGCAAATTGGATGGAGAACTGACGAGTGCCCGTTTGCCAAGATGAGAGATCAAGGACGAAGCAACAAGTTTAGCCCAGCAGCCAATAATTGAGATTTAGGCTCTGCATATCTGTCACAACCCTAGATACCCTGTCAATAGTATAGAAAGCAAAGGCTTGGCTCTGAAACGCACTTGCATTCCCACCGAAGGACTTTCATAGCCTTCCTGGCATTCGCTTCAGTAGCAGACGCGCACTCGCAGACCTCGAGCACAAGCATCTAGTCCTCCGATACGGTAGCCGTAAAGTAACTTATGCCGGTATAAATTCTCGCACATCAAAGACACGGCATCGGCGGAGGTGACGCACCAATCATGCGTGTCAGGTCCGAGATATGATCTTCCTCGCGTCAAGGGGTACTCTCGTCTCTCTGTCTTTTTCACTTTCCTTCCCTCTTTCACGAGTTTCACGCTCTTTATCATGCCCACGCTCCTTGGCCTCGTCCATGTCCATGTCCCTGATAACCCCATCCCAGAAATTCTTCCTCTTTTTTTTTCTATTCTGTCTCTGTGGTAAATTGGAAAAGAATCGTTCGACCCTTTGTGAACATGGTGCGGGTGTGGTTGATGAAGGACATGCTCCAGATGCAGATCAAGGGACCTCAGTGCACTAAATGCAGTGGGCGAGCTGTCCGTCCCTCCGTGCTAGTGCCTCTTAGACATGTACATTAAAGCTCGGGTCAAGTTCGGGTTAGCAATGATCCAAGTTATAACATAGATGAGCCAAAAAGTAAGTTCAAGATCAAGACTTACATCGTCGGTGGTCAGTGCAAGATTCCCATTTGCTGCTTCGCTTTGTCGCGCCCAAAAAGTTTCGTCGTTGGTAGGAAAAACGGAGCATGCGAATGTGTATGAGTTAAGTACTAGTTTAAGTCACAACGGTCTATACATTATTATGTAAATATTAATGTTGAATACGGGTCAATATTAATGTCATCGTCGAGTCTAATGATGACAGTCATCTTTCTTATTAATGGCAAGGTTGAAGAATCCTAATCAGCATTGATCCCAACATTTGCTTGGTCACGGTAGTAGATATATGCTGGCAGCCAAGCCTATGATTGTCTTCAAATGCTAACAGGCGACTCACCGACCGCAATGACTTCGTTGAAAATAACACTGGCAGCAGCTTCCAACGCCTCACCGGTGTACTCGAAGCTTGCCACGCATGCCTGCACGCCTAACACCCTCCCAGAAAATAATTCGTACGGCGCACAGCTCGCCAGGACCACAATCGGTACCCCGCTGGCCTGTATCCTGATATTCTCCAAGACATCCAGTTGCCAAGCACTACGATCTGCGTTGCGCGTGACGAATATGAGGCCCTCGCCAAAATCTCTTCTGCAGTCAAAATCAGCTGCATAAACCAAATGTTCGACATCTGCAGCGCGGCGTCGCACGGACTCTGCGAAAGACACGTAGTAAGGCGCCGCTGTGTTCCGGACATGGCCTTTCCCGGTGCGTTGCACACCCTCCGCATCATCCACCGCTGCATTAAGGCTTTCCACGATGGGTGTCATCACCACAATCTTGCCCGAAGAAAACATAGGAAGAGATCCAGAAATAAGCGCAGTAGATTTTGCGTATGCTTCCTCGCTCAGTTTCTTGTTCGTCGCCTGCAACGCATTCATCGCCTTCTCATCAAATGGATTTCCGAGCACATCATCCCATGTCCCAGTAAATTTTCGTTTCAGCGCAGTAATCCTTTCCCCACTTTTCCTCAGCTCGTCCATATGCAGCTTACCCTTCTGAACTGCCTTGTAGGTGTCCTCCATTGCTCCCCTATGTAATGCCATAGTATGGCAAACCATTACCACATCTGCACCGGCCGCTAACGCTTCCACAGCACCATGTGGTACGCCTCCCTGCCTCTCCTTCACCGAATTCATCTCCAGACAATCTGTCACGATCACTCCTTTAAACAGCAGGTCATTCCGCAATAGGGTCGTGGTCACTGCTCGCGAAAGGGAGGCTGGAGTCTCACCGTCACCAGACAAGGCCTGAATGACCATATGCCCCGTCATAATGCTGGCGACGCCAGCATCGATCAGTTCTTTGAAAGGTTTCAATTCGGTTTGATCCAACTCCATACGACTTTTGTTGATGATGGGGAGACCAAGATGCGAGTCAATGTTTGTATCGCCGTGTCCTGGGAAATGTTTCGCAGACGGTGCGACACCACCTTCTGTGAGGCCATCGCTAACCGCCTTCGCAAATTGTGCAACCTTTTTGGGGTCTAACGACCGAAGCTCAACAAAAGTTCTCCACACACATAAACGACTTGGATCTCACCATCTCCAAAAGAACGTACACCTCAAGGAAAAAGCACAAGTCAGGACATCGTCGAGCAGCGACGCACTTGATGCTCACCAATGACCGGGTTCTGTGGGTCAGAATTCACATCTCCTACCGGAGAATAGGACCAATTAATTCCAACAGCTTTCATCTCGCGTGCCGAAGCTGCTGAACAATTTCTGGCATATTCGGGATCACCGGTAGCAGCAATTGCCATAGCTCCTGGGCTGGAAAGTGATGAGACGAAATAGGGTCAACGGGATATAACTTACAACTGTGTCCCCGCTTGACACTTTGCAGCAGAGCTGAACGCGGATACAAGGCCTGCGACCCTAGCATTAGCTCAACATGGAAGCGGACGCTGAGAAACGTACCATTCTCTTGATCAATCCCAATCATCAGTGGATACATGTGTCCAGCATCTCTTGCGCACTGCTGCAAAGATTGAACAAGCGTGTGCACCTGTTTCATATCTGGGGAAATCATGATTCGCATGGCGTCGATAATTCAATAAACATTGCATTTCACTTCGCACATTCCGTTTCATGAGGATGATGTTCCTGATTACAATGGCCCGTGAGCATAGTATAAATCCATATGCACTTCTGCCTACCCAACATGATACTTAGTGATAAGTTCCCTTACATCCTCGCTGACCTCGTGCCCATGGAATCCAAAAACGAAGTGCTGCACTGATCCTCAGGATTTAGTCTAGTCTGAGAACGGCTTGCGGCGCACCTGGCCGATCTCCCTCTTATCGTCTGAAAGATTCATGGTGGTCAAGAAAGAAGAAATGATGGTCTACCATATGGTCACCCGTGTCTAATAGACATCGTGATCACGTCGTCACAAGGGTGGCATTGAACTTTGGTCACGTGATGTGCATAAAAAGGCTACCACTTAGTTAGACCCACCTGTGCCAAGTAGTAAGCCTGTTATATACGTACTAGCTAATGCGGTATACAGTTTGTCGCATGACACGTAACTGTGTATCTCGTTTTCAGGGCCTCCCTAAACATCTCAGCTTTGTTGCGCCTCATGCTGTACATCCGAAATTCCGAATTTGAGCACCAAGTCTATGAACGGTCTTCTGAGTTCTTGCTTCTAATTTCAATTCATCCTAAACAATGGTCACCGTGCAGTAACCGACTTTTATGCACTTTGGCCTCTCCCGACCTGATGTTTGGCGGCTGCGAGGGCTTCTCGAACAGGAAGTTATGTTTGATAACTTACATTATTTAGAATTCGTCTTTACTGAACACAGCATTAATATTGGTGTCGTCGAAAAGACAAATATCTGGATGAGCTGGCCACTGCCAAAGATGCTCCACTGTTGGGTGGCAAATTGATATGGTCGTGATGGTCCTGTGTATAGCATTAGGCAACGATTAAATTGAACGCACACCTGACATGATGCCGCATATATTTGCATTACTAGTAGCATGTGATACACCTACACGAAAATTCGACGCGGCAATGACAGAGACATTGCCAGATGCAGCCTGGTGCGGCAGTTTGGCATGAGACCTGCCCAGTACCCTACATAGTTAGCGAAGTCGAGCACAGACTCAGGAGACTAGGTAATTTGAATGTATGCATTAAGTTGTCATCGTCCGAGTCATGAAATCAACACTCACTGGGCCACTATTTGAGTTCATTGAAACGATACAAAGGAGCATGGGGCGAACATCACTAGACTAGTCCACAGTGCATGTTTGCAACCGAGAATGAAAAATCTGATAAGTCGAGCAATAATTGACAAGCGTCGGATGGGTTTCAATATTATGATTGGTCATCTTCTCGGCGCGCGACGCCGAAATGTCGACATGTGTGGCCAGTTGGCTCCTATCACTTTACAACAACCAGGGTATAGTCATCGTCTTCTCGGCCTGAGGTGTACATGGAGGTCAGTAGCACGTGTACTTTCTTTTGATTCCACATACTGATGACGTCCGGCAGCAGCCCAGTAATCGACTGTCCAAAAAGCCTCGCCTACAGGGACCTGACGGTTTCCAGGTGACGAAGAAAATCTCGAAACCCGCGTACAAACCTCCTCCGCCCTTCGTCTCTTCTTTTGATCCACCAAAGGCTGGGCCATCAACAAAGACTCTTGATGATAAGCAGGAAAAGTCAAAGGATTCGACTCGTGTTCAAGAGCGACCGCAGAACCCGTTCAACCCGTTCACTGCCGCACTCCCCGACTTTGGTGACACTTCACTTGGACGCGAGGCTAGCTTGAAGGGAAAGGGAAAAGAGAAGGAGACGTCGAATCGCCCATCTGGCAATTGCAAGCGACCAAACCCGTTTATCACTGCGAGTAACACAGAGGCAGATCCGCCTCGCAAGCGTCTCGCTATTGCCCCTTCGGAATCGGCATCTGTGCATTCTCCTGCTATATCCCGTCAAAAACCACATTCCGCACCTCTTCGACCTCTTAAGCCATCTTCGTTTGTAATCAGCGCCCCAGCGAATGCATCATCTTCCAAACCTTTATCGATCCTAAAGCCACCCCCAAGGCCTCAGCCGACTTCTAAATCGATTATTTTGAAGCCTCTTGCTCCACCTAGCTTTTCCCCATTTCTTCGAAAGGAATCATCGACTAGCTTGAAGCCTATCTCATCTTTTGCGATAAATCCCACAAAGGACGGTGCAGGTGTTGAGCTGCTCTCTCTTTTCCTCCAACAGCACGGACACAACTTTGTCACCCCATTCGAACGCGAGATGCAGCGCGGTATTGGATTGAGCCCTCGCAAAAACAAGAGCGCTAAAGGGAAGTTTATATGGTATGTGCGCATCGCAAGATCAACGGACAACTAATATGAAACCGCGACGGATAACAGTGGTGGAATGGCAGCGCGTGCGCAACACCTGATGTCAGGTACAAAGACAGACTATACCCTTTGGTGTCTACAGCTCAAACAGAAGCTCTCATCCGCGACACCTGCCGCACCGACTCTATCGTGTGATTTGCGCCTACATATTCTCCGAGTACTACCCCTTCCCACAAAAACCCCTACCCCCACCCGTGTGCACATCGCAGCATGCCGCATTTCATCGCGCCACAGGTTCGCCAACATAACAGATTTGAGGGATCAATGTTATGTCGTTCTTTTTCCATACGTTGTCGAGCCCAGTCGTAATTTTGAGGAAGGTAGGGATGTCTTGGCCTGGATGCCTTGGTACAAGGTTATGCTCTCCACTGTCGTACCAAGGGAGGTATTGGAAAGTCTTTCGGTTGAACCGTTGATGCCCCCAAGAAGCGTCATCATAGTACCACGATGGCACATTATGCAGGCAGACTGAGTCATAGGGAGAGCTGGGATCCGTATGGGGTGGTGGGTCACCGCCACACTGGCACTGGTGGTTTCATAATTATATTGCATGACTTCGCCCAGCGTTTCGAGCGTGCCTGTAACAGTCACTTATCCAGTGCCTCGCCGATCTTCACGTGGAAAATCAATATCTGGAAGGTAGGCATCCCCTCTGACGCGAGTCTTTCAAACTCTGTGAGCATGCTGTACCCACGCTCAAGTTTACACCATTTTGACTCTGCCACTCAGAATACAGGCACAATACAATCAGTCTACAGTTTTAGAACGTGGCTAAATTTCCGACTTGAGATTTGAAACGAGATTTAGATTGTACGCGCTCAGGAATTAAAGGGGCGATTCAGGGTGATAGTTCAGTGCGCCGCAGCACTAGGGTGAGCCACCGGGACTACATTATACTACTTACACCACTTAGTACTAGCCCTTGTCTCCATAAATTAATCGTAACCAAGCATTTACATATTTATAGTATAGTTTGCAGGATCGCATGGTAGCTGCACTAGGCTGTATTGCGCAGCACTTTAAGTTATGATATACAACCTAGCTCGAGACTTTCATAAGCTTTAAGTTACGCATTCCACCTAATAGTACGGCAACAGCACTCGTCAAATATGGCATGTATGAATTTACACACCAGCGAGCAGCCCTACCGCACAAAAGCGCATTCAATTTGCCACGTACCCGGTCAAATGAGTGGTGGCCAGCTATACATCTTGGCGTACTACATAGAGACAAACTACCCCACATGTGGTGACGATCTACCTCACACGGCGATGAAGTTTTTTAACCCCATGACCTCGGAGCGAGAATAGAATTCTTCACTAACCTGATGCTGTGAAAAGAACGCGACAATTTGAATCACCTGGCTGTTTCAAACTCTCGCGCGTGACGTCGGTTTCCCGCGACGCGTCGGCGTTACTGCCGCATTCTTCCATAGACGGCAAGAAAAGAGTTGACAAAGAATTGAGTACTCAACTTACGCATCGCTGGGAAGAGTACTTATCTCGACGTGAGTATGATCTAAGTATATGTTCACGTGATCACTCACAAACTTGAAACGCGCGTCAAATTACAAGTTCGAGTCCAGATAGACGCGCTTGTGATTATCCAAGATGCCCGGAAGACCCGTGTCGTCAGGTAGACCTCCTTCTGCATCACTATCGGGAGACGAAGGAGACATAGACTTCAAGCCCTCTCAAGGTAGCAGCGAAGACCATAGCAACGAGTAAATCTCGTGACATTCGATACTACCTACCATACTGACAACAGATCTCTAAGAACGTTCGCGGTCATCACAGCAGAGTTCAAAGGTGTGTTATCTATCACAATGCCAGCTGGTCTGATTATATGCGCTTGCCAGCGACATGGGAGAAAAAGCTGAGAGGACGCGACAATAAGATGATACAGACAACAGAAAAGGAACTCCACCTTGATGTTCGTATTCTTGATATTCATGATCTTTCTCATCTTCACGCTCCAAACAGCTCCAGAATAAGGAAACCGAGATCGCCAACGTCATGAAGGACTATGTAGGACATCCCGTCAGGGCGCATATATCACTGTTTGCTCAACACTGATACGCAAGTTGAAGGGAGACCCTCCATCAGGATTTCCTCGAAAAATATGCCATTCTAGAAGACAGGAAACGCAAAATTACAGCTGCGATTGCTGAAGCACAGGAAGAGCTCATAGTCTGTCCTTCAGCGCTAAGAACCTATCATCACATTCTCTAAGCAAATAATGTCTTCTTACAGCCGCTCGCGGTCAAACGCCACCAAGCGACCATCAGCATTGGACACGAAGTTGAGAACGGCCAACTAGAAGGGATGGCCCTCATCAAAGGAGCTTGCCAGTGTATGCTTATCTCCGTTCTCTTGCTGCTCTGCAACTGATCTTTCTCCGCTCCGTAGCCACCCGGGACATTGCCCAGGAGCTTGGGACGTTGCACTTCGATTGCTGAATGATGCCTATAATAGAGCATTCTATCGTTCCCCCTTGGGCAGCTTGGCCCGTATTAATTGAATGTAGATACGGCCAGCCTGGCCCATGCTAGTGGACCGTATTTATGAACTGCTTGACATGTCAGGCGTTTCATCCCCGCTACCGTATCGCACGACATGCACTGAACATCATGTACCAATAAGTCGTCATGACTTTGATTCCCATATGACGTGGAGTCGGAAGCACCCAGGCTGTTGCCACTTTCGCATACAATGAACTCGCAAGCGCCGGTCCCCGGGGTATAATAGAGAGGTAGGTTCTCTTTTCTTCGTCGCTTATGCGGCCAGTAAGAACGTGCCTGGACTTAAGCAGGTGCGGGCTTTTTGTGAGCTTCCGGAGACTTAGGAGATGAATAAAGCAATTGGTAAGCTAGGCGCGTCCCTGGATGTGATATAAACATAGATCGAGGAAGATGGATGCGACGATCAAAACGTCACAGGACTTGTACAGAACAATGGTCTGGATCACAGCGCTAGGATTGATGCTAGCTCTTACCAAAGTCGAGGGAGCAACGTGCATGATACGCATAGAAGATGAGATAACGGAGACCCGATAGACCGTAAGCTTGGACAGCAACGGTATAACGTGGGTATGTGGACAAGGTGAGGGCCTATGATCATGAGTTGTCATATCTAGGGCACAATTCGCGACCTCGTTAATCCTTATGTCAGGACCCGAAGTGTTGCTCGTGTGGAGTCACGACCCGAGCAGCCTGAGGATAAGTAACTGAGTTCGAACCAGAAGCGAGGAAGCACCATTAGTTAATGAATGGATGAAATTTAAAACAACTCACGGTTTATGTTTAAAACACATCTCTACCGTGTGTCACAGTCACAGTGTGTGTGTCAAGGTTGCATTATTGTCGCTTAGATAATTAAAGCTTTTCATTTTATCAAAGGTTACCCTGACTCGGCGATATGACGCCTGAGCGCTGAGCTGCTAAGCCTGGTTAAGCCAGAAGAACTATAACCTTTTCGGCAACCCTCCACTCCGCCTTGGCACCGTCCACATCGAGATCTCTCAACCTTTGGAGTTCTGTGGCTCCTTCGCCAAGACGACCATACGTGGCCATAAGTTCGGTGTCTGGTGCCACATCGAGGTTGATATGTAGGTCGTATAATGAAGGAATATGCAGCATTACTCTTCTTGGTTCTACGTCGAGCGTTGAGTTGGAAATATGGGCGTGAGTCTATATGACACAGCGATTACCAAGTATCAACAACGGGAACTTAAATATTGGCATGTCTCCGTGGAAACAGACCGACAAACTCGATGGTATGCCGGGGTATGAGACTTACCAGATTAGGCACATCGATCATGAAGCGGATTTTACGCTGGTGCATCGTCCATGTCCATGTGGGCGTGTGGGCGTTCGATGCACTTTTAAGTATATCCTCAACTTTTGAGGCCGATGCGGTAGCGGTCGGCGAAGCTAGTTCCTGAATGAGAGTAGTCTCAGTGACAAATTTGTGGTGAGGGTGACCGGGCGGGAAGAGTAGTCTAGGCACAAGCACTTGGCGCGACACAGGTTTGCCTTTCGAAGCGATGTTGGGCATGCCAATCTGCCGGGAAAGTAAAAGTGAAGTGTGCGATTCAACACGCTGCAGCGCAAGTTCTATGTCAAGTCATAGTCAGATGATGTACCGCAAAGTGGCGAACGACGTACCTATGATGAACGCTTTGAAGTCTGCTTCGTTCAGGGCGCGAGACTTGATGGATGCGTTGAAGACACAGTCAACGACGAGGGCCGGTTTTCCGGCTGGATAGAATGTACGTCAATCACATGGGAAGAACGGAGACAGCCAGGAATAGTGCTTAAGCGAAGTGCCCGGAGACGGGTAGAGGACAGCACCGACCTTTGTCTTTGTCATGACGAAGATCTGAGACTACGGCTGGGACGAAGGATGCATCTGGATTTGATTCGTCATAGTCTTGACCGTGGATTATTTTCTGAATTATGTCTTCGCTACCAGTGGGAGGTGGAGGCACGTTCGTGTCCCATGTTATGTTGACGAAAACCTTAAGTCCTTTTGGGATAGTGATTGGTGCGTTTGAGAGGGCTCCTGGAGCGTCGGAGGGCGCATTAAGAGGCAAACTAGTGGCGATTCTGTGGACAACGGCTGGTTGAAGCGCGTTTGATTTTACACAGAAACCGGGCACAGGATTTAGCGTTAGATTGATTGAAGAGGACATAATCAAACACAGCGTGGAAACCAAGTGGAAACCAGCTCGCTGTTTCATGAATAACATCCGGTTCTATGGATCTGTACTTACCAAATTTAGACCCAACTTACCAAATTGCCGATTTCTGAATGACTTGTCAAGGTTTGCTGTGCATCTCTGAATAAATCGGAAAATTGCTCGGCCTCACACATGCTATAAAAACCCGTTGATTTTCGATAGTCTCAACACAACCTCTCTCATTGTAGAACTTGTACCTCTCATTTCAATTCTATCTACAATGCCTTACAACGTCACCCCCATTCCCGATGTCGATGATGACCAGAAATTACAGCAATACATCCAAGATAGACGTGTCATTGGTGTACGTGTCGAGCTGCTCTATTAACCCCTGCCATCTAACACTATTCCAATAGTATGACCCCCTCGTTCAGCCTGCTTTGCTCAGGCATGAAGTTCAGCCCACATCGGCTTCACAGCTTACAGTTGCAGCTGCCCGTTACAACGCCGCTCGCATTGTAGCGGGTCAGGACGACCGTATCCTCGTCATTGTTGGTCCCTGCTCCATTCACTGTGCAGACCAAGCTATTGAGTATGCCAACTTGCTCAAATCCAAAATGCCAACATGGGATAATCTCCTCATTGTAATGCGCGCGTACTTGTGAGCTGTGCCTGTTCCTCGTGCATTGCATTGTTCTAACGTTATCTTCGTTCTAGCGAGGTTCGCTGACCGCCCAATCAGTTCCTAACAATGACTCACTATATCTTATTATAGAAACCTAGAACCACCGTTGGATGGAAAGGTCTCATCAACGACCCCGTAAGCTGATTTTATCTTTTTACCTCTTGTATTTGCTCATTTCTTCTCTTCCTGCAGGATATCGATGGTTCTTACAAGATTAACAAGGGTCTTCGAGTAGCTAGGCAGCTTCTCTGTGACCTTACTGATATCGGTGTCCCCGTCGGTTCCGAACTACTCGACACCATCTCGCCTCAATATATTGCTGACCGTACGTCATGCTTATCACTTCCATATGCTCTTTCTGACCCTGCTTCACACGCAGTTATCTCCTGGGGAGCGATTGGAGCCCGAACAACGGAGTCTCAACTTCACCGCGAGCTCGCTTCCGGTGTTTCTTTCCCTATAGGATTCAAGAATGGCACTGATGGAAGGTATGATACCATTTGGCGAACTTTCATTAAGGGACATTACTAATGGCGAACATCTCGGCAGTGTCACAGTCGCTATTGATGCAATGCGTTCCGCCTCAAACCCTCACGCCTTCATGGGTGTGACGGAACAGGGTCTTGCTGCTATCGTCAAGACAAGAGGAAACCAGGATGTGCATGTCATCCTCCGTGGTGGCACCAAGGGTCCGAATTACGCATCCGAGCATGTTCGTGCGGCATCAAAATCAATTGAAAAAGCGCGCCCAACGAACCATGCCAGCCTTATGGTTGACTGTAGCCGTAAGTATATCTATAATTATCTAACTAATAATGGTCAACGAAGGAACTCATTTGACTACTTTAGACGGCAATTCGCAGAAGAACCACAACAATCAACCCAAAGTAGTCGATGACATCTGCTCTCAGCTCGCTCTTGGCGATAGAAATATCACCGGCGTGATGATCGAGTCCCATATTAACTCGGGACGCCAAGATGTTCCCGCTGAGGGTCCCTCTGCCCTGAAATATGGTGTTTCTATCACCGACGCATGTGTGGATTGGGAGTGTACTGTGGGCATGTTGGACAGGCTTAATGCAGCTGTCAAGGCACGTCGTACTTTCCTCTTGGAGCAAGGCCTACAACGGCCAGCTGGTTTCCGACGTGAAGCCCCTCCTTCGCCGTGAATTTAGGTTTCCTTTGTAACTTGCTGGGTGCTTTGTTTCATGTCCACATGTGTTGTATTTTAGCGTGTCACACTACTTCCTCTATCGTCCATAGTATTAGATCTTTAGACGGAGGGCCCCTCTATTGCTGTAGTAGCATCGAAGCCTCGCGGTTAAACTATTCTTATGCTTTATCTTTTGTTATCCAGAACATGATACGATATAATATAAAAATGTTTCTGGCTGATTCATGTACCACAATATCATTTGGGTGGTTTGCGAAGTCATTGATGATACTGTCAGTCCTCGGTCTTTCGCACAAAGAACAGTCGGAAACCAATTGTTTATCCACAATATATTTCGAGTTAACGAACGTGCAACGTACCTGTGCGATGAATCAGATTGTTTCCAGGCTCTCTGCATTTGGGCGTCTAATAAATCGAATAGAACCAGTTTTTACTAATGATTTTTGAAGCGATGTGAGAGGGGATCTACCTGTAGTCAGTCACCGGCATCCAACTAGTAGGACCTCGGGTATCAAGGAGGAGCAGTGAAACCATTAATAAACATTCTAATCCGAGCGCACCGGCGCACGACTTTCTTTGACGTCGGCCGGCATCCGTTACAGACTTCCTGTAAGAATTTACATGAGGATTAAGAGTAAAGTCGCCCATTTTAATTGAATGGTATCGATGAAACGAGTGGTATGGTGTTACCAGTTACCCCCTGTAGCAAGCATCGAATTCGGCCGACGTGTCGGATATCGATCTTTAGACGCCGGACTGCGAATATGAAGGAGATGCGTTTCGTCTGTGTGTATGTTTCATCTGTGTGTTTCAAGTCTGTGCGTTGGAGCAGCAACTCCTGCTATGATGAATGTGCTAGGCACCTGAATGGGATGAAGTCCGTGTCTACTGCGATGCCCCAAATGGCACACTCGGGCTGACTAAGCTACTCGAACCTCCGGAAAACCCCTGCCTTTGCAACCCCTTGGCCGGAGGGTGCCCCACCCCAGCGTGTACGTAGAATAGTTGAAAACAGACCCGCTGATCATGAGCGCCATACCCACTCTTACTTACCGGCACCGTTGGCGAGTATGTTGTGTGACATATTACCCCTCCCTCTTCGGTCTACTACGGACTTCATAATAGTATTCGAGTTTAATCACATTCAAAAACATTTTAAAAATGGCTTCCTTTGAAACAAACATCGCACTCTCACCTCTGCCAGCGCGTTCTAGACCGACTGGTATGTCCTCGGCAGAGTAAGCACTGTGCAAGCAGGTGGGATGTGATATACTTGTAAACTCTGTGCGTCGACAAGTAACATGAGATGTGATTGCATTGATACTACGTCTGCATCTAGTGATCTCAACGCGCACCATGCAGAACACGGGTTTTTTTTTTGGTGTAGAGACCGTAGACAACTGACTTTAACCGACCAGCCCTAGCCATCGCCGATCATCTATGTAAAACCGTCTCACGCCGTCAGTGTATACCTCCTCCCACAAATGTGGGAAGTCAGGGATTGTGAGCAAATATTAAGGTAGACGAGTGGCATGCCGTCCCGGCCTTGTGACAGCGGGACCCGCAGAAAGTTGATATGTCATAAAAATATGCATTATGAATAAGTGTACTGTACATATGACCATCGCAGCATCTTCTTCGTCATCAATGTAATTCCGAGTCGCAACCGACAACAAGTCACCAGCGTGACCAGCTGTGGCATGGCTCATGAGTGTCTCTGCCATGCATCAATAACCCTCTCCAAAGAAGGACCCGACCACCCCGACCCAAATACCGTATTCATTTTTGTCCCCGTCCCTCTTAGAACTTCCTTTATGCCCTCATCCAGCGTCCTTAAATCGACGTTGCCAGGAGCGGCACATTGGGCATGGGCATCTTGTGCAAGTTGCTTCAGGATCACTAGCAACGATGCCGACGGAACACCATGGCGCAACAGATACCAAGCCAACCAACGCGATACTTCAGGGGCATCTTCAGACTCCACTATAAGTTCCCCACAAGCGTATCTGCCAAAGACCATGTTAAGGGCCGTAGAGCTTTGGACTTTTGCGAGACGCTCATCCAGGGCTTGTAATGCACCAGAGACAGTGTTTTCGCGAATCAGAGGGGGCCGAACATTATTCTCTGATTTCCCGCTGAACCGCCGATCGTAGACTTTACTGTAAAAGTCGACGGCAAATCGAAGGTCTTGTAGTCGGAGATGGAAGTAGCTGTTCGATGATGATTGCGTGCGATACTGATAAAGCATGAGGTGGGACTGCAGTGTTTCCATCTTATCCTGCAGAATGCTATCAAGCAGGACTGCGTGACAGTAATTATGGAAGACTCTCTCATCCACTGTCTTACCGTCCTCGCGCGAGAAATGATCTGCGAAAGCAAGAAATAGTGTGTCGTTGGAGAAAGATGAGATGAAATGAGTCAGGTCGCTTGCAGGATGCGCCTTCGTGTCGGTCAATTGCGGGAAGTCTAGAGTGGCAGCATCTCCAGCGGACGAACCAGAGCGAACGAAAAGACTTCTGCTTCCCCTAGGGTCCTCCGTATAGCTCAAGAAAGCCGTGCGTCGCTTCACGTACAATGTTTGGTTCTTTAACAGGCTTTTCCTATGCTGTGATACGTGTTCAAGGTCTACAAAGAAAGGCCAATAGCGGGGTGTGTCGATTCTAATGGACAAAATCTTGTTGAAATCCGGTATTAGCGTGGGCGATATCAATTGCGTTGCACCCTTTTCGGTCCCTTCTTTCGTGGTGAGTTTGACTGGGAGATAAACCGCTTCTCTGGTGTTAACATCCCGTGCCATAAGACATCTAGGTTCAACCGCAAGAACCCAGAGGTGGCGAAGAGCCTGCAGATAACTCTTGTTGTCCGATGATACATGATGGAAGCGGGGGAAAAAGGCAACGATCATACAAGCAATCGCGGCATTCGAAGTCCCGAGGGTATACCGTCCGGCCCCGAGGAATAATAAACCAAGAGACAGGTGAGTTGCAACATGGACGCCATATCGAAACGCTTGGTGATACATGCCAAATGCATATCTCAGGCGTCTTAAGCAGGTGATTTCCCCCGTACCCGCCATGACCATACAAAGCGCAATGGAAATGAGGTTCAGGCCTTCGCGGACAGCAGACCGCTTGATCTTGTGATCAAAGGTAGGGCCTAGAAATCATCAATGATTAGTATGACGTCTTGTAACTTCCGTGAGGAAAATTTACCACTAGCTGCCACAAATCTACTGAACATATCGAAATAATTCGAGAGCATAATATATGCCTCATGACGTGCTGTCCCTGCGTACTTCAAGCCAATAACAAAACAACAACCCGCGATGATGTTGTAATAGGCAAGCTCGATAGCATCGTCGGCCGGTTTTCCTCGTACATGACCGTGCATAGCCTTCACGATAGACTCAGGAACCTGCGCAAGCAACCACTGCGGCGTCGAGGCGATATCGTTCCACATGATCAAGGATCTTGCAATAGTCCGCATGAGCAAAAAGCCAGGTTGTATGCGGTTCAGTTCCAAGACTGTGCTAGGAATCTCCAGGATATCAGCGACATCTCGTCGCTCTGTCTTGAGATACATCAACCCAAGTGCCATAGAACCTGCTGGCGAGGTAATGTTGACATCGAATGTGGGCCGCGCTTGGGAGTTCACAACTGACTTTCCTTCACCATGCACAAGGATGCGGAGGCGATTGAGCGATGAGAGATCTGCGGGAACGGAGGAGCCTTGACCCAGCATTATCATCCCGAAAGCTAAGGCGGCACAATAAGTATAAGCTTCTCTGTGTTCGTTGCTGAGGTCTGGTTGCACGAGGTCTCTTCGGCTGATTTGGTGAAGACAGACTTCTGCCATGCGCCTGTTTTTCGTACCGAGGTACAGAATTCCGACTCCCGCCAAACCGGCAGCTTGGGTCATGAGGGACACGTTCAGATCAACGTTCTGCGTAGGAAGCAACGCTGGGGTATGAACAGCAAGTAACTTTGTCACATGGCGGTTGCCTGTCCCGGCATTTGCAGCCGACAAACCAAGCAAGACGCCGATGGAGGTCAAGTCATGCTTTGGGGTGAGATACGCAAACGTATGCCATGTGAGCATTTCCTTGAGGTGCCCCGTGAGCCCAAGGCCAAATAAGAAGCCGGCATGTTCCGGGGTGAGCTCAGAGGGCTTGTTAAAGGCAATCCATGAACTCTCTACACCACGAGCTTCTGGAGAGATGCGCAATCCTGCTGCGACGCCATTATGGAACTCGCCCCAGTTGAGGCATTCGACAGGTATCTTCCCAAGCTCGGGTGCAGAAGTAACATTTGATGGTTGTATCTTGACCGCATACTCCATCTTGGGGGTGACATAGGCCTCTTTCGTGACCGTCAACACAGAACCAAAGGTGAACATGGCACGGCCGTAGGGTAATGCCAGCGTTCGCTCTGCAATACGAACCACTTGATGCTGTTGCTCCTTCGCTTGGTCATGTTCGCTATTCAGTAGTCATCAGTGAAGCCTCTCTCCGACTCGTCAATCATTCTGCTCACTTCAATTCCGGGCGTTCTACAAGCCGGACCGACGGAACAGCTGATGAACAAAGCATACGGGCCACTTCTTCCAATCTGCGATCTTGGCCAAAACGGATCTTGGTGAATCCTTTCAGATCGAGCTCGACTCCAGAAACTGCATCGATTTCTCCAATGCTCCCAGACTTGGCCTGTTCCGCCAGACTACCGATCGTCACCCTTCGATGAGTATTCTAGAATCAAATCAGTCGCTATAATATATCCTGAATCGCATGTCCTTACCATATAGGTCTCGGGAGACTGAGCAATACCCTTCTGGGAGAACTCCGGCTGCATTCCAGCAACGCTGAAAGCCAAGTCACGCCGGCCAATGAGCTCATAATGCTCCTTGCGCCAATGAGAAGGAGGCGACAGCTGGCACGTCCTAACAGCTTCTCTCAAAGGCGCTGCAATACCAAACGGAAGACTATTGAGAAACGCAGATCCCTTCTCGGCCGTCCCAAGTATATCAACGAGCTTCTCGACAGTCAGTTCTGCCCGCTTTTGGGTAGATGACACCGTTTTGTCAGCAAGACACATATAGGCCGCCGTGAGACGCTGCAGGGACACGAGCGGTTCGGTGTCACCAAAAGCAAATGATGGAACAATGGAAAAAGATCGGGCTAGTCGGGAAGTTCCATAAGCGGGGAATTGCCAGTCAGGATTACTTATGCTTCCGTAAAGAATTGCCGACATGTCTGGGGGCCAGACCGGTATGCGATCATCCAGCATCTCCACACCTAAGCGACAAGATTGAGAACATTTTCGCAAAGGAAACGTATACACTGACGCGTTGTGGATGGGGCGGGCCATCCTGGCATGATATTCGGGCACAGGCGCTTCCAGTAATCTGCCCACTCTGGTCGAACGATGTGTGCAATTTGACATATCAGAGGAATGAGTAACATGAGGGATTCGTATCGAAGAACCACCAAGCGGAGGTCCTCTGCCAACATGTGCAACGCATAGAGCACAGGCGCCAGGAGAGGGTTGACGGTCAGGGTAAAAAGGAAGTAATGTTGCGTGGTTGGGGGCGTAGGAAGCTTCAAGCATTTGAGAGCCGGATCGTCATTAAAAGAACGACTAGAAGTGGACAAGGCTGAAAATCTTTCCCATATAGAGGAACTTGTGGACTCGTCGTTTTCGAAAGGATATACAAGCTTAAGCTCAAGAAGCGCGAAAAGTGCGAGCGTGAACTCCTGGAACTCGAGCCCAGGCGATGTTCGGAAGTAGTGCTGGGACCATGACTCGAGAAAGTTTCGTTGCAGGTCAAAAGCTTGAGCCGTTGGCAGCACAAGTGACAGGACTTGTATGGCCTGGGTCACCAGTGGATCGCGTGGGGTCATGTCCAGCCGCGCGTGATAGACCTTCCCATCACTCGTCTCCATATATACCGATGAGACGCAAACATGCTTCAATGCTACAACGTGATCAAGTGAGACGACCTCAAATGAATCATTGCTATCGCCGTTCCAAGGTTGCGCGAGCCTCAGTCGTATACGGAGTTCGTGCAATCCATGAGTAAATAACGATAACGAACCATCCTTCTTCACCGCAAGAAGGTCCCAAATGTCACCGCGCGTCGCACGTATTGACGCGATTGCAACGGCTTCCAGAGTACTGAGATTCTCGACCACAAATGATTTCTTGCCTTCCTCAATGGTGATCATAAAGACGATCACCTGAGCCTCAGGCAAGCAGACTGCGAGGAGCGAGTGATGAGCCTTGCCATCAAAGCGTTGATCAAATAACGCAACAGTGATATCACGCGTCTGCAGTCTACAACAACATGAGCGTGTGTTTAGGTGAGGTATCGATAACCTCCTACTGTCTCCCTCCCAAATGATGAGTGGTCAACTGTTGGGCCCAGTAAGATGCCTTCATTCTTCCATGTTCGACAGGAGTGATCAAAACTTCTGCATCTTTCTGTCCCCCAAGCGCCATTCTGTCCAACGTCAAACTGAGATCTAGGCGAGTGATAGAGTCCCGCTTTCTTCCTGGTATCGGTGGCTGAGCAGTGACGCTACTTGTCGTTGAAGACGCAAGTCCTGATATAGGGGGAAACGGTGGAGGAAAATCGTCATCAAATTCCATATCCTGAGGTAAACGGCGATCAAGGTCCAAAAGGTCGCCAACGCTCGATTGTCGCCTGTTCGCGCACACGCTCTTTCGCGAAGTGCTATGCCGTCTAGTCCGAGTAAGAGGCACAGGAGCGTCTTTGGGCTTCAAGTAGGCATATCTCCATATAGACAAACCCCCTTTGTCTGCATCAAAGGTAACCAAAAATTCGCCAGTCGAATTGGGGACACCAGGAGAAACCCAGACGACTTCGTCGCTCGCAGAAACAGCGACCAGCGGCTTTGAACAATTCTCCTCCTCATCTACCAAAGCAACAGGTTCACCATCAAACCCTCCTAAAATCCCACTCGTGGTTCCCACAGCTTCAGGTTCCGAAAAAGCGCTCGTAATCGTGAATATAGTGGGTAACAGATCATCCCCGGTCGCACGAGCCTCATCGACTTCAGCCGGATGAAGACTTCGCTGAATAAGAACGCCGTGCGGACGAAGCGGCCACGCTTTATGAACAAGAAACGGAAGCGAAAACGTATAATCCATCCCATTCTGCAAAAAAACCTTGCCGATACTTCTCAAGAAAATAAAAACGCCTGATATCTCATCGTCTGCGTCCTCCACCGTTTTCGTCTCATCTCTGAGCGATGCGAATGGCCCGAAGATGTGAGTCGTTCCGGGCGTTTCGTCCGATCTCGTGTAGTGGGCGCTGCCGTGAGATTGACGATTGGAGGATCCTGTGGGCTGGAGGAGTTTTCCGATGCATGCGTGTTGGATGATTTGGTTTTCTTGACTAAGGTCCCATTTCCTTTTGATGACGCCTCCTTCGCTTAGAACTACGCAATAGTCGTTCCAGGAAAGTTCTTGGTCTATCCAGGATTCTGATCCGCCTGTGAAGAGGGGGCTGAACGTTGTGTTCACAGTATTAGTACCAGAACTTCGAATGGCAGCGCGTATGGAACGAAGGAGGTCAGATTCTTCAGGCGCAGCATCTCCTGATGGGGTCGTGAGGAAAGTGGTAGCGGCGGAGGGCTGATATTGTTGGGCTTGTATTACAACACCAGACATAATATGCGGTGTGCAAGCAAAAGCGAATAGGCAGGCGCGTTGTTTGTCCGTTGTTGTGCAATACCTTCTGATGCTAACATGCACAAACATTGCCAGGTGAACACATGGATACTATTGCAAACTTTTACGAACACAATTAGACTATGCAGTAGTACATAAGGGAGGCGTAAGAACTCCAAGATAAAATAAATGACCAAGATAAACAACATGCAGAATATGCTGGTACGATTGCGAGATCCAACTTGAGAGTGCAAAGATGAAGCAGAAAAATGCGCGAGGACGTCTTGCGTCAAGGCAAGCAGTCCGTCATATGAGCCAGCACCAGGGAAAGAACAAATAAAAATACCAGAAAATCACTCTAACCGTATTCCCCATACAACAACCAGGACGTTGTCCGCATGTCCATCCGTGAAGACCTGTAGTGTCCGCACTTGGTCTTGCTTATCGGTATCCTTCCTAATGTATAATATACGTGGTGACTAAAGGCAAGTGTGAGCACGATCATTGAATTAAATCCACGAGAGCTTACAATCAAGGCGAATTGAGTCGGCGACGCAACGCCTCGTAGCTACTTTTCCTGCTCCCTATCAAACCAATGTGAGGTAATGCAACGCCTGCGATACCCTTCGTTTCCTCGTCATTTAGCTTCCAGATGTTGCTAACAGGTAGGTTCGAAGGAGAGTCGTTCACGGCAATGCGATCCTTCCCAAATGATGAGCGTTCCGAAGAGAATCCATCGTCATAATCCTCTGGAGAGAGGTCGGTGGACGAGGTAGAACTCGGAGAGAGAGTGGGGGATTGCACGATATCCTGCAAAAAAGAGGGAAGTAAAGGAGCAGGGATATTGGAAGGGAGACTGTCTTCAAGATCACCGAGGCTTGGGAACGAAGACGGCGAGGTGCGACGGGGAGCAGACGTTTCATAGATGAACTGAGGGTCTGAATATTGAGTGCCCGCGTCAAAGTTAGAATGTGAGCGAGATCGGTATGGCACTTGATTCTGAGGAACATTGTCCATGAACATACGACGGCGCTGTGGGGGCGTCATGGAATGAGACCGGGGAGCTTGAGATGGAAGGGGTGTGGGGCCACTCGCGAGCGGAAGCTGGTTCTGCGCGAGGAGCGACGTAAGTAAGTTGATGCGCTCCGCTTGCACAGCAGCAGAGATGGAATCGCCGTTTCCTTCCGCATCTGAAAAAAAGGTCGGTAAGAATTTAACATCGCAGTTGATGTGGACTTACAGGGGAAACAAGTCTGGCAAACTTTGCGGCGTCTCCAATTCAAATAATTGCACTTGTGACAGATCCAATCACCGGGCTGATGCTCGATAGGTCCACGATTACCAGTGTTCAGGATCGGGGGCTGCTAGGGAGCAATACTTGTCAGCCTGAGAAGAAAGGACGCAGAACGGGATGCTTACTGGAACGACCATCAAGCTGCTTGGTCGGATCTGACCCTGCTTCTGGGAATGATTCGTTATCCGGCCAATACATGACGCACGGCGACAACGGGTCCGAAGAGACGTTTTGTACCTTGCCTCCTACCGCAAAAGAACGACCAGACGGAGTGAGGAGAGGGTGGGCGGGCGAGGGAGGTTTTGCACCCATCATGCTGGCCTGGATAGGCGGGGGTGCATGACGCACGCCGTGGCTGGGGTAAAGAGGAGAGGAAACTGGAGAAAGACTACTTTGCGGCATGGGAGTGTGTCCGGATGGATTGACGAAGCGAGGTGATACTGGAAGACGTGAGGGGGGTGGGCCGCAAGAGCCTTGTCGCTGCATCGTCGAGGGTTGGTTTTCAGAACGTGGACATCCACAGCCTCTGCAAGCTAAATTACGTCTGTGTAGAATCATGCAAGGAAAGGAATCAGTCAGCACCATCCTTGCATGAGAGAGAGAGCAATCAAGATGTAAATAGCGAAAGGAGCAGTTCAAAGTAGGTAATGATGACGCGTATGACGATCGGAAGTGCTCCTAGTTTCGTCTTCGGGATTCTCCCGGAGTAAAAGACTACGCCGGAATAAGATGACCGTGTTAGAGAACGAAACTCACCCAAAGTTGTGCGCTGCGCAGTTGGGCGAATTGCATCTGTCGAAAAACTAGTCAGCGCTGACTCGACTCATTTCAAATAAAGTTGCCCCTAAAAAGTCTGGGCAGCTCCACAACCCAATCATACCGATCACGGTGTTTGCAAATTGGGAATATAGCTTACATCCAGTCACCCAATCTGAACGTCGTTCGCGGATTGGGGGGATTGCTGGAGATGACAAAATCGTCGTTTGGTGTGCCGATAGTCTGGGCGATCGCAGGCGTGCCGAATTGTGCGCACTTGTGAAGGTCAGGCGTTGACAGGGACATGCGGAGACTAGGAGGATAAGAAGAATTCTGACGGCGACTTCGGGTTGAGCCGCTGTCGAGCCACACAGCGTATGACGCACCTTGAACAGGGAATCAACTCTGCGTAACCTATCGAAAGGCTCCAAATCTGTCTGAAGAGCAGGAGTGATGGTTATGGAGGGGTGAGAAAGAGAGAGGGTTGTGCAGGCCTGAGAGATGGGACATTGAGCATATTTAACATCGGATAAAGTGGATGAACGATGAACAAAAAAAAAATAAGCCAGCAAGTAGAATAAATGGTGCATATGCCATTTGGCGCGTGCCTGATTGGTAGCAATGCAACGGTATCTTTGCACTACCCGCTCTCACGTGGAGGACACGTTGGCAATGAACAAAAAGGGAAATGATCGCGTCTCCGGATCAGGAGAATCGATGCCATATAAAGAACTAAATGCTGCTTACATCCTCGTGCGACTGAAATATCGCCCAGATGTCGTTTGGCTCGATGGACTCGTTTGGGGCCCACATAGAGACTGGCGGTCTGATGAAAGCACGTCGATCACGTCCCTGTTTCATGACATCGTTCAATACGCGCTTGGACGTTTGTGCTGCGCTTACCTCTGTAAAAAAGGACACAAATGATGGCAATGGCCAGCGACGATCTCTTTGAAGCTTGAAACGGCGAATTCAGACGTGGAAAGGAGGGAAGAGTCGAAGTACTTACGAGCAGGACGCGGGACCGAGTATTTCTGAATTGCTCGTACAAGGAGCGAGTGGTAGGGAAGTCGCAAGAACTGCTGCCTGAGGATGTTGAAGAAGAATTCATGGGGGAGTCGTTATGAAAGCGGGGATATGGAGGGATGGTAATATCTGACATCTGGGAGGATACAGGGATAAACGAAGCTGCGAGACAAGGCAGGGGCGAAGGGGGCTGAGAATTAGCGGATCGAGGAATACAAGTGGGCTGGAAGAGCGAATAATTCATGTGAGAATTACATGAGGGCGAGGACAATTTGCGCAACATGTTCTGGAAGGAAAGTGGATGGGAAGACATTGGGAAGGGGAGGGTATTTGAAGGAGACGGAGATGGCAAGATTCTTGTTGGTTGCCAGGTGGAGAGGATACGATTTGCAGATTAAAGTGATTGAAGATCCCTTGTGTGGTGACCAGGAGTGGTTGCTTTTTGAACTGTCTTGGAAGGAACATAGCAATCCATTTCGTCACTTCACACCGTCAAATTAGAGTGCGATATGTCGCGTGGCCAAAACAAGCACCTCGGACGGTTACTTCCGGGTACGTAACTACGTAAGCTTCCATCATCAATTTATCCCAGGAAGGATCCTCGGCATTGACTGTAACGGCACCGCATCGGAACCCGGATCCTAAACAGCAAACACCATCGAAGGTGTGAATCAGTACTGGGTCCCGTCGGATGCTCTTCCAGCGACAACCTCGGCAAGGGTCGTCGGCTTAATTACTCACAAACGTAATATGAGCGCCGTCAATCAAGACATAGCCTTCCAACTTTCTAACTTCTAGCAAACTTCAAAAACTTACGTCGACAGCGCCTGTCCGTACAGCATCCCCCTCAATCTATCTCCGCTAAGGGTCACAACCATCTTTTCCTCCACGAGATACTTCGCATATCTTCTCCAAGCCTCAGCTCCTTTACCTACCCTGCCAGGACTCTCACCTCCAGACATCTTCCCAGCCTTCAACGTACTGATACTTCCAACAACGAACAGCCCCCTCTTCGCACGCGTCAACCCAACATTTAATCGACGCCGGTCAGCAAGGAACCCAATATACCCCGACGCATTATTTCGCACAGTCGAAAACACGATAACGTCCTTTTCGCGTCCTTCGAACCCGTCCACCGTCTTCACTTCGATACTACTTAGCTGCATCATTCGATGGTCCCCAAGAGTGGATTCAAAGCGCTTGCGGTACTTGGCATCGGTGTTTAGGAGGCGATTCAATAGTGAAATCTGGGCGGCATACGGCGCAATGACGCCTATGTTCGTTCCTAGCAAGTTCTTCGAAAATATAATATGTCAGTCAGGCATACTCGGCAACCAAGCGAGCGCTCACCTCATTTTGCAACAGCAAGTCTTCAACGATACTGCAAACAATGTGAGCCTCATTCCAGTTTACCCTACTGCGGTCCTTGGAAGTTTCCGCACCCCCGTGATCAATAAATACGACAGAGGGGCGGTGACCAGTGAGAATATTTTCCTCGAGGTGACTTGACAGCGGAGGTAGAAGCATCGGATGTATGTTACCAGCAGAGTCCACAGTCCCGTCTTGTAACGCAAAGTCATAGAACTCTAATGAGGGAAATCTAGAAATGGAAGGATGCATCCTGTACTGCACGTCAAGCATGATTGATGGAACAACTGCAATTTCATATTCCTGATAAGAAATATCCCGACGGGATGCAATTAGAATCACACACCTCCTTCTTCAGTAAGTCTCTCAAATAAACTGATCCCAAGGCCGTTGAGTTGCGCTTCCCGACTAGCGATAACGGGCGGTAATTGTTTATGATCCCCGATCAAGGCAACATGCTGCGACTACTAATGGTCAGAGCGAAAATACACGACAAACTTCAATCGGCTCACTCCTCGCATCAAAGGAATCAGCGACGCTGGTTCCGTCGACATCGAGGCCTCGTCCAAGAACACAACAGGAAAGTCCAGAATATTAAGTGCGGCACTGGCGGATGTGATGCACGTCGTGCAAATCTGTCAATGAATCATCAACCCAAGTCAAAGTGAGCCGGATGCTACATCACTCACCACGTCAGCCGCAGCCGTGATATCGTTGAGCATTTCCTGATGAAGTGCATACAGTTTCGCTCTTAGCGCCAACAGTTGCCTCTCCATTACGGTCAACGCACTCCGCATCCTGCCGAGTTTTTGACTATTCTGTTTTTCAGCCACAACGATTCTGTCTTCCAGCGCGCTCAACTTTTTTTCAACGTTTTCCTGGTCTTTCATAAGTTGCTCAACTTTAACCCTGAGAGGATGCGCCTCAAGCTTCGCATCTAACGTATATTCGTGTAGAGACGACTTGATTTTAGCACCGAACCCGATTCGAAGGGTTTTAACGCCAGCCGCTGCAAAGCCCTCCACGAGATTATCGACCGCAACATTGGTGTAGGTGCAGACGAGAATAGGGTGGTGCACTTCAAAGTGAACCTTAATAACGTTAGAAACAAAGATCAAATCGATGCCGAGGATATCAGACCTTGAGTAATTTCACGGCTTCAATGATCGTTTTCGTTTTGCCTGTACCAGGCGGCTGAAATAGGTGTCATTTAGTTTGCGGCATTACTTGACAAAATAAAACGTACTCCTTGCACAAGACTGATCCGTTCGCCGATCATCATGGCAATGGCTCGAATCTGCGTGGCATTTAAACCCTCGATGACCGGATCGCCATCAATGACAATTGGATTAATCCGCGAGTATCGTCTTGCCCAGCTTTGAATGTGCATGTCATCTTTGAACGCGCCTCCATGCTCTCGCACCTCGCGGCTGTCATGCTCGAGTTTCCCTCGAGGAACGTACCTGACCTCATCCGGATTTTGCAACGGTACATGTAGTTGTGGTCTATCCGGCGAAAACGAACGCAACAACACGTCTCGCAAATGTGTTCCATGAAGAATGAACTGATTGTCTGGAGAGGAGAGTAAATCATTTCGTTGTAGCGCTTGCGGGTCTTGACTGAATCGTGAAATGGCTTCTCGCATACGAATGAACACGATATTGGAGCGTCCAATGTCCAAGCGCCAGCAGCCTTCATCAACATCGAACTTTTCCTCGAATGCTATGCGCAGTTGCGACGCAGTCTTGCTAAGGACGCTTCCTCGGCGCGCCGGCTCTTGAACGGGGTCGAGCCTCGAAACAAGAACTTGGGTACCGTTCCTGAACGCAGTGAGCGCGATTGACTCGGGTCGATACGAAAACTCACTCAAACCGATGTTCTTTTGGCAAGTCGATGCCAGGACCGAGAGAAAATGAAGCCACAGGACGTCCAAACTTTGGGGCGCCCATCCAAAAAGCCGAAAGACCCGTGATTGCATACCCTTCTTCTTGCAATCGAAATAACGACCAAGTAGACAGTCGTTCCCTCAGAACCGCCTCGTCCTCGGTTTGTTCAAGCTCCAGTAAGGATAAAAAACTGCGAGCAACTAATTTAATACAAAAGGCGAAATTAAAAAGAGAAACGAACTGTTTGTTGTATGCTTGAATCTCTTCGAAAAATGATTCTCCCTCTTGCACCTGGATGTGGGGAGGGCTTACACGTCTGATATATCTCGCGTGCCGTTGACCGTTGATACGGTTGGTACGCGAAGTGGCTCTTAACCGCCAGTCAGAGCGTTGAGAAGGCGGAAGAGGGGCCTGGTTTTCGGAATAATAATCTTCTATTGGGATATTCACTTCCTTCGGTTTCTGAAGCAACGTCTGCGCTGAACCACGCGAAGAACACGAAACCGAAAACTCGCGATTGTGTTTTGCGAGGTTATGGAAATACTTCCGAATACCGAGGAAACTAAGGTTCCTCGCAGAGCGAGAAACCCGGCCGTTCAAAGACGTCGTACTAGCTGATGTCGGGATACGTGTATTACGCGGAACAATGCATCCACCGAAAGCTTCCGATAGCGACTTTTTCGAGCGCAAAATGGTAGCCAGCGCGTCACGGTGTGGTTGAAAAGAGTGTTCTTGATTTGAATGCTGTTGCAAACTGGAAGGAAATTAAATTGTGGATAGGGACATAGGCTAGCACAGCCACATAATACCAAATTATATGATTTTGGTTTTATTGCCTCATTTTCCTCCCTGGACCATTCCTTCGTCTCGAACACCCTTGGCTGCTACTCCAAGCCTCCAGTCAAATCCAGTCGAAGTTGCAGAATCTCCAGCATTTTTGATGCCTCTCGTCCCAATGATATACAAAGGTTGGCCTTCTTTTTGGAACATAAATTGGATGTCACTGACAGGTAGTTGTAGCTGGTGCAGCAGGCAGTCTTACCGATTTGCAAAGACCCGAGAGCTAGAATGCAATTGAACGATATGATGGACATGAGTCGCACAGCGTCTTACTACACATACTGTTCCATGTTGCGTACAGAACACACTTCCAGCCCCGGGTTCAGTAGGGGCTGGTTTTAACGCACGAGCATGCGCATAACGGGAGAAGTGGAAGAGTAGGAGATGAACATTAATGGGCACCCCGTCACAGTGAGTAAGAGGTGTGGCAATTACCAACTGCCTACCCAGTTTCTTTTCCCAGACTTTAATACTGACATCAATCGTTCACATCCAGTGCCGAGGTACAGCGAGGACTAGCAGATTTATTGTAAAATATAATGTCTCCCTCGTCTGTAGGCATATCAATCATCAATTTCACTTTTTGCTTCCTACAACAGCATGCAGCGGCTGCATCGTCAGACGAGGAAAATATGTCGAACACAAGCCCCCCCCCCCATAGACATGCACAACTCGACGCTCACAACCACACGTTAATAACATCTCAGCAGTCTGTCTCCGTTGTGTGAGTTGCATTGACTTGAGGAATACCGCCTCAAATAAAAGGGAGGTCACTATTTGCTCGATGATGGGTGCTGTGAAAAAAACAACAAACGTCCATGGTTCTACGCGCATTCATCTAAACCAACACAGCCAGAAGTTCTTAGCCCACGTGCAGACAATGTATATGGTGTGTAATTTTGGTATCACGTGTTCCGGTTTCAGAAGACGAATGTTCCAGACTGTCAACTTTGATTTCGAACGACTGTCACTCATGTTCAGGTAGTGCAGGAAGACTCGTACGGTCTTTTTTTCGGGTCCCATGAAGGCTGTATCAATAATAGGAGACATACGTGATGATATGCTGATTATGGATTCACTGGTCCTCGGGCTTGTGCATTCAAAGTTCGCAAACCTTGGAAGATTGGAACTTCCCTTTCCAGTGCGTCTAGGGAGTCTCCTAGTTACCACCGCTATCAAAGGACATCAATCGTGAATTTTGCACTATCCATATGGCAGTCGCTACCTTCTAACTTTTAAAGTCCTCAGCGTGAAGTTGAACATAGTTCAAAAATCCAGTTTTCCTGTACCAGCCAAGGTCAGATCAACTTCGATCATTCAAGAAAAGATACCCACCACCCAATCTTCGTCGTGAAATGTCGTGCCAGAGGTTGACGTGACACACCTTTTGGTAGGCACACCGGGGAAGGTGACCAATGCGGATCATGATTAGCATCCAACGAGGTGAATAGATAAACTATTGCAGGAAGGACGGGTTGGTTGAACGGAACGCTATGGTTCTGGAACCCAAAGCCTGGTGGCTGGTGAAAGCCATGCCTATTTTGGTGATGGGACTGATTCGAAGTAAACCGGAGATTTGCTCCATGTGTCTGAAGCATCAACGGTTTTGATCGAAAATCCCTGACATAGAAATCTTGATGGGTTCCAACATGGGTCACTGTCGTGATGCATGAGTAACGACCTTCGCAAGATCGTGCAAAACTGAGGAAATGCTCACCAAGAATCAGATCCTCCGGCCTAATGCTATCATTGGCTGCGTGACCTTTGCCGTTCTTCAATAGATATTGCCATGCATCCTTGACACAAGAAAGATGGGCCTCATGCACCACCGCGACATCAATCTGACTGTATGCAGGCACTACGACGGGCCATCTTGTACACGATGTCATCATCATAATTTCCATCAGCTCGTAACAAATCTCACCCTGCAACAGCTTCAGGCAATTCGTAGGCTTGGAGAGGTTGTCTCTGAATCGGGACATGCTCCCAGCACCAGTGCTCGCCGTGCGACCGTTGAGATAGGCTCAGCCCAGCTTTTCCGTCTTTGATGACGTTGCCGAGAAGAACGAAGGATCCAAAGTCTCCCCCAACCGGAATGTAGCCGATGTCACCGACAGAAAACTTATCAGCTGGCACGTTCCTCTCATACCATGTATGGTCATGAGCGCCTTCAGCAGTCCAACTGAGGTTCCGTATTTGTTGCAGAGTCAGCGAAGGGGTCTCAAACTCCGTTTCTTCGATTAATGCTTCTAACTGTGTTGGGAGTACAGGGGACTGCCTGCCGCTGGGAAGCAAGGCTCGTGCCAAAGTGACGAGGTGGTTGATTTTCTTTTGCATTTCTTCTGTCACTGCAATGAATGATGTGAGTGAGGGATTCATGATAATCTTTAATTCATACCAAATTCTTCCCCTTTATCATATGAGTATGTGACGCGTCCGTTGTTCGGCAACATCTTGCACATTCCTTAGTATGAAGCTCAAAACATACGAGACGTTGCTTACTCGCAAGCATGCATCTAGCAATGTATGCGCTAACCCGTAGTTTCGTGCAGTATACCATTCGCCATCCCGAGGAGGAGGCAGACCAACCACAAGAGTTTTGAGAGAATCGACTCGCAACGAGGATGCCTGCACGATTGTAGATATGAGTTGTAAGGCAGTTCAGGCGACGTACCTCGATGAAATCCTGAACCTTGTTCTCATCCAGGTTGAGTTGTCTCTGGACGTATGTCGCTGTGTCCTAAACAGTTTTAACAAAAGAACAACGGCATATATACGGTGAATCATTCACAGCAAGGTCGCGATACTGCATCTCGCTGTATCAAACGCTGATCACCTAGCCAAAAGAAAGACCTTACAAAACGCAACAAGAGCTCTATCGAGGTCCCTAGGCTTGACGAGCGTAGCATTTCGCGAACCAGAGCTTGAGGGCTCTGCGTCTGAACTGCTCTTGTATTAAATGATATGTTGCGAATGCCCGACAAGATGAATACCATTCGCTAACAAGATAAAAGGAGTCGGGGTTCGTTCATCCGAGAACCCAAGCATCTGAGGTAAATTGGGGTGACTAGAAAATGAGACTAGGTGGAATCAAAGTGCTTCGTGTGACATACTGAATATTCTGCAGCAACTTGACGTCTCGCAGCCATTTCTGAAACATCAAGTTAAGCAACACTCTGTAGACGCGAACATGGCCACGTTACAGAATATGCATTGTCCTTGTCATCATCGTATTTCTTGATTAAGGCTCGTTGCCCTTGTACCTGGACTTCCATCGCATCAGCCCACCATCCGCCCTGCAATCGAGACCGGCCACGTAAGATAACGTCTGACTGGTGATATCGTCGAAACTAGTGTGGTATACAATGTATGAGCAAGCCAAAAAAAAACGATGGGACCTATTGCTGACCCCATGATCATCCTCCAGGGTCAGGGATGACAGTTCTGCGGGGAGATAGTGGTCTGTAAGTCTTTTTTCGAGTGGTGACAAGGCTGTCACCGGAAAATCGGATTCAGCAACCATAACCTCAGCTGCATCAACGACCCCTGGGCTTCGTATCTCTACAGCAACTGAGTCTGGTTCATTCAGAACCTCATGATAAGCAGGCGGAGGCGGAGCATCGACGACTCTTTCAGCAGTTGCGTTCGAAGCGGTATCTCTTTTCAGTGAGCTCACGGCAAGGTGAATATTGATCAGGGTAGCAAGCTTCATCGCAAGGGCTCTTCAGTCATTGGAAGCTAAATCCAACATCATACACACCTGAAAAGCCTGCGCCGCCTCGTCAAGCTGGCGCATGTACTCAACCAGAGCGTCGTCGATTGACGACTTACGGAGGAACCTATCACTCCATTTTAAATCGGCCAACTTTTTCATGAACTGATGGATAGAGATCAGGGTGCTTTCAAGAGTTGAAGAAAAACGATTGGTCAAGAATCATTTTACAGAGGACAGCCAGGTGTACCTTTCAAACCTGTCCAAATTCCTGAGAAGCGCCTCCGGAGCTTCATGGTATCGTCCACGCATTTGTTCATCGATGTCAATTAGTATTTGTGCAGCACGACGCGCCAAGCGATCACAAGCAGACTTGTTAACTTGAATACTCTATATGAGGGCAAACAAAAGTCGAAACACGCGCAGACAAGTATATTTCAAGCGTGCACTCACCTGGATTGTTTGCAAGATGAGCAGCAAAACTGAGACAGCGGCAGTAGCTGGAGGAAACTGCATGGTTGCCATGAGGTCCCTGGCGAAAGCCGTAGTAGTGACCGCGACTTGTAAAGAGCCAATATCAATCCCTAGCTTTTTCGTACGAATGAATCTCAGTGGCATAACGAAGAACTTGAAGTTGATTGAGAGGAATAGTTGGGTGGTTGTACCAAATGGACAGTCCCGGGGACGTGGCACACGAAAAAGCAAGTCGAAAAAATTGTAGTAGCTTGACTGCGACGTTGTAATGTACCGTGTAAACTGATATCACGGATAAAAACTGTAGATAGATTCGTCATGCATGAGAGTTGAGCGGAGATAACAAGGAGGTCACCAGCCTGAGGTCAGGTCGTCAGCATGAGCTCTGACAGACAATGTACCTTAACCTCCACAAAATTGCATTTTTTTACTTGAGCAATGCATGATCAAACAATGACAGCACTGCAGTCGGAATTTTTGAAGAGATTGCATTCATAATATGATCAAGTGTGTTTCCGAGTTGAACAGAGTCGGAGACAAGAAAAGCCATCAACATATAACTCAGGATTTAAGAGTTATTTATAGATTGCACCCACTTCTTCAAACAACCAGCGTTGCAGTGAAATGCAAAATATCTGCCAAATGCATCAGAGGCCACGCCCTCCGAATCCCCTTAGGGTAGCGCTGGAGCTACTCAGCACACGAACCTTCAAAAGCTTTCGCACCCTTTCAGATTCTGGTTCTTGGCTCTCTAACTATGCTGCCAGAGACAACACATCTGTACTCTGCAAGAGATTATAAACGGTTGGTTGCCCTCGAGTTCGAGCGAATTGATTCATTTCATTTCCGTCGAAGTGACAGAAACACCAATCCTAGTCATCGTAGCAGGGCTAATATAGGCGACTGCTCTCATGAACGTCAATTAGTGTAGTCACTAGCCACTTGGTTTCTTGTTTCTTTCTCCCCTGATTTGATTGCCCATCTCAAGTGCTCGTTTCCCTTCTAACCAAAGCATCGCCTCTGCCATTCCACGATTTATCATTCAAGAAATCATCTGAAATGCACTCGTCCATACCTTGATAAGTCTTCGGGACGACTTGTCTAACAACCCCTGCACCATCATCCGGATGCCAAGTGAAACGGAAATCGTTGGTGGTCTGCTCGTGCCCAGTTCGTACATCGACAACATTAGCTTGGACCCCGACATGCTGGAAGACAAAGGAATTCAGGAGCAAACAGCAAAAACATCTAGATTTGAAACATACTACTAAACCAGGGAACTCCCCGGGAGGGGTAGTGTGGAGAACTTGCGAAGTCAGCCGTAAGATAGATCCTATGGGAACGGGTTTGGCGAAAGAGATACTGTCTAGTGACATGAATGTTACATGTGAACGTGTGAAGAGTGATGCACTCGCGAAACCAAGCTGAGAGTGCTATATCAATGATGTGGCTAGCAGTATCAGTAGTCAACACACCTCATAAGCAAGTCGCATGAGATAGCCTTCGCGAGACTATCAGTTTCGTGCAAGGCAGAGTTCGAAATAGTTACCTCCGAAAACTTTCTGGTGGACACTTCAAACATGTCATTCAAGCCGCAAAAAGACAAAGCCGAATGAAAACTAACTTGCGCTCTTGAGGAAACATGAGCATGGTCTTCTCCAAGTGTGTGTCACCCATCCAAACGCGTTCGTATTTGGACTGACCATTGTCTTGAGCGTATTGCAAGTACACCGAGTGTAATTCTTCCGCTTCAGTAGAACTGGGAGGTACCCTAGAAAGAGAGCGAAGGGCTGATGATTGTCTGCGCTTCTTTGCCTCTAGTACTCGTCCTCATTGGATCAAACGAAATGTGTGAGACCGGGACGCACGTTCGCCTATCGAATATAATGCAGTCTCTTCGCGCGAACCAAGAATGAGTGGGTTTACCGGCCGAGCTTTGTGAGTTTGCGCGTCCCTGCATACCATAGCGAACCGACCTAGAGGAATGGAGTTTCTCAAGCCAAAGCTTCGACAAGTGGTGATTACTGACCAAGTAGCAGAGTATCCTCCACGCCGCTTTCATCGAGTGCTTCCATCTTTACAGCTACCTCTATCGAACTAGTCCCAGTATAGATAACTATGCCGCTCAGGCGGATATCCCTCACGGGCGAGAGAGGGGCGAGAACGTCCAGCCTGAGTCAAGTCACGGTTTCAAAGCGCAATTTAACTTTACCTTGGCGTCTACTAACCTATCGACAGAAGCGGTGACCATGTAAAAGCCTCTTTCACGTATACGACCAAGCGTTTCCACCCCTGGTCCTAACATATGCTTGTAAGATATCGATCCAGCCAGCGAGTCAAGGTGCTCCATAAGCATGCCAGTCCGAAGTCCACCCCATGCGTTAGTATACCGCTCAAATAACTCCGGAGATGACGCAAACGGAAGAAGGATTTCGGTGTATGTATCGTGCATGTACCGTGGAGGAAGCGGTTGTTCGGGTGCAGGAGCATCCGAGTCTACGGGATGGCCCTCAGAAGAGTTCGACGTCGAGGCGGCATTCAAGAGTGCCTCTGACCACAGAATTGGTGTCCTCAGTGGCATAACACTACATAGTGATCAGCTCTGTCTGCCGCCGTTCAACATGACCCGTACTTGTGGTAGGCAGGATTGGCTTTCTCGCCTGCAAAGCCGCCAACTCGAGATTAACAATATCGTCGAAACACTTAGGTTTGATACTGACTGACAACTTTGAGAAGATTATCCAGCGCTTTGATATCCTGCGTTTCAGTTGTGGCCTTGAGTTCTGTTGGGGTAGTTGTTGCGCACTTCCTTGGCTGCGCTGGAGAAGACGATGTCCACCGCTGAGCCTGAGAGGGGGGTGGAACATATTTAAATGATCTGCTGGGAAGACACCGTCCTTTCAGCAAACGGAATGCAAACATACTCGACCAGCGGACTAAAGATGTTGTACAGCCACCGTCTTCAGAACGTCAGAACATCCGTGGGCTCCAAAAGTAGTAGGCACTTGTACTTAAATACTGTACTGCAGTTTTCCTTTTGCATACGTCACATGGGTTCACACCCTGCGTTATATTCCTTACGCTAAGTACTTTGTGCTATGCACTGAACTCAACATCTGAAACTCATCTGGATGAAGACTTGCAAAGAGCAATCACTTGAAGAGCTTATTGGTTATGAATTAGTCTAATATGCGCAAACCTCCAACTGGACTACTACTATCTCTTCCGCAATCGGCAGCCCCCGAATGACCGTGATTAGAATTGAGTGAGATCGTTAGAATGTTGAAGTCACGCAAAAATGTCACCTGCCGATATGTGCCGTGATGGAGTTACAAATTCACATTCGTGCCGCTGCTGGGTGCTCATTGCCAAGCGCTGGTCACGCATTCGCAAGTCGAGCAGTGGTAGGCGAGGAGAGCTGCAAGCTTCTTCGTCAGACCCTACTACATTCATGCTGCGATTCAGGGAATTGTAAATGGGCTATACAAAACTATTGCAGCTGCGGAAATACATAGACAACCTCAGGAGCATCCATGCAGTGTACATGGTCTCCCTACACATTCTCAATATCACAACTAATGGTCACTCTCGTACTTAGCCTCATCTTTTAGATACTGTGCTCAGTGCTCACTCAGTGGCCATGACTCTCACCAAATCCTGCCTGACCTTGCCCTCTTGACTGCTCGAAACCGGCCTGTGTGACATATCGTGACCTACAGTGACGTCTGCGTGACTGCTGACTTGCGCTGCCGATTGAAGGGATAGTAGTTCCACATCGCCCTCCACGTCCCCAAGTTCACGACATAATCGCCTTCTCCAATGGTAAGTTTTTGTCTTTCGCATGCCATAGTCCGAATCCGCCGCAGGATTATGTCGGAATACCAACAATCCGAGTCCAAGTGGTGGATTATCAACCCGCATTTTGGATGTACCATCATCACAACCGCTAACGCATTCCTCCCTTTGCAATGCGCAGGCCTCAGTTGAACTTGCCGCAACTTACGCCGCACTTATCCTCGCCGATGAGGGTATTGAAATCACCGTGCGTATCTTGCAGGTTTCACATCCATATCCATCGTAGCTCAAGAGGCATATGCAGGCTGACAAAATACTCGCCTTGACTGAAGCCGCCTCGGTCGAGCTCGAGCCAATATGGGCAACTCTCCTTGCTAAGGCTTTGGAAGGAAAGAATGTGAAGGATCTGCTATCAAACGTCGGTGCTGGTGGAGGTGCACCGGCCGTTGGCGCACCCGTTGCTGCTGCCGCTGGTGGTGCAGCTGCAGTCGAAGCACCAAAAGAAGAGGAGAAGAAGGAGGAAGCAAAAGAGGAGTCAGACGATGATATGGTATGCACTCAAATGGCCTTTTCCAATCACCACGGGGTGTTGATGCTCGTTCACAGGGCTTCGGGCTGTTCGACTGATCTACTACATAGCACCATACTAGAACAGACAACTTTGGCTTACGATGTTGCCGAAAACTGGAGCCTCAAATCTGTCACGTCAGGATATATCATACGTTGGAATGTAAATTCTAAGACTCTAAGTATAAGTACAACTGTGGTACCACGTATTCAGCCTGTGAAAGCAATGGTTCTAGCGACAAAAACTGTGCCAGTCTACTAGTTAATTCTTCGTGGCAAAAAGCTCACCAAAGCATACCTGCAGAACATAGTTCAGTGCTCAGCGTCCAGTCAGTGGATCTAAAGTTGCGCGTAACTCACTTCCCGCTTATTCTCCACTTTTCGCCCTTCTTATCAAGATTCTCCGCTACTTTCTCGTCTATGCCCACCGCTACGTCAGCCTTATTCGTACGAAGACTGAGAAGTGGGAACGATCCTGCCAGTGGGCCTACCAAATATCATTAATCAACGACGAAAAGTATATGCATGTGAAATACGGACCGATCGCGGTTGGAAACGGAGTGGACACAGGCCACCTAACATCACCTGCCAGTCTGACGTCGGGTTGTAACAATATAGCAGATATTAACAAACATGAAAACACACTCACTTGCGGTAGCTTCGACGCAGAATTCAAAATTCAGGTCTTGAGATCAGTATGGTAATGAAACCCACTCACTTAAGGTCCCCCTAGGACATGCATATTTCGAATGCTAAGTCTTTGAAAGTTGACATGCGGTGCTACTCACTTTGAAAATAACCAACCCAGAACCACTCAGCCATTGCCCCTAACTCCGGTGCTAGTTCGTTCATGTTCCAGTAAGGCCACGGACCATTCCAAAACTCGGTCATCTTCTGTCCATTGCTAATGTCTGTGGCGAGAGTGAAAATGCCCTCATCTATATAATTTTTCCATCGGGTGACCATCTGTTGTAAGTGGGCAACAGAATCTGGAGTAGTCGCAGAGTTTGGTGGAAAGAATGTGGTAGAAAGTAGAGACGAAATAGTGTTCGCAAAGTCGGTAGGAGTGACATCAGAAACGAACCACGGGAACAGTTTCGGGCTTGTGGGTTTAGTCAGAGGTCATGATCGCTTTGAAGGGAGAATCTCACGACGACGTACTGAAACACGACTTGGGAGAAGTACGGAGTGTAAGTGACCAAAAAGTCCGCAAAAACGAAATCTGTAAATAACTGTATTTCAAGGTTAGCAATATTGCTTGCAAAAACGATAAATAACGAACTTCAAAACCAGCTGTTCGTAACAAATGATCAGATGTGAAAGCAGCAAAAAATGCCGAAACGTACCGTTGTCTAGCACGAAGTCCAAACGCTTTCCTTGATTGGCCAGAGTCTTGATGTAACTCCAAACAGCACCTTGGTCGTCCTTGAGAATGAAGTTTGACCTCGCCTCCTGAGCCTCTTTACCGACCGTCTGCAAGTGCTCTATGTCCGACGGCGAGAGGTGCGTCAAGAGGGAAAGATCCTGCATATATAGATGTCAATGATCTGCGAAAAAGAGCCTCACAACAGACTTGCTGTTGCATTGCCCCTAGATCGAGCGTTTATTAAACCATCACAAATCAAAAATGCAAACTAACCATAGGCACATGTAAATCATCTCCTTGAACAATACTTCAAGTTTATCGGAATCCCCTTGAAGTTTGACCTTCTCACTTTCTAATTCGTGCATAGTGGTTGCGATTTCTAAAAAAGCACATCATGTTAGTAATACCCGGGGAAACCATTTGAAGCATAGTCAAACATACGATAGATAGCTGCCCCACTGTTCTTAAACATTTCCTCCTTTTGAAGAGAAAATGGGTCAAACCCGCGCCAGTATGGTTTCTGGTTGAAATACGCGCGGATCAGACGGTATCTATGCGTGTCTCAGCATGTAGTAGATACTATTCTATGTGACATACAAGTAGCACCTGCACGTAAAATTCAGTGATTTGAAGTTTATGGAGAAGGTCTAACCTACTCTGCATACAACCATGGTGCCTGGAACCAAGTGTTGCGGGATGTCTGTTTCAGACTCTCAAGTTCCGCATTATATTCCGCGACCAGAATGTCCCCATCCTGAGGTATGTTTCTGCGTCATGATTAGGATATTGAAGGATCTAGGATGCGTTGAGGAGAGACGACAGTCATGTTCTACCCACTCGAGTTCGTGGTCCCTTGCCATTCGATATTTCAAACGGCTTATCTCCGAGATAATTTCTTGCCCCTCTGTTATCTTCTTAGACAGTTCTTCTGCCTTGGAAACGTCCGAATCGCGGATTTGTTGGGTCTCTAAAGTCATGTCATGGAGAAGACGATGGACATGATCGATGATGTTTGTCAAGATGATGGGCCACCTCTTCACTACTGTGTCGTATCTTGATGGACAGCCGGTCAATCGCAGACCTCTTGGAGCGCGAGCAAAAGGAGACTCACGAGAATCTGGATGATCACGTCCATCAGTCTTCTCATGCCGTGCGCAAGGGTTAACTCACCCAGATGTATCAGTTGGATCATAAGGTGGGTATGGTGCTTGGAACATCTTGTGCTTCGTGGATTACGTTCTCTTCAACCTTGTAAGAAGAGAAATGTTAGTGATTGATTGACCAATTCAATGATTGCACACTGGAAGACTAGCTCGAAACTGTGGGAAATACTACCGACAGATTTCTTTCCAAGTATAGCTGAGCCCACCCAAATGATATCATGTACTTGACTTATACTCTTGAGGTCGAGCTAGATTGTATAGAAGTTGCAGTTGGTACCTCGAGCGGGACAGGCTAGGCGTGCAATAAAACATATCACATATTCGCCAACAATTTGACTACGTGACATAGGAATGTCGGTCAAATCACTTGCGGATACGCATAGGATATATGTAAGTAGGTACGTCAGATTCCTAGTGAGTTGGAGATGCGGCCATGCCACACCGATATGTAGGGGATATGTGCACCAGTGAGTTCATATGGCACCAAATCAGCTCGTCTTTATCAAAACATCGTAGTGACCAGGGCTACCAAATATCAGCTTGCGATAACCGAAAGTCCATCATCGACATACCGGTAGATGAGAATCAACGGTTTGTTCTCTCCGCCGTCTGGGGGTGTGATATCTTGGAAATGGGCCTGGCCGTCCGGGGAATGACCATCAAGATATGCAATCCTGATGTGCAGTTTGAGAGCCCGACACAAGGCCGCTACCTGAACATGGTCTGTCGAATGACATCAACAACTTGAATAGATCGATGTGACTACAACTCAGTATAGTGACCTGCTTCTTTCCCAAGGGGATCAACATATTGCCGACAGAATTCGGTAGGTTCCAATGGCACTCCTGAATCGTCGAAGAGAAAGCCAGCATAATCATCGCTCGCGGATTGGATTTGGGCTGTAGTTAAAAGTCGCAAGTATGTGACAATGCAGTTTGACGCTGGAGCGTGTCAGTTACAGGGAGGTCGGTCGTACACGAGAAACTCACTTTCGTCGTCAAGAAGGGCAGACAGTAGACGATTATGCGTCAGCGCTTTACTAGGGTCGGGGTTTCCGATGGCATCTACTAAATCCATAAGGGGTTCGCAGAAAGTCGAGATGATATCTGCGTCCATAAAATTATGTTCCATCATCCTAGAGCCTGATTCTATCACAGATTTTGCAGAATAGACGAGATTTGGGGAATCGACGAGGCTGCTAAGGTATGCATATGCCAGAGCTTATCAAATGAACTCGTGAGTATGCAAAAGGCGGAAGTTGTAGATTCAACTTTACCTCGGTAAAAGCAATTTCCATCACCTGGTTTAAATGTTCGCATCAGGTTGTGCGACTACCTCGCTTCATTAATATACTACCTTTAGTACGAATAATCTTTGTATAACCTTGATTCATCAAGCTATCGATCTGCGCCACAAAAGATGGGGCGCCAGTGTACTCTGCCCGGAGCTCATGCATTGTCGTTGGTGAAGATATCAGAGGTCGGTCTGGACCCATACTTTCCTCCAATAATTTCTAAGAAGGAAACTGAATCAATCACATCCGCAGCGCATCGCATCGACTAGCAACTAACCTGGCCTAATTCATAGAATTGAGATCTGTGTGCCCCATCATAGGTATCTGCCAAAGGATTCTTACATCGCGCTGCTAATCAGCAGCACTACATACCTAGCTCTTCTGATAATCGAGCAGTACTTGAGAGGTGGGTTGACTCGAACTGGGCTCCTTCAGCTTTAGGCACATCCGAGTCAGCTCGTAGCCTCGCCGCTAGAGACGATAGCCTGAGCACGTATGGTTCGATATGGAAACTAATATGGTTAACTCACGAGTACCGCCAGGCAATGTAGAGCTTGAGAATTGGTTGTTCATAAGGATCTGTTGGATGCCTACTTGGATGTATGATAATACTTAAATGTCGTATATGTGGTCAAGTGACTCAAGTCGTCAATTAATTTGTTGATCAAAGCCTTCTGTTTTCAACAACACCAAACATGCTCAAACATTGTCGAGCCTTATTGGCAACTTCATTGGCCCCTTGTCCAACTAGAAGACACAAATGTAAAGAAACAGGACAGATACATTATACCAGTGTGGTTTGTCAGTCACCTCTGAATAATTCTGAATGACCGGCAGGTCCATTTACAAGCTTTTCATAACCCCGATATGTACTACCTACGAATGTTCGAGATCTAGGAAAATATGAATATTTGTGATGCTACAGTATTTACAAATATGCTATTTGCGTGATATGCTGATATTATGCCGAGACAAATAAAATGTGATACAAATGCAACATCAGTACACTTCCATGTCTGCTTCGGTCACCGTCGCAAGCGTGACCAGCACACGAGCATAAACTTCAGGAGGAAGCATCGCGCAAAGCGATTGTACGCGGACATGAGAGTCACCTCGCTTAAGGAAATCCTTGATTGGGCGTGAAGCTGTTGTAGGTAGGGTAGTTAGATGTTGAAACGCTCTCTGAAGACGCGTTGACTCGGATGCTCGCGGGTCTTCCATAGTCATAGATGAGTTCCATCCGAGTTGCGTGGTTGTGGCTGGCAAAACAGAAGTGGGCCTAGTAAAGGTGCCTCTGCGGTTCAAGGCTTCGAACTCAGGCCATATTTCCGCTAGATCATAAATCCACTGGGGATCGGAAGCTAACAAGTCGGCTTTCATTTGATGCTCTCGCTGTTGAATCCTCGACTTCAGAGTCTGGAGCTGAGCTGAAGTGGAAATCATGAGACATTATGATGCACGCATAATCCGGATACGTACAGCGGATGTCATTTAAATCATGTGGTGACATGAGAGCTTGGTCAATGATGTCAATCAAGCGCATTCGGGAAATTGAATGGGTCGGCACAAGGTACTGTGGGTCGAAGCCCTCCTGGAGCGTCAGAAAGATGCTGACAAAATTCTCGAAGATCACGTCGGCAAGCTAGTGTGCCACGGAGTCAACGTCTAACAAGTATTAGCAAGTTAGGTAAAACCCATACCTCCAAGATATCTGATACCTATGGATTTTGTCAGCCAGCCCGTCAAAATGACTCGAGAAGAAGCATACCAACCGGCAATTTTCAGCAGTAAGTAGCGCCAGGTCAAGCACAGAAACCAGATCATTGCAAGTGGAGCGATATGTTGTTATATCTGGCGTGAACAACTGGGCCATAAACCCAATGAAGATCGCGCGTAGCTTGTCGCTAAGGAATGTTATTCCAGTGTCAGTTTCCGTAAAGAATGCGTATGTTGCGGTATGTGGCAATTTCCAAAACTCTTCCGAAAGGGCGTCGACTGGGTCTGACATAGTGAGAATGGTAGTTCAAAAGATATACGGAAAATATGAGTGCTGTGTGTTGGGAGTTCTGCTGTCCATCACGAGCACCTTTATACCTTTGGCTGCAGTGGAAGTGGCAGAGCGAAAACTATTGTCTGAGATATCCCTGTGGATTATGATTATGTTCACCGAACCACAACAAAATTGGAGCGTACCACACTGACAGTGGTTTAAAAAACTGGCCAAAATAGGGCAATTAAGTAAAACTTGATCCACAACCATTTCAATTTCGCAGTCTCCATACTAGCAAGGTCACGTGAGTGGACGCAGTTCAAGTGTAACCGTGGTCTTGACGTGTGAATGATCTGAATGGTGTAGAATGGTGCCGGTCGTTTGTGGAAAAAAACTGATCAAACTTGAATCCCAGCCGCTATACTCGGACAATGGCAAAGGTCTAGGCAGGAGCGACCCGCCGCCTGTATTGTCCACCTCGAAGACAAGACCACGTTCACATCACACTGAATCTGAAGGTTACGCTTAAAACGTTGATTTCAGAATTACTAACAGCACTTGAACTAAAAAAACATGCCAATTATCATTCGTCTAATTTCCGGCGAAACATCACTATTTGTGTTGTTCGAGAGAACTCCATCAGTCAACCACTTTTCGCTTGATACGCAGCATATTGCGCTGGAGTAAAGGATTTCTGCAGAGAAAGTCAATTAAGGGTTCCAACACGAATAAGTCCACAAGCTCACCTGAGAAAATGCGTGCAGCTGTGATATTTCTTGCTTCAATGCCTGGTTGACTATCAGACGATGAGCATCCCCGTATCTTGATGTACGTCATGATGAGACCTTCTCACTTAATCTATGTCTTGCAAGAGTAGTCTTTCCCTCGAAGGCCTATGTGATAATTCCATTTCACATTGACTATGAGCAGCTTCAGCTCGTTTCGAAAGGCACGTACCTCACTGACCAGAAGAATCGCATAGCTGGATCCACACCCACTCGACTGATCCTCGATGTCGAGATGGGACACAGGGAATGCAGCTCGAATGGCTCGTTCCAAATCCTCGACTGTCACAGGCATGCTAACAGTCACTGGCGTGGAGGAAGAAAAGCGGAAGTAAATTTGTGTTTGTTTGATCTGATTAGATATCGTGGACGCCCGGGCCGATGAGTCATCTATTAATATTCCAGGTTCAGCTGCAACCCCTAGATAAGCATATCATCGTCTCATCCAAGTTCATAGGACGAATGTACAGAGAACTAGCCAAAGCTACCTTCGGGTACCCTATAATCGATAACCACGCCCACCCATTCCTGAAATCAAAGCACCGCGACGCCATCCGATACGAAGTACTCATATCCGAGGCCCAAGGCGACGCCTTAGACGACGCCGTCTACACTCTTCCTTGCCTGCGTGCAACAGCTCAGTTATACAAGCTATTCGGATTGACAGGTGACGATGCTACCTGGGAGGGCGTTAAAAAGAAGAGGCTCGAGTTCGATTATGCAGAGTTGTGTAAGCTCTGCATGGAACCTACGGGAATTCAGTGCATACTGTTCGACGATGGATTGGGTGGAATCGCAGAAATGGCCGAAGAATTGAATTGGCACGACCAGTACACTGGAAGTCCATCGAAGAGAATTGTGAGATTAGAAGTGGAGGGCCAGGTAAGGTATCGCCGTCCCTATCTTCGAGAAATACTCAGTCCCGATGCTTAGAACATCTTACAAGACATCCTCGTCGCAAATGCCAACTCGGCTCTGTCGATCGATGTTCTCTGCGACACATTCCTGAAGGAGTTCACCACTTATATGAATAACACTGCCGTAGATGATCGTGTGGTAGGGTACAAGTCTGTTGCTTGTTACAGGCAAGTAGTTATATGATGACCTGGATCGACGATCATCTCAACTCACTTATGCGACAGAACCGGTCTGGATGTCAACCCTGCTCCCTGCAGCGTAGATGAACTCTACGAGTGCCTGGCATCTGCATCCCAGCAGTTCAAGGAAAAGGGTTCCATTCGCTTCGAGCACAAAGCTTTGAACGATCACCTGGTCAAGATAGTTCTCGATATCGCAGGCAAATGCAAAAAACCTAGTAAGCGTTGGTTCCGTTCCGCGCGACGCCTTCCCTCTTACATTGTCAAAAGTCCAGTTCCACACAGGTGGGTTGCAAAACAGCGGCCCAGGTCGCGTTATGTGATACTTATCCTCCCGAAGGTCTCGGAGACAATGAGATCACGTTGACAAAGTCTTCTCCAGCACATATGCAGCCCATCATCAAGGCCTTCCCAGACACCATATTTGTTCTTCTGCATTCCAGCTATCCTTACACGAGAGACGCTGGGTACCTCACGTCCGTGTACAAGAACGTTTATCTCGACTTCGGAGAGATTTTCCCCTTTATCTCTGCTGACGCCCAACGCACCGTGGTACGCCAAGTGCTTGAGTTGGCGCCTACTAATAAAATCTTGTGGTCCAGTTCGTCAGCAGTCTATTTATCACCGCACATCCTGCTTACCATTCCACAGCTGATGCGGCGTGGTGGCCGGAAAGGTTCTACCTTGCCACTATCCAAGCTCGCGAGGTAATATACGAGGTAATCGGCATATTTCCTTTGGGTGAACGATATGAATCTTGACTCTTCAGGTCCTAGCGGGTTTCGTCAGCAAACAAGACCTCACGGAAGACCAGGCGGTGTCTATCGTGAAGATGGCATTCTTTGAAAATGCGAATCGGATCTATATGCTAGGGCTTCAGCCGAACGTCAACATTTTGTCTCCCCGGGCATAATCACCTTGAACACACGGACGGAAATTTGGCGCGGTTGGAACAAAGGACTAGTGATAGAACAGATTGCAATAGTAGTCCTTCCATAATTTCAGCGAGGTGTTTTTGTGGCCATGTACTCGTCTCAGAAGCACAAATATTTCCTGAGTCCTCCCTTGTAGTGTTCTTCTTTCTTCAAAAGTCCGAATCCAATGAAGTGAGAATGTCATGAGGCTGCATATCGAAAGGACATGAACGTCGTTATGGATTGAGCGTGGTTGAAGAGGGTTCGAGTGCTTGTGGGTAGTTTCGCCTGGGCAGCCATTAAACGGAAGGAAGACAGTCGTTGCTAGTTTGCAGGTTAAAGAGAAAGAGCCCTGAATGATGAACCTGGTGCTGGGTCATTAGAAAATGTAAGAATCAAATTCGATATTGGGCAAGTTATTTTTGTTTATACTAGAGAGCAAGGTGTGAAAGTCTGTGACTTGAAAGCTTGATGCCGTGGCCAGTCCAAGACTAAGCGTGACGGCCTGAATATTCACAACACAACATGCTAGCTCAGATCTTTGCTCGATACCACTGTATACATATAGGCGCTCCCAATAAAGCATCAAACACCTTTGGTCGCTTGCAATTGCGCCTTCGCATATCCGTGTGACTTTTGTTCATCCCATCCCATTCTAGCTTTCGAGTCACAAGGCGAAAGCAAAGGGTCAACCACCTGTTAAAGTCATCATGAACTACTAGTAGGTTCCACGGCAGCCTATGTGCTTACCAAAGGAGACTGACTATAGAGCACTAGGACACTATATGGTATCATCTTTCAAGAGTATCAACAGCTAAACTCTATGATCACTAGGATCCTGCTTTGCTAACATCCTTAATTTCATCTATTCTCGTCGCACCCACCGAACGCGATACACGCATACTCAACTCGTGGACCCTTTCTACGTCACCACCGCACCCTCTTACTCCTTAACGTCGTTGTCAGTTCCTCCCAAAATACGACGCATCAAACTTCGCAGACATCAAGTTCCCATATTATCTCCTCCAGCAACGATCACTCCCACATCAACACATATCTGGAGTGGACATGAGGACACCGCTACGCCAAACTCTCCTGTGTTTTTGCATCAGAGAACCTGAGGATAAAGCGGGCAACAAAAACCGACTATATGCACCGCTCAACAACTACGATTTGCGACCAAGGACTCTGGGCCTGTATGTATTGGAGACACCCGCAGTAACTGTATGATGAACTTGAACGTCTTCTCCACTCCCCGTGAGTCACAGTCTGCTTCTCCTAGCCTCATGCGAAAATTCAAATATTGCCACTCATTTATTACAGAGTTCAATGCAGCTTAATAGTACTCTTTAGACTCTTTCTCGAGTCTCCAGAAACCGACTGTTGAAGACCTCACTGATTAAGGATGTCCATTGTGACACCACGGTGCACCTGCATCCAACATCACTCTCCACTCAATGTCATCGGGCCGGAACCTTTCATTTTGGTTCCTACTAATCTTATTTCCTCAACTTCGACATCCCTTCGCTCTTACATTATTCTTATATGCATTGTCTCCGTGGTGGTTTTGTTCTTACCGCCCTCGTCGTGGATATCGCGATTACATACTGTGACTCTACTGTATAATGTACACAATGATACGACATATTTCGTCGCAACCTGGTCTTCAGATTGTTAGCTCACTTTGAATATACATGCTAAGTGCAACGGAAACTTCAATGACCGCATATGCCCACAAACATGATATCTTTCTATTCAGATTCTCAATCCATTGTAAAGAAGCGTCGGTGTATACTCTTCAACAGGATCCATCGCGCACGCGCAACAGCCTATCTCTGATGGAGTCATCATGCCTTGTCCGCCATTACGTGCTGTCACTCATACACCAGCACACCATGAGAATCACGCATCAAGCTTTTCAATAAGTCGAAGACTCAGACAACCATGAACTCGGACTAGGTAGTGGATATACAACATGCCGACGGTTATGCGTGCTTAGATATATTAGAAGAATACAAGATAATAATTCACCGTACACTCGGTCGCATGTACATTTTATCATAATGAATTCATTGCTACGAGCATCATCGGTACTAATGTCTGCAAGTGTTTGATTCTAGTAAATGCGAGGACGGGAAAGGACTTGAAAAGACTCACCCCTCTCGGCACTTTTCCCAGTGTTGTCCGTGTGCCATGCGGCTCAAATCAAGCTCAGGACCTCCTCTGGGTATCACTAATTTGGTTGCGGGAGTGTAAAATGCGTGCCGAGAAGCGGGTGGTACCCAGAATAACAGCCTATGTTCAGGCCCTACCACCCATCCACTGTCATGATCCAGGAAAAAGGGGGTCAGACTGAAGTTGTCATGGGATGCTTCCTCCATCAACTCGGAAGTGTTGCACAGCGCATGGATGGGGTTAGATGAGAAGGAAATGAAGTGATTGTTCCCAGTGTGCGATTTCATGGTAGTGGTGACGTTGATCGTGCAATGTTCATCTGAGAATGCTGAAGGGTCTGGTATGGCGCACTGTTGGGATGGCTGTTTGATCACTGCATCCCACAGCCGAACAGTCTGATCCCTTGAACCAGTGACGATGCGAGAGCCGTCCGGCAAGAACGAGACCAAGGTAACTCCTGAAGTGTGCCCCCGCAAGGGCTCACCGATTGGCTTTCCCGTCCCTGCATCCCACAGCCAAACAGTCTGATCCCTTGAACCAGTGACAATGCGAGTGCCGTCCAGCGAGAATGAGACCGAGGTAACTTCTTCTGTGTGCCCCCGCAAGGGCTCACCAACTGGCTTTCCCGTCCCTGCATCCCACAGCCAAACAGTCTCATCCAAAGAACCAGTGACAATGCGAGTGCCGTCCGGCGAGAACGAGACCGAGGTAACTCCTGAAGTGTGCCCCCGCAAGGGCTCACCGACTGGCTTTCCCGTCCCTGCATCCCACAGCCAAACAGTCTCATCCCAAGAACCAGTGATGATGCGAGTGCCGTCCAGTGAGAACGAGACCGAGGTAACAACAGAAGTCCCCCTCAGCACATTCTGAACAACCGGCCAGTTTATATCACGTCCAGATACTACACAAAGAATATTCAGAAATCGTCCTGAAATCTCTCTTGATAGTGGAGAGTTGGTAGGCAAGAACGGGAGGGCTGAGACATATAGATGTGGTGTGCTGTGTAAAATGATGCTGCCGAAGACTTGAATGAACCTCTGTACATCTATTTCAGTTGACAAGAGGTCCTTGAATTCAGAATGACCCTGTGGTTGCGCGTGAGCGCTTTAGCTGGCACCCAGTAGCAATGTACTCACCTTTAGCCACTGTCCAATGAGTGCAAGGGTAGGAACTGCACCACTGAGCGCATTTATCAGCGCAAGTAACTCGAGCCAGAAAAACAGTCGCTCGTGGTTGAAAAATAATTTTACTTCTTTTGTGAGCTCCTCGTCGAAGACCGTGGCACGTACGTGAGAAATCCAAAATTGAGAGGAATATGACAGATGTGGGGAAATGCATGTTTGGACTCGATCTTGCAGCCCGGGATCTTCGCAATTCGGCAGATACGACGACTTTAAATTGCAGATATTAAAGCGAAGATCATTTTCCATCACTCGAAGTGATGCGAATGCAAGGTCGTGTTGTGCCTTTGACAGGTCAATGAAAAACTCTTCGCTGGATGGTTGGTCCGTCAAGAAATCATGGAAGGATGCGTGAAGGGGTCAAATTGGGGAATCTGGGTCGGTGGTGCCGCTGAGGAGGGATCCCATGCATTTTACTACAAGCTCCACGTCGAAAATGTCCTCTCCTGCTGGAAAATGGTGCCTCATGGCATTCAGGGAAGCTAAAGAAAGGGGTTCAGCTGTGCCTAATATTTGTCCCATCACTGAGCGGAATCTCGCTAGCATCTTCACACGAGATTTCTGCGAAGGTTGGACGTTGTTAATTGTATCCCTGGGCATGATATCCCTTAAAATGAGGCGATACATGTCGTGCAACAGCACACCTTTCTCAGAAGGATCGGGTGACACCACAGTGTCGTAGCAATCAATTGGAGATAGCCCCACATGGGATCCTCTGATGTACCCACAGGCGAGACGCGCCCACTCAAAAAGTCCATTAGCTTTCTCAGCAAGGACTGCGAACTGTCTGTCCTGAAAAGCCAGCCCTTCCAACTCCTTGAGTACGTAAGCACGGATGTCGCGCTTTGCGAGTGCTGTCGGAATATCATCCATGGACATGTGTTTGATATGCTGAACACCGTAGAACTCGTCTTTGATGTCACCAAGCAGGCGAGAGGTAACGATGAAACGGAAGTTGTGTGGGAGGTCCGTGATTTTGGGAACGGCGGTGTTTGGATGTTTGCCCACTAGAATGCAGAGCAGGTCTCTCCGTGTCTCTGCTACACCGCTCTCGTCCAGTGCATCGATCACGATCACGATGGGTTCCCCAGTCAACCCAGATGACTTCCCCGATGGTTCAATAAGAAGCTTCTGCCATTGTTGGATGATATTGGCTGTCTTCTTGAGTGAACTCGCAACTTGAACTGCATCTGCTAATGCCCACCTCATCTCCAGATCACAGTCAGCCAGGTCTTGCGCGATGGTGGAAAAGATCTTTTCATGGCGACGATCTGCTTCTCGCTGGCGGTCAAAAGCGTAACATGAACTGAGTCCTCCCATGTCTTCGAACCACTTAGCAATGGTGTGGGCAATGGCCAATTTGCCCTTGCCTGCAGGGCCAGATAGCCACAGCACGCGTGGAACATTGTCCCCGGTGCTGTTGACCCATTCCATGATTTGGGAAAGAATTTCCGTGCACGTCCCATGAAGGCATTGTTTCCTGGTATCTAAACCCGCACCATCTGCATAAGTCACTCCACTGAGGTCCAATATTTCCTCTGAAAAAGTTTGAATATATGTCAAGTCATGAGGAGATCCAAACCCTTACCGGTGCGGTGGACATGTATAGCTATGTCTTGGATGTGTATGGCTATGTCGCGAGCAACCTGGTCACGAAAGTTTTGCATGAGTCTATCAAACATGTCATTGTACTTTACGATCGTATCTGTCATTTCCGAGATGATATTTTTTCCGAGTCTCTTCCCTGGTAGAAGCTTGAGACAGTACAGAGCGCAACAGTATGTAATACTCACAAAAATTGGTAATCTTGGAATAATTGCTGATAAAATGCGCACATTCACGAGTCTGCTGAGAAATCTTTCCGAGGATAGCGTGCATCGACGAAATTTGGCCAAGCATCTTGTCTTGTGTTATGAAGCTGTAAACTTCACCCAACTTGTTGAGAAGTTCGAGTACCGCTGCGTCGCGATCCGCTTGAGCTATAATAATCTGCATAAATGATTGATGAGCCGTGTAAGATAGGAAAAGATAGAAAGAAAACATACTTTAGCTGCACAGGACAGCACGCCCAGCGCCATGTTTGCATATGGATGTACCTGGGGAACCGGGTTAATCCGGTTCCGTTCAAGAGCAGGGCTTACATACATTCGCAATCTTTCCTATAACATCGTCGAATATTTTGAGGGGTTTGAGATATGTGTCCTGGAAACCGTCAGCAGCGGTGAGATCTGCTTGTGCGTCTTGGGCAGCAGACGTCACGGTTATCACACGTCCCGAAAGCGAATGCATCTGTCTTGCAGATTGTTGAGCATGCTGAAGTGCCGATTGGGATTCAGCCTCCACTTCTATGCCAGACGGAGCAACCTGAACCAGCACGACCACCGAAATTAAGAAAGAACATAGACTGAATGGAAAGATCAAGGAGAACCTACCTCGATGATATTCGAGGTCGATGAAGCACTTTGATGATCCACATCCGGGGGAACAGAGCCGCGGTTAAGGGAATCCTTTGAGCGCTTGTTGCAATATTAGTCGGATTCCAGGACACTCATTACGCATGCTCGTGGACTCACCGACCCTCAAGGTGTCCTTCACTGTCTTCAGCAACCGACGGACGCCACGGGGTCGGTGCTAGACGAAGGATGTCAATGTTTGGTGTGAAGTGGACTAAGCGATCCTTGTAAGGCACGTACCGAGCCTCCACTGGCTGTTGCTTCATTAGATGTGCGAGTTTCTTGAGTCGAATCCCTCGGTGGGTTGCTTTTTTTCCTCATTGTGAATAGCAGTTGACGATAAGAATCCGTATGTAGCGAAGTAGTAAGAAAAGGTTCTACACCTTATATAAAACAACGGTCATCAGGCCTCGAGGCGATATTTGTTACACTGCCTACAAGTTGCGGCAAGCGAATAAAGAAAGAATTCAATCGTCCAATAATCGTCGCATCAGATGCATCTCGTACTCCAATCATTGTTCTTTTCGGACCAAGATCCAATAGATCATCTCATCGGTCATGCTCCAAGGCTTATACCGACAGTTTTTGCTCGAATGCAAGTTCATGTTCATTGTGAGATTGTAGACAAGCTAGTCACCTGGGATCATTGTTGATGAGCAACGTGAGAGACCACAAACCTTACACTATGTGCGGACAACTTGCGCAAAGATGAAACGGGCATCTCGCGAGTCGTGAAACGCCTGCGGATCCGGAACAAGAGCGATTTCGATTTTAACGCTCACGATAAGAAACCCCTGATGACCCTCGAAACATGCTTGAGGCGCAGTTCACCAGCACCTTTCGATCGGACTGCACGTTTCCCACCATTTTCCTTCCACCGTGACCTTGTTCAAGGCCTACATATCAACGACCTCTCTTGCCGAGGAGTCCCGCCCGTTGCGGCGACACTCTGGTGCATCTAGGTCCAATATCATCCTCAAATCAAAGTCATCTATCCTGCTGGAACCTCATTTTAGTTCATAAGCAACACCGTTCGGCAGAGTCGAACGAAGAAATAATATAATCGTCCAATTAACTTTTCACTCTCATATTTCAAAGGTTCTGATCGGCAAGATCCATCCTATGCCTCATGCCCTGAGTATTATCCAGGGTTTATACCGGTAGTTATTGCTCGGATAACCTGAATGCAAGTTCGTGTTGACGAAATAGATGCAAAATCAGAGTAACGTGATACAAAGGGAATAAAAGAAACTTACGCTATGCACGCCTATCACTGGAATACGAGGGAATGCGCGCGGAAATGAGACCTTGTAGCATGTAGAAGCCTAAAGGGTTCTCTAAGAATGCCTGTGGAAGAGGAGCGATTCTGATGGCTAGAGCACCAAACGATGCAAGCTACGGAGCATCAATGATTAACGCTCGCGATAGGAAACCCTATAACATGATGACGTACCTGATTGACGACGGGAACAGCGTTGCCAGCGAAAACGGGCATTGCTTCAAAATCTTGTTTCTACGCTTCGTCAGAGGGACGCAGTCCTCGATAGTGAAGCGTTGACGTAACTCATCTTCATTAAAAACTTGCTGAATAGACCAGTGGGGACCCGTGGCTTCAACTGCAAGCTCTGCCCAAGACTCGATGTTAAATGACTCGCGGCGCTACGTGTCTGAAGTTGTGTGCCGAGCAAGAGGCCGCGACGCGTATAGGTCTCTCTTGTAACGCTGAAGGAGGTTGATTATATGCGTTCTGAATGAATATAGTGTCAATCGAGCATTACTGGACGTAATGCGGAACTTAAAGCTTGAAGCAAGGAGTATACGTAGGCGTAGGCATGACACATCCCAACTTGGTGTCAGGCACGTTTCACATCTATAGTACCCTTTTCCTGTAAACACCACCATGCCTCCATCCTCAGAACAAAGCTTCAGAGCCAATCTATCTCAATTCCGCTGGGCCAGAGGCGTCACAGACGACTCTCAACAAACACAGCAACCACTCCCATCATCAAACCCATTCTCCCGCTTCTACAACGCTGTAGCAGGCGACTATATCCCTCTCAGATCCAGCGAACGTTCCAACGAAGACGAAGCATGGTTTGCGCTGTCACGTTGGGAGAGGTACGCGTTCAAAACTCACTCTTACCATACCAGTCTTCTCAGCACAGACTCCAATCTCCAGACTGCTCGGGTTCGGTGCGAGCTTGTTAGGCGCAGCAGTCTGCTTCTTCGTCGCTTTCATGACCCTCCCTTTCCTCGCCATCAATCCCGCAAAATTTGCTTTGGCATTCAGGTATGCGTAGTTTTTCTCTCGTTCTACACCTTCCGGTTGATAACTCCCTCGCAGTCTGGGGAGCTTGCTCGTGATGTTCGGGTATGTCATACCACTCCGTGTCGATCCGAATGATCATCGCTGACTACCATATTCAAGTTTCTCAGTCCTCATAGGACCATTAAACCACGCAAAACATTTGATTTCCAAAGAACGACTGCCATTTACCCTCGTCTACTTCTCAAGTTTGGGCTTGACCCTCTATTTCTCCATCAGCGTGAGTTTGTATTCTTTCATCACCACAAGGGTCCGTTTCAACGACTCCTATTAGGTCCACTCGTACTTGGGTTCGCTATTAGCAGGTGTGGTCCAGGTAGTATCTCTAGTAGCGTATGTCCTGGCGTACTTCCCAGGAGGTACACAGACATTGCGCTTTGGTGGACAAATCGCTCTTCGGGGAGCAGGAAGTCTGCTACCTTTCTAAGTAACAGTAATGAATCAACACGATCGTATCCTCACACACGATATCTAGATCTAGTGCTTGCTCATTATTCATTCCGACGACGACGATCAATCCATCATAAGCGCAGTGCGGTACTTTTGAAAACAACAAACGACGACAACAACAACCCATCTATTCGAGAGCTTCATGCAACCCAACCGTATCCCTCAACCTCCGTGACATAATCTCAATATATCCTTGGTATGATTGCCACTCACTCCCCAGCGTATCTACCGTCTGTCGGGCACGTCATCAAAAGCCAGGCTAGCTCAAGCTAACGAACGTACCAGATCCAATGTTGATAACCTCGCGAGAGCACCAATCAATCGTTTACCAGCGTTCGCCTTGAACGAATCAGAGTCCGGAGGCGGAAGAAGCCTCAGGGTGCTCTTCATATTTATAATTGGCGCGGAGATTTCGCTGCTCGACAAGTCGCGCTCCACATAGCTCACGAGATGGCGCCACAGCAATAGTAATACCATTTCAGTAGTACCTGTATTTGCATTAGTTAATATCACTCGGCGATAGCTCTCCAAGACAATTCTCACCGAGCATGTTTTTAACTTCATCTTGAGCCTCGTTCCTGAACCTCTCGTACTCTCTGAATATCAATGACCTCTTCTGCGCGATGTCTAAGTCTTGAAGGAATGCTGGATCAGACACGCTAACGATCTGCAGATTATATATTTAAATCTCAAATAATCCTTTGGCAAGACACAGACGTACCTCTTGGATATTGTCCACTCGAATATGGTCTCGTGAGGACAGTTCAGCAGATAAGTCAGCTATCTGTTTCAATGTCTCTGAAAGATCGTCGCAAAGTCCATTCAGCGCCTCGATAGCATCGCCGACCGTCGGTATCGTGGCTACATCAAGATATAAGTAGGTGATGGGTGATATAGGCAACACGACTACGCACCTACGAAACGAGACGACCGTTCATCATGTCGGGGAACCGTGACCACAGGAGAAAGCACCAGTGTAATCTCAGGCTCTGCAATCGAAAGAAAATCAAACAGGCGCTCAGACCAAACATGAACCAACTTACCAGTGAATTCACTAGCAGTTCCCAGGTACTCCACGATAGCCTTGAGTAGTAACCGTTCTTGGCGCCTCAAACTCAGATCAAATTGAGTAGTCGATCCATGCCCGGACGCAAAAAGGCTAGCTCGTAAAACCTCAGCATCCGTCCGAGGTTTGACCGCTTGACTCCAGCTTCTGTTTCCCAGGCACCGCGCTGCAAGGCCTAACACAGCACCGTGAATACCACCAAACCCAGAATTCGTTGACATCTAGAACATAAATCATGAGTAGTAGAGCATATATACGAACGGTGGCTTACCAGCTCGAGTTTTGGGACGAGCGTCAGGACGCTTCTGCTAAGCGACACTATGAGATGGATTTCCTGGACGATCGACAAGCCAATCTCTTCAGAATCATTTTTGAGAAGAATGATGATAGTTTCTCGATGGCTTGATAAGAAGTCAAGTGCCTGGATGCCAAGCCAGAGTCAATGCCCATCCGCTAACAAAAGTCAGGAATCAGTCGTACCTGGCTGCTCGCAGTGGCATGCTGAGCTCCTAACGTCGTCAACATCGCAGCAACGAGCTGAAGTGCAGGCATGAATAGCTGGTGGTATCGCTGAATCGCCGAAGGCAAGAAAGAGTCTTGGTCTTCAAAAAACAAACTTAGAACATAGAACCCTCTGAGTGAGAAAACCCACATACCCATAAACGACTGATCAGCTTCTGGTCTCGTATCCAAGAACTCGCATTGACTCAGGACCGGGAAAATTCGAGCTTCAAGTAACCGTTCCGCACCCAGCCTCGTTTGTGCCATCCGTATCAAGAAGGACATCTTTGACTCGTAAACATATAGAGGATTTAGATCGTCTACGTTATCACTTCAGTTTCCTCGCGATACAAGTTGACTGTGCACGCACCTGGATCTGGTTTGAGCATGTACTGTATTTGCGGCTCCGCCTCCTTCAGCCCTTGAACAAAGTTCGACAAAATCCCATAGCGAACCAAAGATGTAAGAAACATGCGGGACTTATCCGAGCGGCACAGCTGAGCGAGGGAGTCCAACAGCATGAAAGCGACAGTCTTCCACACTTCAGTGCCATCAATTGCGTCCCGGGATATGATCGTGACCAGTCTCTCGAGCACGCTTTTTAACGCACCCAGCGTACCAAGCTCTAGCGCAGATGCATTTGTCGCAGGCCTTGGCGATCCGCGCATGGATCGAGAATCATTTAGGGATAAATCATCGCGCGAGGAGAGAACGGAGAGGGACATTGACATTGACATTGACATCGAGTGCTTCCCGAACGTCTCCAATGACGCTTCTCCCGAAGGCCTCTGGTCACTCCCTCCAATAAGGTGGAAGTAATTGATCAAAGAAGCGTATAGGTTGCCACGGACCAACTCGGAACGGTTGTTATCCAGAATGCAGTCAAGGATGCTGCGGAGAAGCGCAAACAGTCTCTCTGCAGGCAAAGATCCTGCGTCAGTGTCCCCGCCGGCAGATTGTAGCATAACTTGATGACGTCGATCTTCGCGCAGCTTCGTGATGCAAGACAGTACTGCTTCCGAGAGCAGAACTGCGGTAGGTTCCTGGATGTCAGAGGAACGAATTGCAGTGGGTAAAACGTGCAATAAGTCAAAGAGCATGTTTTCGCGCCTGTCGTGCGGCAGACGCTGGAAGCACTTGGTAAGGGTGATGTCCAATAGCCTCCACCACGCATCATATCCGGTAGCAACAGCAAAAGCGACCTCACGGCGATGGTTTTCGATCGCACAGCTCTCCAAGACATACGAGGTTTCAGCGTTCAATTTGTCGGCCTGCGCGCTATTGGTGATCCGGCCTTGGGCGTGGAGGGAACGCCGAGCAAGCGTCAACAGGGATAAGAGCGCAGATCTATCGACGACTTCGCACCCGGTGCCATCCACACGGATGCAGGACTGGAGGTTCAACTGACCGAGAAGCTCGAGGTCGACAGGATGAACGGTTAAACTGTCTGACCAATCAAAGCTGAGGGACTGCACGGACTCGATGATCCGAAGATGCGACTGGCCCATCTCCTGGAATGGCTGCAACGCATCCACATCCCATTCGAGCACATCCTCGCCAGCCGTCGCCTCCGAACCGAATATGATTTGTAAAACCTCCAAAACACCCTTGTGGTGGCCTTTACGAGTCAGGACGTGAAGATCAAGCGATACTAAATCCAGGATGCGAGAGCGTACACCCATGAATGACCGTAAAGCTGATACGCTGGTGATAACTCGAGAACCGTCATGATACAGGACCTCAATGACAGGCTTCCTCGAGCGTTTCCGGGGCTTTGGAAGGTATGGCTGCGAGATGGCGGGCGAAGAAGTCGTCTCGCGTGCGGAGGTACCTCATGGTGGACTCTGATGTTCGTGGATGCACACAGAGCTGGTGGATGACCTGGTAGCAGCGCTCGGCCAAAGCAGGGATAGAAATGAACAATGGATCAACCTGATGCGCAAGTCGACGTTCATGATCTTTGCCTTTGCCGTGCACTCTGGGTACGCCAGCGTTCACAAGGTCAAAGATGACGTGGGCACACGTTCTGTGCACACCCAAAGCGTGTGGATCTTGGATTTGATGCTCGTTTTCTGGCCCACCGAACAATAGGAAATGACCGATGGTGGGATATGGTCGGTTTGGTCGCGTGTTCTGGATGAGTAATTCAAGGATGGCAAGCCGTATCGCTTGATCGAGTGGTTCTTGCGTTTCTCTATCAGGGGCACCAGCACCGGTCACCTGTTCAGCCTGCGTTTCACTAGCATCCACATCGCTAAATGACTCGACACTGAGTAATTGCTTGAAGCCACTGCGGATACGATCCGAGTCATTGCTGCGCTCGACGAGGGTGGTTAGGTTGCTGACCGACGACGACAGCTGCGTGACAATCTTGACCGCGAGGAGGACAAGCTCAGGGTATGCGGGGTACACCACATACGCAGCAATGGCAGGAATATGCTGTGTGCCATACGACAACGCTTGATCAAAACGCGTATAATATGACCGAGCATGAGCAACGCCCACAAACTGTGAGCTATCAAACTCCGTGAGGAGCGGCACGAGAACGTCAAGGAAGATATCCTGGATATCCAGAACGCGGTGAACGATCCGCAAAACGCGCACAATCGTATTCTTGAAATGTGGTTCTTCGTCTGCAAAACCTTTCTCAAAGCCTTCTACGCCATCGACGATGTACGTCAAGATACTGGTTTGCAACAGCGAGTTTGTCAGGAGACGCTGCATTATATCATATCCTGGATGGACAAGGAGGGGAACGACGGCCTCTCGCTTCAAGACGACATCTTCACTTGACGATACCAATAACTCCAGATCGTAGCTGGCGAGGACTCGCTCGACGAAGGATAAGCACAAGTCATTCATCTGCCATCTATCCGAAGGCCGCCTGTACTCTCTCCGGGGGATGTTGGCGAAAACGTTGTCGATGACGAAGGATATGTAAGGTCCAATTCCAGGAAGACGGTATGGTTGACCAAGGGCATCAGGAATGGTGTTCAATGGCTCCGAATCTGTGATGAGGTCCTTCAAGGAAAGGCGTTTGGGAGTGTGAATGAGGGTAGTAAGGAGATTGAGGAACGGAATCGTAGCAGGATAGAGCTTGTGAATAGCTTCAACCTCGTCCAACTCCACCTCGACGCCCTTGACGGGATGCAACACTCCACCAATACGGGAGGAATTTGCCCGGACATTGATTACTTCTAGACGCTCCATCAATGTCCATACTGATCTGCATATTTCCACTCCAGGAACTCCCGCTCCAGGTTCACAAAAAGCTGCTAAGGCGTCAAAAATCGCTCCCTTCAGCTCCAAGGGTATCCCAAGGGGTATCAGCGAGACCAGCGTTGGAATAGCCCTGAAGTGCGCGTTTCCGGAAACTGCGAGGCGGACAGCAACCGAGCATGAAACCACCGTAGATAGAAGGCGGAGGAATGATTGGGCAAGTAAAACATCATTAGGTCCTATAACAACCTGTTTTTGCTGCTGCCGTTGTTGGGAAGTAGATTGGAACTCGGCGAAATTAGATGACCTGAAGCCACTGAACGATGTCCCCAAGTTCTGTTGCGGAGGTGGGTGGGGCTTGGGGCTGGTTGAAGGAACTGCCCAGGATTCTAGCAGAGCGAATATGAGCGTCCAGGACACAGCTGAACCAGCGCTGTAGTGAGATGAGCTGGCAGCGAGGCTGCTTCCAGGTACGACTTCTACCCCACCTCTAGCAAGAAAATTATATGCGAGCTCACTGCATTGTTGGCCTTTTGCTAAACCAGACAACATGTCGTATAGCGCAGTGGTCATGATGATATCACGAGTCTGTGTGGACCATACTGCCCACTGAAGGAAAGAAGGAAGCCTGCCTGCATTGGCCTCCGCAGTCTCCAGGTAGGTGAGACGATGATTTTCGGTGAGTGGTGTAGCCCCCCAGAACTGCAGAGCTCTTTCGGGAGGAAGTATGGAGTATAGAAGACCTATGAACGAGTATAGCATGGCGATGTCGTTGCGAGGATTTGCTTGAGAGTCTGAGTCTTGCCCGGAATGTGTCACTGACCGGAATAGACGTGCACTGGCGAGAACGATATCCTCTTGACGTTGTTTGATTTTGCGTAACTCTGAGGATGCGTATGTGATCACCGAGCGCACCAGCGCTTCGCAAGCATTAAGAACTGCCAACTTAAAGTCTTCGTGAGGCGGTTCTCTTAGTTGCTCCTGCTCAGGCGTAAGCTCAATGAAGGCAGCGAATGACGTTGCTGGTGAGCTTCTTGACAACTGGATAAGCGCTGTGGTGAGATATGTGAAAGCATCGCCCTGGACCGCATTCCAAATCTGAGTCTCCAGCTCTGTTGTCTTGAAACCCTCCCTGGCCTCCAAAGATGGGTCGCGGTGACGAGTTTCGGTTAAGAGGAGAGTCCACTTTAGCAATACAGTTGCTTTTAGACCTGTATCTTTCCACTCCGTGTTGCGGGAGAGCTTCTGCCTCATATATGTTATCATTGCGTTGTCCGTAGCCAGGCGTTGGCGATTCCTGCCACCGATAGACGAGGGGTCCATCAAATCAAAGGCAGCCAGAATAGCGGTCAAGACATAGAATGTCATGGCGTCGTTGGGATTCACGGATAACCAATCGAGGGAAGTGCGGATGTCATAGACCGTGAGACATCCAAGACGGGCAATCTGGAAGTAGACAGTAGCAAGGTATCGTCTCTCATACTTGAGCGAGTCACAGCGTGCACTGAGAATGTCATAGCCCAGAGTAGGTGAACCACCTTCAATAGTGGTCTATTAGAGGTCAATCTTACGACGAGGCAGAACTCACCAGAAGGAGTTACAGTATTGCTCACGGCACATTGTTGTGCTTGTTGCGCCCGTGCAACTGTGTTTCCCAAGTTCTCTAACTCCTTGAATATTCGCAATGCCAGCGATACTTCTCCACCTGGTCCTTTCATAGGTGGGACGAGATCCTGCCTAGCAAAAGCATCCAGCCGTTTGTAAAGTCGCGGTGCATCTGGCAACTCAGCCAACTCTGCAGCCTCAAAGATGTAGCGCAAACAATCGACCAGATGACGTCGTCTTTGATGGAATTCAACGACTGTAGCTTCTACGCAACCGACTGGGCCTATATTTGGGTTTTCGCTCATGACAGAATGCAGTATGCTCGCGATGTATTTTTCGGAGGACTTGAGCTGCTGAGCAAGGAATATTGCCTGCTGAGCAAAATCCGCATTGACAGCGAATGACCTGCCATTGATCGTGATCCTTCCTATGGACTCATCATTGAATTTTACGCGTCGATACAGATGCAATGCGCTCACCACTTCGTAGCTCTTGTTGTTCCTGCTGGCTACTCTGTCCTACCTCAAACAGTTCAAGTAGCCTCTGTTTGTGCATCATGAGTTCATCAAAAAGTTCTTGTTCTCCATGTCCACGAGAGCTGAGACTTGTCAGAAGCACGCTTCTGAGTCGCGATATGGACTCCATAGCGGAGATCAAGTTGTTTTAGACAAGCGTTTCGTTTGCAATTTGGATGTTGTATAAGCGTGGGAATGTTCAAGGTCCACCGGAGACCGCGCCATGGACTGCGCAATGTCGGTCGCGTGCTCGCCTCGAGGATAAGTCGTGTTCCCGCTCTTGCTCCTGACCATTATCCGAGACGATGACTGAAATATTGTACAGACAGTATGTAGGCGAATCTGATTTACCACACATTATGGCGCTGGTACAGAGTGAGCTCAGTGAGCCGTATGTCATATACACATATCGTTATTTCCTCCATCAATGGTAAGTCTCGTTATCATTTATTTTACTGGGCGAATTCGAATCACTAACTTTTGCCGACTATGTACAGGCCACAACTTTCTTTTCTCGTGCGTATTACGACCTCCTTATATCACCTGAAATGAATCAGACGTGTCCCCTTTCAGGCAATACCTGCGGGGTCGTCGGAGCCGATAGGTGTCATAGTCTGCAAGCAGAGCATGCACAAGCATGCCTCGAATAGAGGTTATATCGCCATGCTCAGTGTTAGCAAGAGCTGGCGTAAACGTGGTGTAGGTATGCGATAACCACGTGCGCCTTCAGCCAACCATGTATATTTACCCGCCGATTCCAGCAAGCACGTTGGTCAGACGCTCGGTGGAGGTCATGAGACGACACGGAGTTGATGAGGTGCATGATTTATATCTATATTTCGGACTTTTGCTAATGCTCAACTAGGTCGTTCTTGAAACAGAATATGATAATGCGCCGGCTCTTTCCCTATACGAGTCCTTGGGATTTATCCGCGAGAAACGGCTGTATCGATTCTATCTCAATGGAAAGGATGCGTTCCGTTTGGTCCTCGCCGTCCCTCCATCGGAATTGGATCAAGACCTTCCACACTACATGAAACTTTCCCCCACCAACACCATCTTCTCCTACTCAATTTCTCCAGACGATGATGAGGTCTCATATCGTTGATGATTCCTAGTCACACGACCAATATCATTTCCCTTTGATGGAGCTGATCCTAACATCCTAATCTGGCTTTCGATAGCCATAATGGCCCTTCAACTAGCTGTACCACAAACACCGTCTCAGTTGTATAACCCTGGTTCAACCATTCATTTCCTGTTCCCTCATCGTGTCAAGGCACTAGTATACCCCACATACATGTGTATTGATATATGTAGTAATATTTTGATGTAGTCCATGATTCACGGGTGGAGCTCCTGGTTCCTGCTTGCGCAACATGGTAAGTGACCGTCATGGCATCAAAGTCGACGTCTGTATCTTGGAAAGCGAAACTCCCAGCCACGGCGGCCACTCCACGGTACATAAAGATATCGTACTAAGTATATATCGTGTATTGCTTCCGGCTGCTGTCACGGATTGTGCTCCGAGTCCGTTCTGGACTACTAGAAGTTCCAAGCGTCCCAAACCGTCTTGTCGCGTTCTGGAGGCAGATCTCACGCAGCTTGTTATCAATCGTTATAAGTGTCCCAGCGCCTTTCGTTGACTGCAGTTCAACATGGTCTTCTCCCCAGCTGGTATTGCCTCAGCATTGCTATTGGTAACCCCGTATGCGCCGAACATTGCTACCGTTGAAACCACACCAGGTTGTTTGACAGACAACTTCTATGGAACATACGGAGGACGAAGCATTTTTCATATCCCACCCACTTGTCTCCAAACCAGCTCTATCAAAGGCTTATCACCACAATCGGTCTCTCTCCTTCCATATGTCGCCAATGATGAACGTCAACTTGTATGGCTGCAAGAATCGGCTATCGACAGTTTCTTGGTAACTCCAGAGTATGAGGCGGAGGTTCAAGGTTTCTTCAGGTGGTTGGGAGAAGACGGATACTCCATGGGAGGCGGACAACAATTGTCTGGTCATCAGTATTCACTGTCTTCTCCGGAGGAACCTGGAGTAGAGCTTCACTTGGTGGATTTGCAGCCAGCGGGAGGATCCTATGGACTGATAGCCGTCGAACCAAATCTAGTACCCAGCATTGAGGCATTGCTCCCTCGCTACTGGAAGCCATACATTCTACCCAAGCAACCCGCGTCATATCTCCCGGTCCCCAAGCCTGCTATCGAGCATGTCAAGAACCTCCTCGAGACCGTTCGCTTCGACCCAGCTGTATGGACACTCGTAAACAACATTTCATTGAATCAGATGCGTGACGACATTAGATGGCTTACGGGTGAGGATGGAAAGTCGGGAATCGTTTCCCGCCATTCTTTTGCAGAGGGCTCTCGCGTCGCTGCTAATTGGCTCAAGGAACGTTTTGAGGAGACGGGCGCAACTTGCAAACTGAAGACTTTCCTGACGGGATTCGCACCGAACGTGGTCTGGTAAGCAAAGTCTGCTCATTCTTTTGGAAACTACTTAGCCAATCCATCAGCAAATACTCTGCGTCGGTAGACACAACTTCCATTGTCCTCATTTCTGGGCATTACGATTCGCGTGGTTCGTTTGGTTCACAGAGGGTAACGTATCTATTCGCTATCACCCTCTTGGTGTTCTGAATATTTATCAGGCTCCTGGAGGAAATGATGACGGCTCGGGCACCGTTGCCCTTCTCGGAATTGCACGTGCTATTGCCCACTCCGGTCTCACTTTCCGCAGCAACGTAGAGCTCGTCGCTTTCGCAGGTGAGGAACAGGGCCTGTACGGTTCCAAGGCTTATGCTCGTGAGTCAGCATTTGTTTGCACGCTTCAAATATTTGACCACTTCATGCAGGCGAGATGCGCGAGAAGGACGCAAATATCACTGTAATGATCCAGGCTGATATGCTTGGATACCACGCCCCCGGCGAACCTCCTCAACTTGGACTTCCGATGTAGTGCGTCTTTTTATACCTAACCTACCAAACCGGATATGAACGATCTCTTCCATCCCACAGCATCGGTACTCCAGAAGTGGCTCAACTTGTTTCAAAAATGTCAGCCATCTACAGCCCTGAGCTTAGTGTGGGCTACACTGCCGCATGTTGCAGTGACCACCAGGTCAGTTCTATCATTTCGTTATAAAAAAAATGCAAGCCAACTTATGTTGGTTTTCTCTAGTCCTTCCATGAGCAAGGATATGCCTCGACGCAAGTGTTCGAGCGTGCCGGTCCAAGTAAGCCCTAAACATACATGTTCTTCAACTTGCTAAGTTGCGTCTGCTTAGTTGCGGACCCCATGTATCACAACAGCGGTCAGTCCCTCGCGCCTTCCCCATCCTTACCACCCCAAGTTTGACGTTCCTGCAGGTGATATCAGCGAACGTCCCGGCTATGACCTCAGCCAAATTCGCTCAATTGCGAAAGTTCAGGTTTGTCTGTTTATTCAGCATGCACTCGTTTTATCTTGATGAATTTGTACAGTTTGCTACCCTGCTTCACGCCGCAGGATTCGATCTTCCCGGCGATGAAGATATGAATTAATATGCATTCTGTTACACATACCACAGAGAGCAATGTCTTCATGTATATCCCTTTAGACGAGGAAAGCAAATATTTTGAAAAATGTCTGGTGGTGTTTGAACCAGGGCTCTGCGTGCTCGGGCAAGTAAATTATCAACTCGAAGATGACGTCCTGGTGGAGAGCCCTCTCTACTTTTCTCTGCACAGATTGATCCGATTACTTCCCAGATGACTTCTCCGTGGCTTCGCTCCTCTCTTGCAAAGCCCCTTGTTGTTATCCTCATTAATCAATTGTCCTCCTAGTGATTCAGGATCATGCATACCTATGTCACCTCAGCGATGATCCTGCGTAGTTTTTCTTTCCCGGAGACCATTATTCCACATTCCTTCCTGATTCGCCCGTATCTCGTGCTAAACGGGTACTAATATCACGTACCAGTGATGACGACTTGTTGCACTCCACTGGTGTGCACCTCTCCCGAGTCTTGGGTTTGTTCAAGGTGGTCAGACTCACCCAAGGCTGGGAGGGTATCACCGAGTGGGTCCGACACGGAATCTGTCATGTGCCAGTGGGCACCACGTGCTGAGTGAAGGTAGACGGCGCGTACTGCTGATGCGGTGACTTGTAGCATTTCACTTATCACAAATTTGTCTCTCGCGGATCCTGGGGTTGTTCTGATTGCCCTGGCTCTTCACCTGATGCTCGAAAGGTATGATTGGGTGGATCTGGCACAGAGTCTGTCGAGGAAATCATCTACATGTGTTAAGTGAAGATACATGATATTGACGACAGCTTGTAGCGTTTCGCTGATTATGAGGTTTATTAGTCCTGTGTCCTTGGGACGTTCTAGACGGATTGTGCCTCCTCCCAAGTGTGAAAGGCAGTCACTGACGTGGCCAGGGACGAATCTTGACATGACTGAGGATCATTTGAGGGTAAGATGTGTGCTAGAAGTCATGTTATCCACATCCGTGACTCGTGCAGCACCGATGAGTCGACAGAAGCAACTCGCAGAATTACGAGTCACCCATTGCCTCATTTACGGCGGACATCAGATTTGTACAGCAGAGGGTACGATATTGAGTCAAGCAACTGAAACGAGAAGGCTGAGAGCCTGAAGAAGAGCATGGCATTCCCCACTTACTCGCATATTGCGAAGCACCGTCGTGACTGCCTGAACACCACCGCCCTTGACGGCATCCTACTACTGCTGTCAGATGATATGGACATGTTTGCGTCAGAAGGCACGGAAAAGTGAAAAGAAGTTATACTGCACATGTTGAACTTGTTTTGTAGCAAGTGGCAACTTGAGCCACTGAGAGCCACTGAGTCCAGATTTTATGTCGGCGACGGATGTGGTTGAAATTGAACCTCCGGACTCGTGCGAGATTTTTCGTCAAGTCGCTCGCGACGACCCTCAGGCTAGTGCATGTGTTACAGTAATGTTCCACTCACAATCCTCCCTTCCGGAGACAACGCTATGGTCCACCTCCAGTCGTCCCATATTTATTTCCCGCTCACTTCGAGTTCCATACTCACAGGGAACCGTTCCTTGAATGAGTGATGATCCGCTGTCCACCTGGCAAGTGTATGACGCTCCAGACAGGATCAACGTGCCCTTCAAGTTTTTGGCGGGGAATCATTAATATTGTTAATGTCTCTTTCATATCAGCGATAAGTGATCCTCTGTTCACCTGGCAGGTATATGGCACCCCAGACCCATCCGGTATGTCCTTCAAATTTCTTGCAGAAGTATCGTCGCTGACGTTTTTCGTTTTAGCAGTGGGTGAAACCATGCATCAGAACTCGAACTCCTATTACCGAGTGCAGCGCCATAAATTCAGCTTTCATCAACGAAGTTCCAAAATGAAGATAAAAAACACAAATGGGTAACAGGGCACAATGGGAGTTTCTGTCAAGTTAGAGTCGAATTTACTGGTATACGCTTAACTCTTTACATGCCTTATCCTCGTGTTCGCTTCGTAGCTTATACGTATAACATAGGCTGTGCAGCTGAAGCGCTCGAGAATCATCCCACATTCCGTAACTCACTCGGTCGAGATTTACATCCATTGCTCCAATTCATGCATCTGAATCTATAATCTCCACCTCGTTATAACATCTTCGTTTACCCAAACCCAGAATCCTAGAGGTACGTCCTTCCATCCGTCAGCACACTCATGTCTATTTTGAAGATGTGTCTACCACTCTCTCCTGATGGGCGGCTAGACGGATTATCACTTATAGATGGTCACGCAACGACAGGAGTAGCAAGATTTGCTGCAATGTCTTTTGGATATGATTCATATATGTGAACTCGACATTCTCTGACAGGATGGTAACGAGGTATTATTCGATGTACGTGATGCGTACAAAACCATCTCAATGTGAACAGTAATCGACGTCTGGGGCAAATATGCATGTTTTGTATGTTTCTCCGATTCTTGATTCCACCTGATTTCAGTACAGGGGAATGCTCTGACTGAGAGAAAAACGGAAGGAAGCATCTGTTGACCTCATGACTCGGACTACCGTAGGCACTCATGGGCCTGCCAAGTCCAGTGTCGTGCAGCAATCCATCAAAGAAGCTCAGTCCCACCCATATATCACTGCTTCCACCACCTCTCGTTGCTGTTACTTCTGCATTTCCAGGTGACAAGTATACATGCTGGACGCTGGAATCGATTCTGGCTCCGTACTTTCTTCTTCTCAGAAATTGCTAACGACAATCATTAATGTACATCGCTAGCACTATGATTGCTACCATTGTTCATGCAAGTAAAGGACATAATACAAAAATTCATTTAAGTCATACATTCTTTGCTATTAATACGTGCCTCAGACAGACCATATGTTGTTGCCTCATAATGATTTCTGTGAAAATAGTAACCGACTTTAGCCTGACGATAGGTCGCAATATCATCCAAACACTCCTTGTGTCTCGGTGGTCAGCTCTGGCTCAAAATCCCGTACACCGGGGTATCATCGGTGTACGTAGAGCGGGATACATGGACGTGGAGAGGCTTCATAGAATATCGCGGGAAGCTCCCTCGTTCCGTATCACTAGTCATCCCCCCACGGACAGTCAAGATCTGCCTGTGAGTTCTTTGACCGATCGCGATTCGAATGATTACCATGTAGAAGGTAATCGAGATGATCGGTGTGATCTAATTGATCGAAAATCAGTCGTTTTGATGATTAGTATGTCGTAAACGCCATCACCATGTCAATCACAACAAACGGTCCAGTGCCCGAGCAGAGGGATCCAACTATTGTGGAGAGGAGCGCTATGGTGTACAAAATGGCAGCATCCATTATTACGCGCGTTATGCTCGTTGTCATAACCTTTGTAGTGCGAGTGGCAGATACACTGCGCTCTATTTTCCAGATGCGGTACGCGAGTAATCCTTGAAAAAATTCAAGTTGGAATGAGAATGAGTAGAATCATGCATACCTGAACTCGACAAATTTGCTGCGAGTGCAAAGGCACAGAATACTCCCATGCACAGCATATTCGCTTCTGCGGAGATGACTCCAGAACTGCTGGTCTGTGAATCAGCGTAGATCGAAAGAACACCAGTGACTTCAAAGCAATATTAGAGCATGGGACTCTCTGAATCGATGTAATCCGACCTGCGATGCCACACAACAGTATGCTTGGTAGGATGATGACCCAGGCAGCTTGCCAAACGACGTAACAACGATAAATCTGTGACCAGACAAGCATTTCTATAGCCATTTTAAAGTCGCAAATAGAAAGTTGAACCCACTGCCACCGCATCGCCAAGCAGAGTTTGCAGAACGTATATTGAAGTCTTGATTGTATTCGTGTTTTGAGAAACATCTGCAAAGTACGCCGCCGGCCCACCTGGGAACGTGTTGCGATAGGTCACCAGTCCGTATTCGAGTCGGATAATGCCTAAAATGATGTGCTTGGATAAATGTTTCAGTGGATGTCATTTAATGACGGGCGATAGGGGCTAACTGCGGTGCTCAATATCAATAGCAGGACTGCAGCAGCAGCGACTGGGCGATTGACATCTCGCATGGAATGTTTGTAGGTGAGCGCCCACACGGTACCAATGAACATGAGGACCGAAAAGCCTGGAAAATCCTAGCTTTGTGGTGACCAGACGGACGAACTGATTGACATGCTCACCATATAAAATGCCTTCCAACGATGTTGATATTATGGCAGCGGCATCCATCGAGACAAAAGCCATAGCCAGAATGACGCTGGGGAATGACTTGGGGAAGTACGGCGGCACTGAGCTTTGCTCAATTCCATGTATATCATGGTTTTGGTGGTAGTAGGAACCTAATCCAAAGACCCCAGATCAGATTCTGTGGTGTAAGCCTAATTGCGGAAGGCTGTATCCATACCTACCCGCTGACTCTAGACTCTTTCAATGCAGTAGCTGCATAAAATGTAACGCCGCTGACATTTCAGTACGCCTCAAGGGCAGTGTTTTATAGCTGGCAGATTCATACGCCCCCCCGGCACCACCGGATCCATGGAACACATGACTCTGATGGGATCAACAGGCTGACAGCATGAAATTACTTGCTTATCTTTTAGAGTAAATACCCATCGGACTTCCAAATACAACTTGAGGTCTCGTTCCCATCCGGGATCACGAAGGCATGACATCAGTACTACAGCTATCCTCGAATGGATAGACTGATGTCCGTGCCCTGTCGCTGTGTTGCCATCAATCATTTTTCGTCTGCATATCTTCCATTCGTTCGTCCGTTCATAAAACAAACGCAATTCTGCATTCCCAAGTAAATTAACTCCAGTGGACACACTATCAAAATCATCTAGTTATCAAGCCACAACAGGTACCTCCCGAACATCCTCGCCCACATTCTTTTCCTCTGACTCCTCAATACTCGACGCGCTCTCCTCACTCACCTTCTCAAGGTTTGACACTGGGCCCGTGAACCAATGCACACCACCATACACAGGGCAATAGTACCACAGGATAGACAAAAAGAGTATACCGCCTAGCACCACCACAGTGTAGTTCATGTTCGCAACGTCCGTTTGTGGCGTCGTCGGGAAAAAGAATACGATATCCATAATGATCATGTACGACACCGCAATGAAAGCAACTGGAATGCTCTTCAAATCACAGCTCAATCATCAATACGCATCCTCAAGCACCAAGTTATCAGACTCACAAAGATGCCTAGATTAAACGGACCAGGCTTGAAGTTGTTTTTGAACACGAAGCGCGCGATAATTGGGATCGCGTATGCGATATATAACGCTGTCACAGAGAGAGAAAATATGGCGTTGACAGCTTGCGGACCTGCGAACGACAACAAGCCGAGGATAATCGAGACGATCGCAACGAACCAAACAGTATTGACTGGCGTCTTGGTGAAGCTGTTCATGCGATAGAGGAAGGATGAGAACGGAAGTGCGCCATCACGAGAAAATGCGAATGTTTGGCGGGATGATGCAAGGACCATGCTCGAGCCCATCATATATCTGCACCCAATCAATCATAAGTTCAAAGGCCATCACTGTCTACTTACTGAACAAGCACAACGAAGGACCACAATGCAAGTGTTCCCTTTTGGCCGAAGCTATTGAAGAAAATTTGAGCCATGGGCTGTCCAACATTGGCAAGGGACTCCAGGTCGCTACCCATGCAGAATGCAAGAGAGACATTGATTGCTGCAACATGGTAAGCAGGGTTTAAGAAGCTACCATGAATAAATACGTACCCCAACCAAGGATGCCTGCGATGGCGACGGCGCTGACCTGGAATCCACTCAGCAATTGAACAAAAACGGAGTTCGAGGCTTACAATAGCCCATGGAACAGCCGTAGCAGCATTCGACGATTCCTCGCTGATATGCACACTGGAGTCAAAGGAAGCTACAACATGACATCAGTACCCATGACACGTGCAACGCCCTGTGAGAATATACCAATGGTCCATGCCGGCGCAAGGAAGCTTAGAATAAAGGCATAGCCATCCGGCCAGCCGTTCACTGCAAATACCATTCTGATATCAGTCAAGTTCACTACTAGAATGTATTCACTGACAATTTGTGAAATCACCAAACGCATAGCTTGCGCTGTTCATGTTCGCCTTTGGTGTGGCAGCAGGAAGGCCAATAATAACAGCGAGACACAAACTACCCGGAGTAATTCAGCAACTCGAGTGCATCTATAAGACTTGACCACAAACCAGACATTAAGTACAACATAAACTGTTTGCAGTCTTGCGAGAACCGCAGTTCCCAAGCAGCATATAACTGCGTGCGACAGGACTATTGCAACGTAGACTCCACTAGATATGATGAGTAAGCTCATTAATTGGATCAGTATTTCGAATGACGCACAAAGTTTGTGCACTCGTTGCGGTAAAAGTTTGGTTTGAGCCAATGGACACTGCAGCCATGATTTGCACTGCGCATCCCCAGTCAATAGATGCTATGCAGAAAGTTATGCTGAGTAAAATTCGACATCACAAAGGCAACCACAAAGTCCTTACCGACCGACGCAATGGTCCCAATGGTATTCGAGTCTATTATCGTGTCAATATCTATATCTCCGCTCGTTAAGATTACCATAACAGAACTTACACCCAACAATCCAGGCAAGTAAATTTCTACACCGTGGAGATGATAAGGAGTGCGTCCAGAAGTATAACTGTAGTTCATCCATATCACTCAGAATGATACCACATCAACAAAGGCAAAAACCGACTCACTCCTCCGGACGTCGGGGCTGCGGAACCCAATTCGGCCATCGACATCCCTACGCAGAGGATGAAAAGACTCGTAACTGCCCACTATGGAATATTGACAAGCAACCATCGTCACCATCAGCATAATTCGCGCAAGGAGATACCCGGAGAAACAAGCACGTACACCCCACACCATTGAGGATGGTCCTCCATTAGGCACAGCATAGAACAGCACAGAGCTATTCAAATAAACTGTAACTCTTGAAAGACAAAGAAAAGGACGACGTACGCAATCGAGGGGAGTAGACCAATGATACTAAAAGCTATCCCAAAAACCTGTGATCGTCTTCGCTATCAGTTCCGACCCAAATCGCTAAGCATGGCAGCGTTGATGATACCTCCAAGGGCGTGAATGCACGCTTAAATTCCTGCTTGTACCCAAGCTCAGCGAGCAGGGCTTCGTCTGCCTTCGAAATGGCGTCCTTCGGTGGTTCCATATCCGCGCAGCTACTAGTGGGACGAAAAGAAGAAGCGATGGAGTACGGAAGATAGCCGGTCCCACACCAATCCCATTTGGTTATCACCATCGAGCGCCCACCGCATCATGGTCTTGATAAGCAACCCACACGGTAGGCTACCACCGCTTGTTGATAAGTAAGATAGGAACAGTGCTGAGCTGTCACTGAAATGATTGGGCCTGTGTAGCAGTAAGTACCCACTTGGAGTTGGCACATGTGCATGCATGAGCCGGGTGCGGCGTTCTGTCGAAATTCAACCTTGGTATCGTCTGGCAGCGTGGCAACTTGTGACATTCCTTCGCTGCGACGACAGGAGCAGGACCAGGTAAGGTTGTTGCATGCCTAAAGTGCTAAAACCTTAAGTCCACCTCGTTGGACCCGTTGTTTCTGACTTTCATGATCACAGATTTCAACACCGAAAGTCGGACTCCGAGCGTAGTGGGACATTGTAGGACAACTTGAAGAAAATCGAGTACGCCATTGCTTATCACGCCAAGCGTACGCGTCAGGCCCCGTGATTCCGTGCTATTCTTGCACTTACTCGATCTCTTTCCTTTTACAATGGCCCAACACCATTTTTAAAATCTTGTCATTCATCTATGTGGATGCGATTCAAGTTACGATTGCTATTGCTGGCTACCACTGCATCTCAAAGTTTGGGGTTTCACGTCTACCAACAACATTTCCTCCTCGCAACGACTGCCATACATCATTTTGCCCTTCTTCCCTCCACCACCTAGTGACCTTCCTCTATTAGGTTCAAGATCCTTCCCGGAGACATCCAATACATCCGAACATCGAGCAGCACTATATAACCACTGTGGTCCACAGTGTATCAAGTATCATTTCATGGTGGAAGGCTCTGGCGGGGACATCGAGTCCAAATGCTACTTCAGCAGCATTTGTCACCCCAGTGGCATTATCTGATTCGACGATGAGAGTGTGTTGTGCACGCCTCTCAACAAACTCATAACTCTTGAACGAGTCAGTCGAAGATGGGAAATATCCTCCATGTGGATACCCAAGCAAACTGCTGGAACCAGGAAATGTTGGCCTTACCATGTCTTTGCAGAAAACCTGACATCGGCACTCACTCAGTGAAGTATATCCGTTGGCAGGACAACATGCTCTCTTGGCATATCCAAAAACACGTTCCCAATCCAAGTGGACAGTGTGAGAGCCTTCGCATGTCTTGAAGGAGTCCTTGAATGATTCGATATGTATTCCCTCGACTCTCACGGTAGCCTGGATTTTGTCCTGTTTTATCGAATCCGATCGTGGTGTCGTCTGCAGTGAAGAAATTTGTGTACGTCCTATTGGTTTCCCCGAAAACACCATTCCTGCACATTCCTTCGAGTGCTCGATTCTACAGATTGCTTGCCTTACAACATCCTCCACAATATATAAACATATCCCCTATTCTACAATATCATGCTCTTGACTACCCGCGATATCATGAATTCATATATGCAACAGCCGGAACTTTTGTTGTGGGTTACAGTCGACATGCTCATAATGCATGGACCTCCTGAAGATCCCAACAGCGTTCCCATGTACTTCTCTGTCCCTACGAGTCTTCAGACACCCGTACTAAACAAAATTGCCTTCTTCACCAAAAGTTCCTGTGAGAGAAGTGACGGAAGGTGCCATGCTAGTGATGGCAAATTCTAGAAGGGAGTTCACTGCATGTGCTCAACCGTTACCACTGCCACTATCACACCACACGGCCTTCAACTGATACAGTTGAGAAACATGTGTATCAAAGTGAGATCAATGACAGCAGTCCGTGCCATGACTCCGTAGAAAGCAGCGCGACGATCGGTACACGAATCATCTGCAAGCTGAACGTGGGCGCCTTTCTGTGCATTGTCGTGTTATATGCACATCCTCTTGCTTGCTTAGTTGTTCGTATCGTCATCGAGCTCAATAAGGACCTTTGGATGTGGATTCACTTGTCACTGGTTAGAGTCTTGATGTCCGAAGACTGAAACGAGTTGCTCCTATTGCTTGTCTCTAACATACTACGTACGACACCCGACCCAAAGAAATTTCGACCTCATCACTAATTGCAGTGCGCCTCGCATGCAGAGTAGCTCGAATCGAAACCCTTGGACATCTTGGCAGGTCTTGACCCAAACATTACCGGCATATATAGCAATCAATCAATCCCACTACTGGTACCAACAGGTTCACGTTCCGTTCGTGAACCGATGGTTACCAACCCCAACGCGCCTGTAGCAGTCCACGAAGTATTACTTTTGGATCGTAGGCCAGCAATGTTCAAGAACGACCGCGAACATGTTCGTCCAGTCTCGCAAGTATCTCGTTCTGGTCTTCGCCCGACTTGCGAGCACTAGTCATAGATTAGCCGAAGTCATCTGCAGCAACGTCCGTCATACTCACAAGGACTGGGCGAAAACCGGCAGATCGGCAGGGCTGTTAATCATGCCTAGTTCAATCAACGCCATTTGTCGTGAGGCCAATCTACGTTGAACGATGAGTAAGAGTGTCAATATCTCAAACCTTGCTTGGGAACTGACTTTGATTGCGGAGACAGAGGTGCTTTGTGGTGTTTCCGTCGAGGCGGCCATTGTAGTTCAGGAGTTTTCGATTGCCGAGAGGTGCCTTGGTTTCGTTCGGATTTCAGTTTCTTGGCAGCCGCTCTTTTTCTCTTCGCCTCCTACCATCGCATTGCTCAAAAAACCTGTGAGAGAATATCACGAACACTAACCTTCAGTGCCGTCCGAGAACGTTCTTCTTCTATACGACTCGGTAATAGCACGTCGTCGTTGCGATGGCTGTACTTAACGCCTATTGCGCTGAGTGTCTTGTGGACATCATTATCATCTGTAACCTCTGGAGGTTCTTTGAAAATACAAGGATCAGTATCTTTGTGTGCTCGTTCCAGCTGGAGCTCACCATCATCAAAGAGAAGGGCACTCAGCCCCCGTAAGTCGGGCTGACACATGATTACATGGCGCGAAACAAGTAGACAGGGGACTTACTTCCTCCTTTCCGCTCTTAGAATCGGCCTCGTACACCCAGTCATCGGCCTTGGATTTTGCTGATTTCTTCGACTTCGAAGAGCTGAGATGAGCAAGAGCCCAGTCTAGCTCCATGATTGTTGCTGTTTCGATCTGCAGCAGGTTTACGTCGATATCTCCTGCGCAAGGATATGAACTTACAGCCATCTTAGTCGCAAGAGTATCCTCATGCAGCTTAAAAATGTTCTTGATTCCAAACAGTTCCCCTTGTCTAGAAGTGTCCCCTTGAACGCCGGAGAAATACCTAAGAGGGAAATTTGAAATGTGCTCAAATCTTGGTCCGTATTAAATACCTCGTTTGTACGCTTGCCTGATACCCGATGGCCATCTGTTGTTGCTTATACAACTGCCTTGCATAAATCAACTCTTCAATTGAGCCGGCTCCGAGAAGGCGGTAAACGAAAACGTCACGTGTCTGCCCAAAGCGATATGCTCTATCCATAGCTTGCAGGTCGTGGGCCGGATCTAGGTAGATATCAGTCGATGTCAAACAGGATTCAGGCAAATACATACTCCAGTTGGGATCTACATAATACCCAGGTTTAAGTTCGAGTATTAAATGCAGGATATTCAAACTCGCCGAAAATTACCACTTTGTTCGCTCCAGTCAAGTTGAGACCAGTTCCCCCAGCAAGAGTAGAGATAAGAAATATGAAGATATCCGAGTCCTGGTGAAATCTATCTATCATAGGCATCCCTGAAGCTGGTATTAGCAACCAGGGCAAACAAAGGGATCATCTCTTACTATCACTCTGCTTCGTGGATCCATCCAGTTTGAGGAAGCCATAACCTTGCGATCAATCAGTACTCAATCGATACGGAAAGAATCTAGTACATACTATTGGTGTTAAGATGAAACTCCAACATATCGAGAAGCTTGACGGATTTAGTAAATATGAGGACCTTGTTTGCGCGGTCTTTTCTCCATTCTTTAAGTAGGGTATCGAGTACCTGCGAAGGCGATGTACAGTGTGGGAGATAATTTTCATAAAACAATGACCTACAACCCACTTCCCGCAGTACTGTGGCAGTAGCATGGCTGTCCCATACTTGGGTATAGCCTGGCCCGGAAATGCTACTTCAGCGAGTTCCCTGTTCCGTAAAGTCTAGAACAATTATCAATGCACCATAGGGATAAATAATGACCTCCACACATACTTGGTCTGGGCTATCGTTTGGGGCTTATAGATATGAGCATTTATTCCGTAGCGGGCAACTGAACCATCAACGATACCTGGAAGTATCAACGCTAGATGATTTGAGATTTTGATGAGTATTGACATATACTTGAGGACGCCTCCCTTCTCAATAGGGTGGCAACATTCTTTGCGTCTGTATAAAACATGATTCTTAGCATCCTCGAGACATGTAAATGAAAGCTTACTTTCCCCCTGATCCACAATCACAATTCTCGTCTTTTCTGACGAGATTCTGTACGGGATTCATATTCAGGATGCGTTTGTAAACGGCGACCTGTACAGGCGTAAGCGGACAGAAGACTACTTCATCGGTTTTCGTGGGCAACTAATGGCTATATTCAGTACAAGATAGTATAACAGGTAGAAGCTTCGCACTTGATCCTTAATGATGTCCTTCGTCCTAGAGAGATGAATATTTTAAACAGTATCTATAGAAAAATCCATTGATCATACCTTCTTTTAAAGAATTGAGGCAATACTTTGTCTCTGACTATAATTGCGACTGTCTACTAGATATCAGAATGAGCTGCGGGTTGCAAGATACGCACTCACCAAAGCCTTTGTTCTCTCCTCTTCAGTCGCACTGGTAGATTGACCTATCGTCAATGGCTTCACGACGTAACCTTTCCATTGCTTGCTTGTTCCAAGCCGACCAGGGTTGGTCCAGTCAAGTATCGTCCATGCTTCCATGTAGCTGTTTTGAATGGTTGTGCCTAAATATCCCGCTGCATCAGAT